TATATATGTCTTAGATAAGGTTTTCTAGCTACCAACCATTTTAACAAGCATCCAAGGGGTACTGACACGAAAATTTTAATTCCTTCTTTTCTTGTGTCAAGTAAAAGGCAAAGTCGCCAGAATTAGTACTGTAACCTGATGTCAAGTGAATGTCAATGTTCGTAGGTGCACCATGAAAAAATGTAATTTAATATCAAAATATGATATCTTTCAGCATTTTCTAGCCGTGACACTTGCTTATAGTCCTATCGAGATACCGGAGATTTGTATCGCATAGTAAACTTGTCCTCGAAAAAAAAAAAAAAAAGGTGTCAACCTTAGCGCCCACACAACAGCAAATGCCTCTCTTTTAATCGCAGACCTTTTTGCCTGCTGAGAAGTAAGCTTCCTACTGGGGAAAGCAATAGGTTTCCCTTTAAGCCTCCTTGCTTCCCCTTTTCACTGTTACAGGTTGCTTCTTATTTTATGCATCACGTCACAGTCCGCACAAAAAACATGCTTCCATGCCACATTGATGCACCCGAGATTCAACGTTTGCAAGGACTTTGCCAATTTCTCACTGCACATTCTTTCTGATGTAAAGTATTTGCCTCGCACATCACATGGTGGAACTTAAGAGTGTATTCACTTTGTTAATACACTCAATACAATGAACCCAGATATAACGAAATATAAGTTATGACAACGTAAATAAAAAATAGTCTTGCAATAGATATAGTGTTTAGAATAAACCTTTGTAAGAAGTTTTTGGACAAAATTAACTTATTTTCTTATAATATGCAACTTTGTCATGAGGTTTGAGTGTAATAAGAGTTGATTGTTTTTATTCAATACAACATTTTCAATGCTTCAAGGTAATAGCAGGGCTATGTAGCAACACTGCGCTTGTGCTACAAGGATCAGAGATAGTACTATGCTGCATGTTCTACTTAAAGTCTGCCTTGTCTAAGTGGTGGTGTATCTTTGCCATACATTTCCTCTGAAAAACAACCAACATAGTGGAAATATTCACCTTTGACGTTATGTTAATTGGGAAAATGCTTCTGTGATGGCTACTTTCATGGCTTTGTGGTTCTTGCACAAATAGCACCTGTATTTTACCCTCTATAGCAGTTCGCATTGCCAATTAGTTGGAGGTACATGAGAATCACAATTAATTATGTTTTTTTAGTGTGACACCCTAGCAGACCGGCAACAGGATGTTGAACACCGCAGCATGTGCATTGACGGAACAGCTATGGTCACATCTGTGCAGAGCTTGTGAGCAGCCGATTTTCGCTCGGCGAAGTGACAGCTTGAGGCAGTTTCGGGCTCTGACCTGGTCAGCCTCACTACTACGTCGCGCATGCTCCTGACACACCATGTCAAAGCTCGAAATTGCCTCAAGCTGTTGCTCCGCAGAGCAAAGACAAGCTGCTCGCGTGATATACACATACATGGCAGCAGCTGTACTGCTCTCTTTGACAGAAACATAGCATTGCATTCTTTTATATATAACAGACAACTAGCGACTGTCGGTAATTTTTCGGAACTCTGATTCAAATCGGTGATGACTGCTTTTTCTCTTTTTTCAATTTGAGAGCAAAAACACATTCCTTATGTTTGTCTTTTTTTTAATTTTGTATTAAGCATTGAAAATTATGCCACATATGAGAGACTAAAAATGCTGCTGCATGTAGCAAAGTATACAGCAGAAAAATTCTGAGAGAGAGTAAAATAAATTATTTACATTCCTTAGACTATGCCAAAATCGAATATTACCAACATCCCATCATCACAAAGCACACAATCTGCATTGACTGCGTTGCCTCACTTAATTTATTTCTTCACACTGAAAACAATGTGTGCACTGACCTTTTCTACTGATGTGCAGACAGATTTTGCTCTAGAACATACAAATATTGTTGAAACAGGAATCTTATTCTTAACTAAACGCATCATTAAGGTACAGCATAATTTTCTGTGCCGCATTTAGATATGGAGACACAAAAATGTAGCACCACTTCATGCTGACTTGTGTCCCATCAAGACACAATTCCTCAGACGGCTTTGTACCGACCCGAACCATTTTAAATTTACTTAATATTTTTGTTATGCTCCCATGGACACCACACTTGGAACTTTTTCTACTTGAAAATCAATTGTCAGCCTTATAAAAGGTGCAATAAATAAATACTCAACCTCCAAAAAGGTACATTCTTCAAGTCTCCGAGAAAGAAAAATGTGCTTCCCGATTGGTACATGTTATAACTGAGCTAGAACCACTCAAGTTTAAACGCAAACTACAGGCTGTGTGTTTTGTAGTAGCGTTTTCTTTCCAAGCTTTGACCGGTTGAACATAATAGTGAACCAGTTGAATACTTCCCACCCCCAGTTTTATTGTTGTTATTATTTCGTATGCGATTGCAGTATGTATTTAGTATTCTGTTCATTGTTTCGTACTGTGAGGCAGCCCTTTTCTAAAACAAACTTGCTGTTCCGAAAGAATAAATAAACTTGTGCCACAGTCAAATGCTAGATAACTGAACAGGAATAAGAAAGAGGGCGCGAACAGCAAAAGTGGATGAAATGATAGCAAAAGAAACGGAAGAATAAGAAGAGGCGTTTTACTTAATTTTCTAGTTCGCACGCGCGCACAAGTATCTAATTAATCCGGAACGATAAGCAGCAGTGCCTCTTCAATGTCCTTTCAGAATAGCTCTAACGTTATGGCAAGACTGCACGTTCTCGCGCAAATTTAGTTGTTACTGGTATAGTGGTAGTAACGTGGAATCTGAGAACTCGCCGCTTTCCGTTTATTTCATGTCGACAGGCAAAGTTATGACTAGATAGAATCAAAGTTTTCGTGTTGCCAAGAAACTCATCTACATTAATATGGTCACTGCTGACCAGTGCTTTCAAGCCAGTTTTCAAAAATTAGGCTTTTCACTGCTTTTTCTGCGGAAAGCCGCTCTAGCAGACGACGTTGGTGACGTCACTAACCGTACCCCTTTCGGGTTCAAACACGGAGGAAGGAATCCTTCCTCCGTGGGGTTCAAAGCATTGTGGCTTACCCCCGAATGCAGAGATGTTACTTGACTCGTACTTGACTCGTTCTTGACTCAAGACAGTCTTGCCGGTCACCATAAATCGTTCTCGAACTTGCGGATGACTTGAAGGCGACTTGGCTCGGTCGAAGTCAGGACAAGTTTCAAGTCAGCTGCGGGGCTTGCTTGAAAGCGACTTCACGCGTTATTCCAACATGGCCACCTCTCGAATGGACGTCGCGTGAAAGGTGGCCGCTTTTGAGTTTGCTTGCCTCGCCATAAGCGTAGCATTTTTTGAGGCGCACTGCCTGCCGAAGATTCTTGGAACCGCTTTACGTGACCAAGAAAATCCGATGGAGTTGTACGACGAGCAACAATTCCACGCAAGGTACAGATTCATGAAGAACGCCGTGGGGCAGCTGCTCGTTATGTTGCCGCTCCGTGAAAGTGGGGACAACCGAAGACAGCCCGTGCATCCAGTGTTACAGCTACTGATGGCTCTCAGGTTTTACAGCGCTGGCACATTCCAACCAGTCACCGGAAATTTCGTCCGCATTCCGTAGTCGACAGTGTGCCGTGCAGTCGGAAAAGCTACGCTACTCATCGCAAAGCACCTGTACGCGATGCTGGTGCGCTTTCCGCAGCCGGCGGACTGTTATGAAGTGGCTGAGTTCCCTTGCGTTACAGGTTGTGTCGACTACACACACGTGCGTATTAATAGCCCCGGTGTCGACGACGCCGAAGTGTTCTGTAACCGCAAAGGCTATTTCTGTTTTTCTGTAACACGACGACACTTTCCGTCTCTTTCGGTAAAAAAAATAAAAAATTGACTCGTTGCTGTGTCCGTGTGCCTCGTCTATCCTTTCGTCCCGTCTAGAGCACTGTTTCTCGCTCAGAAAGGCATCGCGTGTAGCACAACGCTACGTAAAATTGCATAGACACAAAAAAGAGGTGTCCCTATCACGGGTTTTTTTATCCGCGTCACCATCATGCAGCGATACATTGCTGCACCCCGCGAGACAGAATTCTGCTGAGGGCAATGTCCTGACCCCCGCTTTTTCTCTTGTTTACCAAGCTCAACAAAAGGATACGAATCACATTTGTTCCCAGAACTTGTTTTTTTTTTTTTTTGATAATAACTGCGACCTAGCCCATTACAGGCATGCACACAGGCGAACAGAGGCAAATACCGTGAAAATCGCGTCACCTCGTGAGCCAGGTCAGCACAAATACATGCCATGGCGTTCGATTGAGAAAAAAAAAAACGACGAAAGAACCCAACGCGATGCTTGTTTCTCCTCCAAACAAGCAACCGTGGAGAAACACACCGCATTTGGGTGGCCACTAAAACCAGCGGGCAACGAACGCTTTACAGAAGCAACACTGCGCATCGCTGTGGTGGCAGGCACCACGTGCCGCTCGTTAGCCGTAAAATGGCAAGAATATGCTTGTGGCCCTTCGTTTTTATAGTTATTTTAAAACATAGGGTCTTTTTTTGGTGTAAAACATGCCTTACGCGAACAACTTCATTATTACCCTCGTTAGCAGGCGAGCAACGTGTTTCTGCTTTGAAGCTCGTTCTTGACTTGACCAAGCAAGACAGCCTGAGCATCTATGAAACGCGAAGGCCGACTTGAGCGTTTTCAAGTCCGCTGCTTGCTTCGCGCCGACTTGCTCAAGTCAAGTCGAAGACGCGGCCAAGTAACATCTCTGCATTCGGGGGGCTTAGAGCCGCCTCTAAAAAGGCATAATATCACAAATAATCATTGCCAAATCCGTCAATTTGCTATTTGTAGTTCGTATTTTTTGCAAAAATACTTACCTTTTCCACTAGTAAAAGAAAAAATACTCGTTTCTTTTGAATCAACTCGTCAGCGCTGTCGTCCAATCAGCTTCCGAGAAAGTTGAGCGACGCCATGTTTGTTAACCATGTGATCACTCACCGGTCGTTTTCAAACTGGCGTCTGTGCGAGCGTCGTTTTGTCCGTGCCGACACGATGCACAACATGTCCGTATGGAGGTGATCGCAGTGGCGAGGGTGCTTCTGGAAATATCGCGATTTTGCGGAAATAGGTGACCATGAGTGACTCACGGGATCGTCAGTACAGAGCTACGAGATTGGTAAGTGTGACCGGTATACGTGGCTATGGTGAAACTCGATGTAAAGACTCCATCAAGTTGTTGCATTGATTAGCTTTCCAGCTGTTTCGCATCCGTATCGACTACATGTGTTCTTACAGTGGACAAGTAGTATGCGTGCATGTCTTTAGCACACTGCGAATGTGCGCGTCCGCGGTGCTATCGAGGCAGGCTTGCTGAGCGCCGAAGTATGATCTAGCATAATTTGCGTGTTTTCATCACGAAACGAGCCTTCGAACCACATGTGATTTTGATTACGAGCGCTTACATTCCGTTAATCCGTAGAAGTTAATTTAGCTCACTCTTTACTTTCGCGAATGCGCTTTTCACGTCAGGGAACGTCGATCGCTGCAGCCAACTTTCGGACAGGCGGTTGAATAGACTCCGTACCGTTTTGTGTTGCGTTCAAGGCCTGTACCGCTGTTCTTACATGGCCATTTCTGAGTGCGACCAAGGCCGATTTGAATCGAATTCAGCAGCAGTCACGGTTCCCCGTCTTACGCGAATAATTTAGCCAATCTCGATCAAGAAAACGTGATCGTGGTCGGGACCGATCGCAATCGAATGTCCATCGTGTAATACGCGTCTGAGACTTGCTTTCTAAATACGTAACACGATGTGGAAATTGTGTGTTTGGATGCATGCCAATATTTTCTTTGTTTCTTACATAAATAACTTGAAACTTTTTAGTGGAACAGTGTCATCAGGTCCTTCCGCGATGGCATGCCCAAGGGTAAACACAGGCGGCACATGAGGACGTTCGACAACTGTTTCGTGGCCAGCGATGCCATTTCGTGGCTCCACGAACACTTGCAGGATGACCCCAACTTCGGACCCGCTGTCACCAGGTGTGTTTAACAATACAAACATCGTGCAGAATTTTGCGCTTTGATTGTTAAAATTGAGCTGGTAGTTTCCCTTTCAACAAGATAAATCCCTGGTTCTTGTGCTCAGTTCTTTTTTCTTTGTGAACAGTGGTAAGGCCGGCATATGTTAATGAGGACAAGTTTTTTTTTTTGCTATCTTGCAAAGCAAAATTGATGTTACCCAAATTGATACTTAAAATAACAGATCAATACCGGTGTTGAAAAACACCTGGAAAGTGGCTGGGCAAAAGCTGTTGAACATTCTACGTGCAAATGTGAGCAAGTTGATGGTTACGGAACCTATACAACCTAACGGGTGCAAAGCAACAGTCACACAAGTAAGACACACCTAAAATAGCTGCCATCCCACTTACGTGTCATTTCCTTGTGTGATTGTTGCTTTGCACTTTTTAAGACTCGTGGGGCTGTTGATGAAGCAATACTGTTAGGTAAAAAGCGGTAGACCATTTGAGATGTTTACAGAGATGAATCTGTTGTCCACTCCGATTAGGCCAGGGCGTTGCGTAGACCGAAAGGCACGTTATGCCTTTCATCAGGTGTTACAAATGCAGTATTGCTGTGGTCCGTAGGATCCATGGTAGCCTGCCAATGGTCATAGTACAGGTTGATAAACAAAAAGATAGCATGCTACACGGAGGCAGTCGAGTGCACTTCCTATGTGCAGTAGTGGATATGCGACCGTGTATGATGTTGTTTAGATTTATGTTATCGATAAAATATGCTAAGTGTTTGGATGGTGCACACCTTGACATTATAATTTGGCATGCATTTCAGGCACCAGACGATGCAGCTTCTGCAGAAGTTCTTGGAGAACAGGATTATAGAGGCCGTGAAAAGTGGCAAACCGAGGGTTATTCAAGATGACAAGCAGCTATACAGGTATGCCTGACACATGGACTTCTACTGCAGCAGGGTGTGAACTTTGGCCAGGAGGTCAAACTTCTTAACAAAGAGTGTTAAAATGGTTCATAAAGTATGGCCCTGTACCGTCTGTTTTTGTCAATCGTCACTGCTTTAGCACCCTTTCTTAAATAACTACCATTGTAAATCATTAAAAGAAGGTATAGAAAGCACCTACAAAGTGTTCTTCAATAAACTTCCAAACTTATAATTTGCACTTGAAATTGGTACAGAGGGATCCTGCCCTGTGCTCTTTTAAATTCAGCGACTCTCTGATGGGTGCTTCTGATCTAACTGCATGCTAGGTGCATTGGGATAGTAATTATTGGTGATAACATAAAAAATTGGCAATGTGCTCGCTCTTTCAATAAATACTCGGTCGTTACTATAGACGTGAAGCTTGTCGGCGTACATCTCATCTTTGAGCAACTGTTGGTCTCGGAGAATGCACCACTTCCCGATATCACAGCACCTTTTGTGAAGTGTGACAAATAATGAATTCATAGAAAGCGTTAGCTATCGCATGTTCACTTGAAAGGTAAAAGTTACAGTGAGAAAAATTAAACTTGATAAATGAAATAGTCACTAGCTGTAGAAGTAGAGCGCTTCCACATGAAGCATGCATTTCTTGAGCATTTAAGCACAACCATGCGAGGCCAACAGGTAATGAAGCCAAGGGAAGCATACAGGGTATTATTTGTACATTTTAATTGTAATTGTAATGTAGGTTTCGTCTCACAGCTAGTATGCGAAATTGTGTTGGGTTTCTAAACTGCATATAAATAATTCTTCACTTCTACAGGTTCACCGTCTATTCCCCTGTCAAGACCCCACCTTCTGCGAAGTTCCCGCCAAAGGCTGGAAGCGGCCGGACACCTCTGTTGGCTCGAGAGAACAAGCCAAACTTTCCTCCCGAAGCTCACCGTGTGTCGGCCAAGGCCCTCGCTTTCCTATTTGGAGCCAAGCAAGATGCTAGCCGGCCACTAGCTACTGAAGTTGTCAAGGACCCATCCGAGAGCTCTAAAGAACCAGGTGCCACTCTAGTGACTCGGGAGGAAATGCAAGGCATCTGGGAATCGGTAGTTCTGGCCAGGTAACGTTTATTTTTCATTGCAGCGGCAGGGGAGCTACTGTATTTGCATGATTGCAAGTCGACTTGAATATGGGGCAATGTTACTAAATTTGCACGGCAAGAAGTGAAGAAAAGCGAGCAAATTTTGTCAATGAAATTTACTCATATTGTCGCTAAAAAAAACTGAATAGACCCTTTTCATATTCCACAAGTGCACTTCCCTGTGCTAATGGCAGCGCCTGTTGTCCTTCAAGCAGATGTGTGGTTATAGTAATTGCAGGTGCTGAGGCTTGTCTATTATGTGTGCTTATCTCAAGAGAGCCAAAGAGCATTTACCACATTGTGCAGGGCTGTATTGCGGCGTCACAGCAATTTTCGAAAACGTGCAGGATATCGATTGGGTGACGTACATAATTTCCTGTAGAGCCAGATGTAAACGACTCTTGTGTTGAAAAGCATGTTGCGCTGTAATTCGGTATGAATATTGTGGTGCATCAGTGCTTATATTGTCTAAAAGCGATGAAGTAAAGTGGTGTCCTGGGCAAGCTGGTTTGGATTTATAGTGAGACTTGGTTTGTCGAAAACAGGAAACGGAGGAGAAGACAAGTATATTTTTCTGTGTCGTGCTTTCCAGACGCTGAGTCTCGACCAAAATCAATTATTTAAACGTTAAGCTGTATCCAGTGGCATTGTCACATGCAGGCTTAGGCTATGTAGCTTCAATTGCATAGCTACAGAATGGCTCCCGGTGTATAGGAGGAAATGTTTAGGCCGAGCTAAAGTGAGGAATTACATTCTATAATGCATTATGACAGTATTGCCTAGCAGACAGTCTTTTCTATTGAAGCTTCACGGTTTAAGCTTTCTGTTCATGGTGGTGTTCTGTATGCCTGTAAACAAAAAATAATGTTTCCCTATGTGTTTGCTTCCAGGCTAAGATGCCTCGTCGGTGAGGAAGCCACTGATGGAAGCTTGAACGGTTTCCGCATTTCGGGAGCAGACATTCTGCACAACATGTACCGGCTTAGTCGCAACGGTGTTGTGATTCTCCTGGATAAGTCTGGTAAGCTATCTATTGCCTCTTGATGTTGTTAACTTTTCGCTCCAAATTTTTTGTGGAAACAATGGAGTAGCTCATAGCTATGAAGGGAATCATTAGAATAATGGAGAGCTTGTCGGTAGGTATTCGTATTAACGAGACGGACTCAAGAGTGACACTGAGACACCATAAATGCCGACTAACGACTGATGATAAAGCGCACAGTGGCGGGAAAAAAAGGTAGACACAAAAGCTTATCTGCGCATGCACAGGTAAGAATCAAGCCTATCAATTTAGCACGTCTGGTGGTCTATGTGAGAGATCACTGTTTAAGCACTTGGCTTACACATGCGCCACCACTACTATCAGTAAGCCGGGTCTCAACCATCGGACATGTTTCTTCATTCGTGCGCCTGTACAAAGCTATACATTCATCAAATTTTGGTGTGAACTTGCACACTCAACGGTGTAAAGGTAGATTAGATGGTGAGCCTTCGATGAGCAGTCTCTTATGTTCCATTAGTCTCTGGTTAACGCAGTGACTTATCTGTTCTACGTTATTAAGACGATCGAGACCAGGGACTGCTTCGAACGAATACGGTTTATTAGAAGTGAAGTAGCACGTGCTCGCTCCAGGCAGCAGTCTTCTTTCTTCTTCTTCCGGCGTTTGATGATGATATTTTATAGGCTCCCGCCCGCCCAAGTTGAAATGTGATAAGTTCTCGCGGGCTATTTGAAACAACCTTCCATTGGGTATATGTGGTTCACCGATCTTCTTAGAAGCTCTTTTTTGCCTGTGCGAAGGAGACAAGCTCTTGTTATTCCGTCTCGCCCAGGGTAGAGTTTTTCAATCCGGCACATTTTCCAAAATGTTCTTGGAGCCTTGTCCCCAACCAACACGATGTCACTCTGTGAGAGTGGTTTTGCTTGCCGTGTCTTGGCTTTGGCCGTAGCTCCTATTTCCTTGATATATTCTTGATGCCATCTTTTCCACCAAGCGCGCACGAGTTCGCATCTGCGTCGCCATGCGTCTTCAATGTCACCGTTGTACAGTCTTGTTTGTCCGTCTTGAAGCTGTCGCCGTCCACCTATGATGTCTGCCGGCGTTAGTGGCATTGGCTCGTCAGGTTATCCATATACGTAAGTCAATGGTCGATTGTTGAGTGTTCCTTCAACTTCTGCTACAATAGTGCATAGCTCCTCTACCAAAGCTGTGCTTTTTGATATTATTTTTCGCATCGACGTCTTCAAGCTTCTTATGAGGCGCTCATAAAATCCTCCCCACCATGGCGCGCACTCGTCTATCGTTTTCCATTGAATTTGTTGGCCACTGCAGTAATTCTTTAGGACCTCGTTTTTAATTGTTTTGAGCATTCTGTTGATTTCCTTTTCAGCTTTTATAAATGTTTTGGCGTTGTCCGAGTATATTACTGCTGGTATTCCTTGTCGAGCTGTAAATCGTCGGAATGCTTGTAGAAAACTTGACGATGACAAATCGTTGGTAACTTCCAAGTGTACTCCTCTTGTTACCGCGCAGGTGAATATCAGTACATATTGCTTCACAATCTGGTACCTGTCCTTTGCATAAAGAGGTCCTGTGAAGTCAACTCCCGCAACTTTGAATGGCTCTGCTTCAGTGACTGTCTGCCGGAAGTGGAGGTATGTCTTGAGTCGCCGGTCTGGAGTTATGCCTCTTGCAGACGACACATTTGTTTGGAACTCTTTTCACTGCTTGTCTACCCTGCAATATCCAGAACTTAGTTCGAAGTTGCGCTAGCGTCACTTGAACTCCTCCGTGTGATACCATTTTATGCACGTGACGCATTAGCAGTTCAATGAAATGCTCCTCCTTTGGAATTACTATTACGTGCTTGTTGAATTCTTGGCTGCACTGCAATCGTCCTTTCTGTCTGATGATTGCATCGTCATCAAGGTAGACTTCATGTCCATTAATTTCAAATGATCGATTGTTTGAATAGGCCTCACCCTTTGTTTGTCTCAGTGATATTTGGGTCTGTCTTATCCAGTATTTCTCTGCATTTGTTACCTCTTTTCCTGTCAACGGCCCTTTGTGATTTTCCTTTCTTGTGTTGTTTATGAATCTGAACACCCATGCTGTCACTCTTATAAGCCGTCCGTATGATGAATACCTTTCGATTTCCAAGATTGGCGCAATTTCGGCTCTTCCCATGCATTGGTGACATTGTGTTTTATGCTGGTCTTCCACGTCTGTATTTGTGCCAATTATGCTTACTAAGTTCTTTTCCAGTGATGTTATCCATTCGGGACCGTTCCACCATAACTTTGACGTTATCAATGCCTTTGCGCTTATTCCTCGTGTAAGTAGGTCAGCAGGGTTGTCGTCACTTTGAACGAATGACCAGCTTGCTTGAAGTGTTTTTTCTCTAATTTCTGGGATTCTGTTGGCAACAAACGGATCTCGTTGCTTGTTCCCTTGATCCAGTGCAGCACAATCATCGAGTCCGTCCAGCAGTGTATTTCCTGAAAACTTTCGTTGAAGTGACCTTTGATGTAGTCGCATAATCTTGATGCTACCACCGCTGCCATCAGTTCAAGTCGCGCCAATGTCAGCTCTTTAATTGGAGCTACGCGGCTTTTGCTGTTACCAGCCTTGATTCTTTGCTTCCATCGTGGTATACTGCTATCAAGTATGCTGCCGCTCCGTATGCTAATGGGCTCGCGGCGGCAAATACATGCAGCTTGTATGCTTGTACTGGTTGATTCTTGCTTGCGTAGCATCGTGGGATTTCTAGAACTCGAAAGTCCTCCGCTTCAGACATAAGGTTCTTCCATTTGTCGCATTCATCTTTAGGGAGCTGGTCGTCCCACGTGACGTTCATTTTCCACAGTCTCTGCAGTCCTATTTTCGCGCGTACTGTGAATGGCGACAACAAACCGAGTGGGTCAAATATCTTCGCTGTGGTTTGTAACACAGCCCTTTTTGTCAAGTGCATTGTATCTGTTAATAAATTCCACTTTTCCATAGGGGAGCAAATCATGTCCTTTGAGTGTTTCCATATCAAGCCCAGAAGCATTGTAAATCCTCTAGATCAAATATCTATGTGAGAATCGTCTCTTTCGTTTTCATCAATTATTTTGTTTAATCGCTCTTCATTGGATGTCCATTTTCTCAAATTCATCGCTGCCTCTCTGAACACTTGCTTTGCCTCTTTGTACAACTTAACTGCTTCATCAAGTGTTGCTGCTCCCAAAATAACATCGTCCACGTAGATCGCTTTCTGCAGTGTCCTTGTCGTATCAGGAAACTGGTCTTCCACTTGTTTCAAATGGTGTTTAATTGTAGCTGCCAGTATAAACGTGCTTGGTGTTGTTCCGAACGTTACTCTTGTCATGCGCCATGTTTGCACTTTATTCATTAACTTTCCTTCAGCGTCATGCTTCCACCACAGAAATCTCATTTTATCTCTATCCTCTTCATGTATAGAGATTTGTAGAAATGCCTTTTCAACATCTCCAACTAACGCCACCTTTTCTTTTCAGAAATTAATGAGCAGCGATAGCATGTCCTCATTCAAATTGGGTCCTGCCTCTAGGTTCTCATTTAAAGGCATGCCTTTTCGAGAATGTGATGAGGCGTCAAACACTACTCGAACCTTTGTTGTCGCTCGGTCCTCTCTAATGATCGCATGATGTGGCATGTAGTAGCAAAGTGCATTTGGCTGTTCTGATGGCTCTTCGACCTCCTCTGCGACTCCTAATGCCATATACTCTGATATAGCTTTGTCATAGCGATACAGCATGTCTTCATTTTTTTGCAGCCTTTTAGTCAGTTGCTGTAGTCTTTTTATCGCATTTTCCTTGTTGCTTTCCAAGTTTACGTCCTGTTTCCATGGCAAGCTGACTTGATAGCGACCGTTGTGTTGTACAATCTTGCTCTCGAATTCTTCGACCACTTCATTTTCGGAGTTATCCAAACTATTTCTTGCGATCCCCATTGACTCCAGGCTCCAGAACTTCTGTAGCTCTTGCTGGAGTTCTGTCTCCGCAGCTTCGACCTTCAGAACCATGACTGCTTGATTATGTAATAGTTTTGTCTTGCTTTGCTCTGATGGCCCTTGCAGTACCCATCCCAGTATAGTTTCTACAGCCATCAGTCTGTCCTTGATTCTTTGAATTCTACCAGTAAAGAATTCCCAATAATAGTCTGAGCCGATCAGTAGTTCTACAGAATTTGTTGCAGTCGTCTTGGTCCTGTGATCAGCCACTTGCATATTTAGCTGTTTCATTTTCTCGCTGAGTTTCTTAGTTGGAGTGGGTATACAACTGTGCGAGATAACGTCGACTTGTAACGCTTCAATCACTGTTGTCGTGCTTGTTTCTCGTGATCCTACAGTCACTTGCACCACGTTCATTAGTTTGACCTTTTCGTCTCCTCCAAGTGAACCAATCGTCAGCCTTTCCTGTCGCAACACCTTCGCACCTATTTCTTTCGCTAATCCCGCTTCAATAAATGAACGTTGACTTCCACTGTCTAATAACAAACGGCAATGTCGGCCACATGTTTCTCCTTCTACGCACGCTACAGCCGTCTGCAAAAGCACAAACTTATGCTTGATATTTTCGGTTGCTTGTAGCGTAGACGTCGTCGCTTCGGCTTGCGCTGTTGAGATCAGCTCTGCCCTTGTTTTCTGCATCACCGTTCTACATACTGACGTGGCATGTCGTCCCTTGCATTGCTTGCATTTTACTTGGGCCTTGCAAATGCGTGCAGTGTGGTTTGGTCGCGTGCATCTGAAGCATGCTCTATTTTCGGTAAGCATAGCTTTCTTTTCATTCATTGGAATGCTCCTACGACAGTTTTCAGTTGCGTGGGTTTTCTGCTTGCAGAATAAGCATATTCTGTCCGCTGAGCTATAGAAGCTTGAAGTTGTGCGCATCTGTCCGCGGTTCTCTCTTGGTTTTGCAGTTATCCCCTCTTGTTCACGTTGTGTTTCTTCACGAAAAGCCGCTTGCTCTGTTAAGAATAACATAAGCCTGTCCAGCTTTTCCTCGCACGCTTTTCCCGTTGCGTTGTTTTGCTCGCCGTTTTCTGAAGCTGAGCTGTTTCTCATAGCCTCTTTTGACTTGAACTGCACTAATAATTCTGGTGGAATTGCTCTTTTCAATACTGGTAACAACATCGGCGCATAGCTCTCGGTTTCCACTTTTAGTGACTTGAGTGCCAATATGTTAACTTGCACTCTCTGTACTAGCATATCTAAGTCATCGGTATCTTGAACAGACCTCACTTTCTCCAAACTCAATAGCTCATTCATGTGCATTTCAATGGAGTGTTCTCGATTGCCAAACGTTTTTTGCAGTATTTTGATTGCGTCATCATAATTTTCCTCTGCCGAGTACTGAAGTCCTTCAATAGCAGCCGCCGCTTTTCCGGTTAGTGATGCTAACAAGTAATTGAACTTCTGTCCCTTGCTCATGTTTGGTCTCAGGTGAACTGCCGACTGGTACTGAGACCAAAAGCGGTTCCACTCCAAAGCTTTTCCCCCAAACTTTATCATTTCAAGCTTTGGTAGCTTAACTAGTTCCGTTGCTTCTTGTCCTGTACTTGAGGGCGTCACCTGCCTTGTCCTATCACTTGAACCCAATTGTTCAGGCTGTCGACGTCTGAATTCCATTGCAGATAAGATCGTCGTTAATTTCATGTCGTACTCTATGACGCTTTTGAATTCAGCTTTGGCATTGTCTTCTGTTAGAAACTTTTTCATTTGCTCGTTCGCGCTATTGAGACTGTCGCTTATTGCTTTAATCTGCGCCTGCGTTGTAAGCAGCTGTTCCCGGTTAGCTCCATCATTAATTTGCTGCTCGGCTGCATTAATCAGTCGCGTGATCTGGGAGCGAAGCGCTTTCCTTTTCTTCGTTATCACTTCTTTGCTCATATTGAGGCGGTTAACTATGACTCCTTACTTGTCAATCGTTTGTTCTGATGCTCGTACTGTCCACCGTGGTCTCGTCGCTCGATCCAGGTCGATCCTCTGCTCCTCCGCCGTTTTCTTCTCTGCTGCTTCATGGCAGGTTGACCTTTCTTGCCGGCGCGGAGGTAGTATCCTGGTTCACAGCACCATTATTAAGACGATCGAGACCAGGGACTGCTTCGAACGAATACGGTTTATTAGAAGTGGAGTAGCACGTGCTCGCTCCAGGCAGCAGTCTTCTTTCTTCTTCTTCCAGCGTTTGATGATGATATTTTATATACGTAGAAGTGGCCGCAGCTATATGGAATCTTGTACACCAAAGCTATGCATTAATCACTGTCCTGGATTCCCTCTCGTGACCGTGTTTGCATGCCCTGTCTCTTCAACATGAAGGAAATCAGTCTTGTAAGTTGCCTTTCTTGCAAATTCTTTGCAGATGACTTGCCGAAGTGGATAATCAACGCGATGAAGTGTCTCATCCACTGTGAGTCCTCACTTATTTTTTTTATGAAGATTTATTGTCATGTACTGCATGTAACAGTGCTGTGACCAATAGGTGATAAACGAAAAAAAAATGAACTGCAGGCATTTAATTGGGCAAACTCTTGTCCTCAGAGCAATCAAAAAACAAACAACTTGGCTGCAGAAATAGCAGTAAGAGAGGTCCGTCATCCAGTGCTTGTGTTTGGCTTCTTTTGTATATGTATGTCATCAAGCCTAGATGAACTAAATAATAGAAAATGCCTCATGCCTGATTGTCTCCAAGTACTTTATGATGCACGCTTTCCTTCTTCTGGAAACAGTAACGTTCAAAGGTCATTGATTCACTCGGCACCCAATAATACACAATATTTAGAGGAAGGCAAATGTTAGGGGGAAGATGGAAACTTGTAGAGATGAAAAATCTTTGACGGTGTCGTTCCGCTGGGGCCAAAGTTTCGACAAGTGGACTTTCTTCTTCAGTTGCAGTATTGAAGAAGACAAGTTCACTTGTTGAAATGACTTCCCCAGCGACACCCCATAATCATGAATTTTTCGTCTCTCCGATATTTAGAGCTTGTTTAGGATTTCACCATCACATATAATGATTTTATAACATTCTCATCTCTGTCTGCCTCAGTGAAACATTGGCTACGGTGCTTGGTTGCTGACTCAAAGGTCTTAAGTTTGATTCCGGCCGTGGCGGTCGCATTTAAATGGAGGCGAAATGGTGAAGGCCCGTGTACTGTACGACGTCGCTGCACGTTAAAGAACACCAGGCAGTCGAAATTTTCGGAGCCCTCGACTACGGCATCTCTTATAATCGTATTTAGATTTTGGGGTGTATAAGCCCAGACAATATTATTAACATTCTCATTTTGACCAGTTTAGAGCCAAACTAGTTTTTTTATAATGTGGAATATGATCAGGGGTTAGGTTACAAAAGTCCAATTTTTCGGGCTTACTTAATTGTTAATCAGGTCTACAACATATAAAATGTGTGACATTAAGCACCAAAGTTACGAGTGACCACTGTTACACAGACATTTCAGCTGTTGATATTACTCGTTTTAGGTACCGGTCTTGCTAGCTACAACCAATCGAGCAATGTGTCTGTTTAGTACCTTCACGCAACAAAGCCTCTGAATTTTTAAACAAACAGTCAGAATCTTGAGCAGTATAACAGAAAAAGGTATATTTTACCATGTTTTAATGGCTTTTGTCTTTGAAGCATCTGTCTGTCATATTTTCAGGTTTGTGCAACATTAGTGTCACAAATATCACGTTTTCAGGGCCTCGAGCGTCGGGTGCGGGAAGCTGCCTGCCCAATTACCCAGGCTTCGAACTGGACGTGTTGAAGGTGGTCAGCGAATTCTTCAGTGGCCTTGGAACTGCTTTGGTCCCTCAACCTATCCTGAGGCTGTTCTACCACGCTTTTGGTAATCACCGCCTGCACGTTCTATTTGCATACAAATGTGCCTCATTGAGTGGACCTTGTGTGGCGGCCTAACGGATCTCCTTTCCTGTAAGGCTTTGCCCTGTGTGAAATGCTATGTTAGCTTTATAGACTGTTACTACACTAGGCTGGCGATGTGCAGAGAATTCACTGACTCACAAAATGTAATCCTTGCTTAAGGCTCGTTTGCACTCAAGATCAGCTCAGCTTGGCCAACTCACAATAAATGTCAGAACCTTGATTGCAAAGCCTTGGACCAACTTGAGCTTACTCATATTTATTGGTCATTCGTACTTCGTGCAAACTGGCTCATGAATGGGTTTTCCAGCCTATGACGATGACATCAACAAAACCTTAATTAAGGCGCATTTCGTTTCGTTGAAATTTTTAATGAGTACCCCAATGTTTCACAATAATTTTTCTGATGCAGGGATGTTTCTATTCGCATTTTGCTTAGTAAAGTTTGTACAGGTTTCATTGTCTTGGTTCCCATTTTAGGTCCACTTGTAGAAAGCTGCAAGGTCCCGGAGGAGCCACCAACTCCTGACGCATCGGTCGAAAACCTTCTGCACAGCATGTCGATTTTAGCTCTGCCAGTCGAAGCGACGGCAAAGCCACATCAATTTACTAAGCCTAGTCTTCAACCGTCACTGTCCGGTCGACATTTGGTTTATCGCACTGCCTTTGAATCGGCAGACCCCGTGACAGTCCTCATCGAGTCGCAGGGCTCTGTAGAGCATGCGTTCGCATTGAGTGCCGAGACGGCCAGTACAATAAGCTCATGCAGCGGCGGCTTCACCCGACCATTGTCACCGGCCTACAGTGACATTTACAGCGACGTCTACAACCTGGCCTGCAGCGGCAGTGTTGGTGTGGCTGGCTTCAGCGGCGGCTTCGACACTGACAAGAAGCCCATTGGAGTGCCGCGAAGCTCATCCGCCGAAGATCTGAATGTTGCGAGGCACTTCACTCACGCGACGATGTCGGCTCCAAAGGAGGCATTGGTGCGGAGCACGGCGTCTGTGAACGTTGACGGATTCTTGACATTGAGGCAAATCAAAAAAGAACGGGAGGCGAGGAGAGGCAACATGCTAGTCGGGGAGGGGTACGTGAACCTAGGGTACGGATCTAGTAGCAGCTTGACCAGTGACTGGCAGGTGGCAGTGCAGCGTTCTGCTGGAAGCGTGTCTTACACGACGGCGCCAACTCAAGTCAGTGTGGCATCCTCTCGAGACGGTAGCTTCGTGTCGGCTAGTGACAGCGTGACGTGCCTACGCTATGCTAGGTCGAATCCGAGTTGCGAGAGCTTACCGGTCCTGGTGCACTCCACTCCGGCAGAGACAGGAAAGACTGCGGGGCCATTCTACGCAAACATCTCTTCATTGCGGCCCAGAGGTGAGTGAATACGTAGGCATGAAGTTTGGTAATGCTGTCACTGTGACAGACGCCAAAGAAGTGTCCATTTTCAGTTAGGAGTGTTTTGTTTTCTGATGGATTTTAAATGCAAGCAATAAACACAATAAAATAGCTTAATGCTACAAGGTATAGGTGTCTTTTATTGCTATGAAAGTGTGAGTGCTGCCCCAAAATTTTATGAGATAATTAAAAAAAATGCATTTCACAAGCTTTTTTATCATTAAAATGGTCACTTTCAAAATATGTCTTGATAGACTCCGTTCACCGCTTCAATTACTAGAAGCATTCTTCTATGTATCTTCTGTTAAGTGCTCCAGCAACAATGTTGTTCCCTTTTGAATGGTCATTACTTCCCCTGATATACTGCTCCCAAAGTAATAATTAATTGCAGTAATTAATGTCTGTTGGCTATCAGCACCAGATTTGTGCTACAGTAAACCCAGACAGAATGGCTGCTTTTTATGATAACATAGGATACATTTATATGGACTAGAATGTGTGATTACACTATGAAATATCTTGTGGCCGCCACGGTGATGGGACAGATTCGAGGTATTGCAAAGGTGAGTGGGTTATCGCAGCACTCGTGACAGCTGGGAGGGGGAGGTCATGAGAGTAGTGACCCTGAACTTTGCAAAATTATGGCCTCCGACAGCCTCCGCGGCACTCCAACAGCCTACTATGCAAGACCCCTCACTAATACTACATGGCTTCCCCTCTTGCAGAAAATTCTGAAGACCTGCGGCGGGCAGTGAAGGTGATGCAGGTGGCATCGCTTCTTCTTCCGCCTTGCAGACGGCGATACCTGCACCTTCTCCTGCGCTTCATTTACAAGACGTCGCGGAACGAAGTGCTGACTCTAATCCCCCATCATAGCAATATGAGTGTGGTATGCCTGTTCTCCTAAATTCTACTGTGATGCTGCAGTGATCTCGTAGCCTTTAACATGTCGTCGTGGTTCAGTTGCCGTGCGTTTCTGCTGCTGTAAGTGACTTCTAGGTTTGATTTCCAGCTGTGGCACTTGCACGGCTTGGGTGTAAGCTGCTCAAGGGAGCCAATCACTGATAAGGAATTTGACCCTGATCATGCTTAATCACTACTTCAATACATTGTGTGACATCAGTTCAAGATCCCATATATAAAGGGCCAGTCAACAGACTCAGATTTTTTTTTACACCCCCATAACAGGCTTGGTAATTTCGTAAAGTAGACCACTGTGGTCGCGTTTTCTGAATATTACAGAGCTGTGTTTCGCGCAGAGCCTTCGCTTTGAAAAACAATTCACGCTCTCCTTTTCTACGTCTGACCAACGCTCCTTGCAATCGCAGTGACAACAACTCGGCGATCGGCGATGTGACGCAGCACGCAGCTCATCGATTGGTCTAAACCAGGTCTTAACAAACAACAAACAGTAGTGAAGTCAACAACAGTTCCTGTTCCCACCCACAGCTACGACAGAGCCATTCAATCATACGAGTTGCAAAACTTCCCATAGGCTCCATGCATCGAAATTGGCACACTTTACTGACCCAGTTCTTGGAAGTGAGCAGATTTTCGCTGCCACCTGTTGATCAGCTAACCCACTATTAGATGCATATTTGTGTTTTGTGTTGCTGCTCCAAGACGGCGCGACAGTCTTCCAACTTCTGAAAAATCAAACTCCAGAAAAATCGGGCCAACTTCATGTCCGAGTTTTGGAACGCAGTTTTGCTGCAAATCGTTGTTGGCTGCAAATCAAGCTACTGGACTGTAGAGAAGCATCAGCACAGGGTAAACAGTAAACAGCCAGGCATAAGTGCGTTGCGACTGACTGAGCTCGCCGATGACGTCAACCGCAGACGTCTTGTCACATTGCTGAAGGGGGCAAAGTCACGACGACGACCACGCGAAAATTTGAAACCAACTGAACGCGATGTTCTAGCGCCTGTAGCTTCCTTAATATAGCACATATTTGTAAATATGTTGCAGCAGCATGTTCACGAAGTAAAAGTGCACATATTTCTCTTTACAACAATTTTTTGACCTTGGTGTTGTTTAGTGGCCCTTTAAACAAAATTTTTTGTTGTCGTTGCTGTTGTTAGAATATATTCTGCACATGACATTGTAGGTGCAGCTGCCTAATATAATTGTGCTCCAATGCAAGACTTGCACAGTAAGTGCAATAAATGCTGCTGCATTAAAAAACTACACCTAAACCTGCGTTAGGAGAACATTGCATGCATGGTATTGTTTGGTGCAGATATTGAGCCTCCTCCACATGTTGGAGAATTGTATGGCTAATAATAATCATATTGCTATGTGCATTATGATGACTGCCTATAAACGCACAAAATTTTCAGTAATTGGATGCTTAGAGTATGGAGACCAAGTGTAAAGCAAGTGGAAGTGTTAGAATAAACTACAGTAAAACCTCATTAATTCGAAGTCACTGGAACTGTCAAAAATCTTCTAATTAAGCAGTTCGAAGTAACAAAACATACAAAAAGTGGGAAACCTTGAGTTACTGAAAGTAGTATAATCTGAGGTGGTCATTTGCTGGGCTGACTAGCTCGCGACTCCAAGGGTTATGTTTTCCCGCAACACCTGAGCCCAGTTTTGCCGCAAAGACGGGTGAACGGGAGGCACCGCTGCTGCCAGCGGGGTGTTGGGGACCTTAGGTTCAGCTGAAATGTGCGCTTGTGGAAAAGAAGACCTGCAGCTGCATCTTTGCTCCCCGGACTAGGACAAATTTTTCGGCAACTAAGAGGCTTTTCTTTCTGAAAAAGTCGTACGGATTTTCTTGTGGCTTCATGCTACAAACAGGTGGCTGTCTTTTTTCCCTTTATTAACCCTTCCGCCACCTTGCGGGTTTCCGAAGAACTCATTTGCGAGGTTTTACTGTATAGCGTATTTTACTACATAATTGTATTACAAACTAAATAATCATCTAGTTATTGTACAGTCAGTCATGGTACATGTATTCATAAACCGAATTCAACAAACCACTCAAGTTGCCTGTGAAAGTTATCTGCTGGCAGCGAGTATTCTAAAAAAGGTTTAAAAAAAAACTTTGTGTGGGTCCTGCTGAAGTGCCCTGAATTCTATGTCTTGTAAAACACGGTACTGCCATCACTAGAAGGATTGTTTGTTAGCAAAATATTTCAACTGGAAGTGACACACAGATTAAGTAACAAGAGTGCTTAGTTTACCTTTAGTTCAGTGTTCGTGGTCTCTTCCCTGCCAATAGTGCACAGAAATGGCAAAACTAAGTCATATCTTTGGATGAGAACGCCATGTTGCAAAGGGATAACCACATTGCACATACCGCATTGTCTGATGCAGTTGCTGAACACATTTGCGTGCATCCTGATGAGCACTGATGGCAGCTGCTTGGAAGCTACTCCCGACACAGCCCAGGAACTTCTCGCTTTCCTCGTGAAGCACTGCGACCGCATCTTTGCTCCCCCCCGTGAACTTCACCTGGAGGTGGAGGCACGGCTCACCATTCTGCGAAGGGAGCGGGTAAGCAGCGACGCTAGGTGACCCTTGCCTACCGTTTAGCTGCGGCGCACGGTGCCAGTTAAACGGTCGTTGCACGAAAGATGGTTGAGTGAAAGACGGTGTTTAGTGCCTGGCAGCCTGCGCAATATATGCCATCAGTTTCTCGAACAATTTTTTTGTGTCTGTGATTAGGCTGGCTTCTTCGCTTTAAAATCATGCATGTATAGTTAGCACTCTTGTGGTCTGTTTTGCATGAAGTACGTGGAACTTCACTTATGTGATCCAAATCTGCATGATTTCTAATTTATGCACTCTTGGCGATGAATGTCAAAATACCATTGACAGGCCTAGCATTTTCTGATATAATAGATAATAGCACCATATCAAGCTCTTTTTCCAAATGTATCTACGATTAGGTTATATTGTGAATGGATTTGGTGGTAACATTTGCTTTTGGTGCTTTGGTGAATGCATTTGGTGGTAACATTTTTTTTTTCTGGTGGTTCTTTCAGCTTTCGAAATAATATCCTGGTCAGAGGTCATTGATATTTTTTTTCTAGGAGGGCTCGAATCAGCTCAGTTATTGTCGCAGGTTGTGAATGTATAGTGGAACTGTTCTGTTGGTAACACAAAAGTGTAAGAACATGAGATTTGGCTTCTGTTTGCGTGTATTTTGTAACATTGTGCTTGAACACATTTACATCATACAAACATTAACACTTTTCGTTATATTCCAGTAAACAGCTAACTTTCCTTTCTCTGCGCAGGTGTCGGTATTCCAGGTTTTTGGGTGTAATGTTGAGTGGTGTATTTCTCCGGACTCTTGAAAGTAGGCTTACATGTACAAAAATTTTCTGCATCTCAGCTTCCGTAGCATTGCCGAGTAGAAATGTGAGACGAGCTCGCTGACTGATTTGTTGGGAATTATAGAAGCACAAGATTATGGCAAGGGCAACGTTTAGGACAGAAGTGGGGCAGATTCACTGCTATGGCTGTGAAATTCATGCACTCTTCTGATACAGTTGAGTGAATAGTAATAGAATGAACGCTATTAACCATCATCGTTAGTTCAGCACTTTGTGTGAATGTCCCGGTTGTGCATTGAGGTATATTCTTTCCCTGTTCTTGTGCAGCTTTCATAACATTGTTTGGAAACCGTTGTCACAAGTACTGTAGTCAATTTGTGCCAAATGAATTGGCATTCAGCTTCAGCTGGTCATTTGTACAAAGCTGAATGATATTGCTTTGAAGGCTCTTGGACTATGTTTAAACACGAAACATTGATTGTGAATATCGTGTTTTAGTTAGGGACCCTTAAATCATGTTTTCTATGCTTGTGTTTTTTGCTGTGATGGAAACAATCTTTCTTTTACTCAGTACATTGAATGTAATTGTCATGGCATTCAAATACATTGATCTCCATTAGTTTAAATACAGTATACAAGGCAAATTTCTTTTGGAAGCCTTTGTGTATCATTTGACCACTTTTCTTGTTTATTTATAGTGAGCACCATACTCTGTGTTCTACTGCAATGATATCCGTCCATAATTAGTTCATTTCTTTGTGCAGAGGGCTTTGTTATTGTCATGAGCACTGTAGTAGTTGCTGCTTGCGTGTGTGTCATTGCACTGCTTATATATTGAAGCTTCAATTCGAGGGCCTTGTAAATACATTTTACGGAAGTTGGAAATTCTTCTGTTTATGAAATATCATGATAGCATAAGTTGCCTACCTGTGAAAAAAATTTTTCATTCTGACTTTATTCAGGAGGAGGAGTTGGCCCTTGTATTGGCTTGAAAGTTTTTTTTTTTTTTTTCGCTGTGTTGAGCAACGTGACAAAGGCTATATCTGGTTTCACATCGAAAAAAAAATCAATCATGCATATGTATTCGCAATTTTTGTTTTTACAGATAAAGCAAGCTAGCAAAGCCGAGTTGTTAGTACTACCCTGAGGTTTGCTGTTACTGTGGCTTTATTAACAGACAGTAACGCTTGCATTTGTTTTAAAGACAAGTTTTTGGTTAGGTAGACATCAGTTGTGACAAATGGTTATGAGCCAGGGCAATTATTATATATTGTGCTAGAACTGCAATTAAATCAAAAGTTGTTTTTCTTTTTATCATTTTCGTTTTGTGCATGTCATTCTGAGGTGACTTGTCACCTTGTCTGATTGCTTTCTCTCTCTCCTCCCCCCTCCTTTTTTTTCCTTGCATATTGGCTAGCTAGCGACCTTCGAGAACACTTTGATAGACGTACAGTGTCTCAGCATTAGTAAAGTCAGCGTTGCCCGCACGGACACTTCAGCGTAGTTAATGTTTATGCTTTTTGGTCTAGTTTCCTAGTGATGTTGCGCTGTTTGCTAATAAAGTGACAGCTGCGGTGGTACTCGAAGTTTCTACACTTAACGAAATCTGCATTATGTCATTCTGGTCTGTCATCAAAGTTTGTCATTACAAAATTTGTCAATATGTCAAGAGCACAGCTGAGAGACAATGCCCCGCAATAGACATCACACGCACTCCTCCAGGAAGTTCCTCGGATTTTTCCTTTGCTTGAAGATCGGCTAGCTGCAACAAAATTCTAGAATATTTAGGGACACGAAAGAGCAAAACTGTTTTTCACGTATAAGTAAAGTACCGTTTCACAATCACCAAAACACAGGACAAAATACCAAATCGTTTGTGCACTTAAAACTCTCAAAGGTTATAAACTATTCCAGAGCACTTCATTATGGCATCTCTCACTGTATAATAGTGCCTTATGACCTGATTTGATAAGGTGTTTGTATACTATACAGCCGAATTCTCACTTTGAGAACATAGGCATGAAAATTTTTTGAATTTTAAATATATATTGGGCACGTTATCTGTGTAGAAATAGGCCACTAATTCCCACATGTATGAAAAGGAATTTTAAGATAGTAGCTTTATCTAATTTGAAATGGATGATATGAAATATCCCATAAATTACAAGGAGGTATTGCATGAGTTTAACACACATTGGCTTACTAACTCTCTGTTAACCGTGACAATGACCTACCTATTCACAACTCTTATAGAAGGTCACTCTAACGTTACGAATAATTTCTCTTTTGTGACCCTTGAATGGTTAATGTATTGTTTATATAACCTCTCCTTTCTGTGTGCATTGCCTCCTCTTCCAATGAGAAGTAATGTGTCTGCATGCATTTTCTTATCACCGTGCTAAGAACATCAAAATAAATGCATTTTTGTAAGCTACTTTGTTTTACTTGACTGTGTTCTCAGTTTCGATATTTTTATTGTGAAGTGTGACAACATTTTGGACTCCAGCGTCACCTCAAAAATTTTCAGCAGCTTACATGGAAATGCCCCTGCATCAGTTTTAATGCCACTGCATTCTCCAGTCCTTAAGATTAGTCATATTTTGAAGGTCATGTTTTGTGTTATAGTTAAATAATCTATAGCTTCCCCTTATGAAGCCATGCACAAACTGTTGTGTTGCACGCGTATAGTTTGTCACTGCAACAATGTAATGCAACGAAAAGCAGTGTCTTCTAAATCCAAGTGGTGCACTGCAACTTTGTAGCTGCAGCGTTGCTGCTACTCCTACGTCTATTGCAACTTGGTATTCTGTTAACGGGTTATGTTTATGGACACGCTAAATATCTATGCTCGGTTGCAACCTGGCAGTTCAGTATGACCTTCGTACACAAAGAGTTGCTTCATCTGTCTGTGTGCCTCTGTGCTTCGAAGCGTAGGTCCCAGGAAATTATGATGTTGATTGTTTGCCTTTGCCATGATGTTACAAAAACTAGATAATATAATTGGGTGGTTCATTTCCACAAACTCAAGTAATCTTTGAGTTGGACAGTGGAAGTATTTTGTCCCTTTGTTCTTGGGTTTTCACTGTCTGTATTGATGTAGAATGAAAGAAAGTAGGAAATGAAGCATTAAAAGAGCACTAACCCAAATTTCAAGTATTTTTGTATTGTTGCTCTAAATAAAAATGCTGTTGTTAAGAATCATAAAATAAAAAAGTTACATGACACCTGCAAATTAATTGTAGACACTTCTAGGCTACCTTAAAAAAAACTTTCTGTTTTGATATCAAGAGGGCAGTTTTACAGAGACAGCTATTCACAATGTACTTTCAGCAGCTGTGTCACCTGCTGTCAGTCACATTTGATGCACATAAACAATGATGAGTGAATTGTTGTCCAGTGTTTTCTGCACTTAAGACTGCATGCAGGTTGCAGAGTTTACAAACTCAATTAACAGTGTCGACTCATTATCGTAATTTCCATTGCGATGAGGCTGGCTTGCAGATGCTTGGTGACAAAAAACTTCCTAATAAAAGGGGAATATTATATATGTGTTCGCCGAGTCAGGTGTGTGGAGAGCTCTAACGCTGCATACCAAGAAAAAAAAAAAAAGTTCCTTTTGCGACGCCTCCCATTTGTGTCAGTAGTTTAGAAACCAGCCCCTACCCCACTCCCTACCCCGCCAACACCGTTACGCTTCCCACCGCATGCCATCCTAACATTGCCTGCCAGCACCTCTAACGGGGTGGTGAGACGGAACGCTTCTTTTTTTGCAGGCCAACAAGGCGACCACTTACTGCCAGCAGGTGACGCGCGAGCAGTTCGAGGCACAGAAGCGGACGCTGTCCGAGCAAGCCCTGATGGACCTCTTCGACGACATCCTCCGCGACCCGAGGATATCGGACAAGGAACGCAACACTAGGATGAAGCAGGTGCGCTTGTGGAGAGTAGCTCTGAAATTTGGGCTTGCCAGCGGAAGATGAAACGTGGTCTAGTTTAAGGTACAGTAAAGGCAAATAATAGCTATTGTCAGGGTGAAAGGATCAATGCTTGAGAACGTCTAATATGCCAATATTGAATGCAGTAGCGCTTTAGGAATCAATAAATTAAGGAAAATGCCAGAACTGCAATTTCCACTAGTAAAGGGACATTCTCGAATCTAAGCCTAAGGACGTATGTAGGGTCTAAGCACAAACATGTAATCACAAGTACTCAAGTTGCCCATGGCAGAAAAGTACAAAGCCAAGGAAGATTTAACTAATAGTGCTATTCAATTCGATTCTTGCAAGAAAGCTTGTTGACGTTAGCTACAACAACGCAAATTGAGGTTCACACTTTATGCGGGCTTGCTCCTAGCGTCAGTTTCCTTTAGTTCCAGAATATCCTGAGGAGATTGCAAATTAATGTTAGAAGTGAATGATCTTCGTACCAAGTGCCCCCAGTGTAGTTAAAAATGCCAAATAGTTATTACTAGCTTCACTTTCCTCAACACTCTATGGATAATTATGACTAGAGCATTAGAAAGAGATTTTTCAGAAAGTTGTTTGTGACTCGCTCGCTTCAAAAGAGACAAAATATGCAAGATTTACAAAGTTGGGAATGACAAACATTTTTGGCCCTATGCATCGTTCTGCGCATATATGTCTGCTTGTTGCAGTATATCTAATGCACATAATTCGCAGTGCAGTTGTTCAGGCTATTAATAAGTGTCCCAGTAAACAATAGAGTAAGCTTATGAACATCTGGGAATTTTCGTGTGTATATCTGACATACTGTTTTGCAGGAGCTAGATTATGAGCATTACTCCTCTTTTTAAACGTTTGTACTTAGCTAGTATTTACATTCACCGTCACTTTCGTTCCTTGCAGTTTCGACAAAATTATCCTGACATCTACAACAAGAGCTAGTATTTACATTCACCGTCACTTTCGTTCCTTGCAGTTTCGACAAAATTATCCTGACATCTACAACAAGAAGACGTGTGATGAGCCTGTTCCAGTTACATTCAAGAGGAACAGCCGTTCAAGGGCCACCGTGATTGGCTTGCTTAGAAGTCTGAGATTGTGATTTAACTTCAGATCTTTAAATCCTATATACTTGTGGCTCTGGAATATGATCTGAATTTATGCACGGGTGCTTGAAGTAATAACTTAAGTGAATCGTTGTTTGTTTGATTTTTATCGCATACAGTGCCATTGAACTTGTGCATTGCAATACGAAGTTATAGAAAGCTGAAATTTCGGTTTATGGAGTCTTGTGCTTGGACACATAAAATAGTCTCCGTAAGTGAGGACCAGTGCTTGCTAAAAGCTGGCTGGGACTGCGTGGAGCATTTTTTCTTCTTTGTGATGTATGGAAAGTTATCTAAATTACATGAGTTCACAACTGTGTTTCGTTCTTTGCATGTTTAGTGTGTAAGCACGGATGAAATGGATGGCTGACACTCAAGTAGCTGTGACGTTTTTTAAGTGCAACGAAAATGGGTATTGTCTTCAATGTCTACTTCTCCGTACGTTTCCCACTACTGTAAATGATGTGTGTACGTGAGTCTCTGCTTTTCGAGAGCATGGAGTGCTGGTCTAGTGTTGTCCTTGTCTTCATCGCTGCAATTCAAGGTGGTGTGAACTGCGATGACATTGCTTTTGAAACCACAGTATTGCTGCTATATTTTACATGACCGCTGCACACGTTCGCTGCGCATAGTTAGCTCAGGGATTTTGCATGGGTTCTGAGAGAAAGAGTCATTTTTACTTTGTGTTTTCAGTGCAAGGACTATTCTGGTGGCCTTTCCCTGCCAAAGGTCTGTTGGATGTGCCATATGCTCAATGAACTACTTACAACTGATGGCCATGTATCTTTCTTACATCATGTTATTTAAAAGTATTAACGCGAAACTCTGTGGTGCTACAATAAAAAGCGATATGAGCTTTTTTTGCAATTTCCTACAGTCACGGTCAACTACATTTGCATGTGATCATGCTACGAACACAGCACTAGTCGCATATGTACAATATTAGGTTTTATTACAGAGCACTTTTATCTGTCATTATTTGATCATTTTCAGTTGTACCTGCTTAGTTTGTTTTTTGCTGTTGTATAGCACATTGTATTGCAATACAAATCAAATAAAATCATCATCACACTGCATTGTTTTTTGCCTATTCTTCCGGTGAATAGTGATAGAATCGTGCTGTCATGTACAGTCACACTTAATATCAGTTGCAACACACTGGCTGTGGTTAAAGTGACCCCAAGCCCGAACAATGATGCAAGCAAACATTAAATTGGTTCAGAAAGTACCACTAATTGAGAGAGTTTAATTCACTAATTTTTTTCCATGTAGGTGCCACTTTGCAGTGCTAGGCGCCATTTTGAGTACAGACTGCATGTTGCAACTCAGATTAAGTGCGACTGTACGTCCTAAGTCATGGCACGAGCTGTAACCCACTTCCAAGCAATGTCCTAGTTATCCACTGCATGTCGCACAGGAGATAGCAGCAAATAGTTCTTTCCACTAGTTTGTACATTCTACTTGTAGAAGTTATGGGAGCTGCTCATCCCAGCAAGTTGATAGAAGATAGCGATAGAGAACGGAAGTCTTGGCTGATGCTATGGATCATCTAAGCTCTGAGGGAAAGTGCAGATGATACTACGAGTGTTTTAGCTATAAGTAGAAGGTCTTTTAGGTTGATTGGAAAGAACAACAAGATGAGGAAGATCAAAGCTTACAATGACAAGTTCGAAAACGGGGTGTGTACTGGAGCCGACCTTTTGACAAACGAACTTTTCTTTTGTTGATGCTTGAAAAAGATAAGTCCGCTTATCAAAACAGCTTCAGCACCCATCCCCCATTTTAAAATTTCTCATATTAAGTTGAGTGCGAGTCATAGTCTTAGCTGCTTTTGCACTACCCTGGAGAACTACTTTTCAATTTGTTCATAAGTATAATGTACATAAATTGTTTGATTTTTATTGCATATAGCCATAGAACTTGCGTATTGCAAGTTCAATGGCATTGATATATAGCGTGGCAAGAATTTTGGTAAAATATCAAACTCTGTGAAAGAACGCTGAGATGGCACTTATTTTGTGTTTTTTCTTTTTTCAAGAAATGAGAAAATTATATTTCCAATGTACATTTTCACGGTGGATTTACTCAACTGCACGGGTCCAAAAGATTGCAGTTTTCCTTCGCCTGTTGCGAAATTATGCGTTGCACATGTTATGCCGAAGTGCTGAGGGACTATGGTCGATCTAAACAGTCCAACTGCGAGGCTTGACACAAAAAAAAAAGTCACAGTTTCGCCGCAAGGGCGAAGCAATGAATGCAATAGCAACAACTTGGAATAGTAACGCTGGGAACGGTTAGCAGATCGAAACGTGCAGCGCTCTGCTCAGGCACAAACGATGCACGAAAACAGTTAACACACACAGGACGAGAGCTAACCAACAACGTTCACAGCTCGATGCTTGACGTGCTGTTTAAACAAAATGACGCACGAAACTGTAATCACAGGTACAGATATGAGCTGCGAACTAACGAGTGTTCCAGTTGTTACTTCGCTGTGTTTGAAAAGCGTGCTCTTTTGCAAACGGGGCCTGCCCAGCGAGCGAAGTGATCTTTGTGCGCCCGGCAATAAACGCAATCTTTCCGGTGAAAGTTGAAGGCGCGCGATTTCGCCCACCGAAGAATAAGCGCGCGCACACGAGCACCTAATCACGATCCCCCCCCCCCCCCCCTGCTTTGCCCCATCCGCGGGGCAAAGTACGCGTAGGAGAGATAAGCGCGCGTTGACGCATCGCGACGAGCTGGGTGCCGAGCGATATATATAGATACGTGTATACATATACGGTGAATGACGGCGGTGGTGGTGACGATGGCATAAACCATCCGATACTGTCCATGTAATTGCTATCACAATAAAATTAGATAACCGGACGGTTAGCCGATAGAGGTTAAGCATGAGGGTTCGACGCTATTTGAGCCCGTGGAAGGTTCGGGCTCATACGCGGTGACTTCCACCTTTTCGTATAGCCTGTACTTAACCACCACAGCGGCTACGCTATGCCGCAAACCAGCAGAGACGACTTTGCTCAATGATCGGACTGGACAACGAAACCGCGCGCGCTGTGTTGAATTTTGAATTACGCGCACTATTTGGCAAAGCCCTATTCGCGCTCTTTCTTATGCGTATCATGCATACTTCCTGTGGCGCGTTAGTGCGCATATTATGCTACAAGATGTATATCATTATCTGTAACTATACTGTAAGAAATCTGTAGAAACTGCATGAATGTAGATAACGCGTTTTCTCTCTCTTCACCTGCCGCTACACTAGCGCCGCTTGTGGCGTGGGTGCTCTCGGAAACGAGGCTGATAAGGCGGCCGTCTCTGTGTGTCGGCCCTACGCCGCAATTTCAATCCTTCTCAAAGGCGCGAAAACAACGTTTGCGCGCTCGTTTCTGTCGGCCGCATTGCGTCTTCGAGGCGTCGCACATCACGAATACCAAGGATGGCCGATACAAGTTCACAGCCCGCCAAGCCGGATGGGTGAGTGGAAAATGAAAGCGACCGGCTCAAAAAGCGACGCGACTGAATGCGAAGCTCTTTCTCTCTGTCCACGCGGGCTCGGCTAGTTCGGTTGCACAAACTTGCCGCGTAGTCGTAAAATATGACTAACGCGTCGGTTTCGGCTGCCCGCGTGTTCCCTTGAATCACAAGAGGCGTGCGGCGGGTCGGTAATTTCGGGCAAGAAAAAAAAAAAAAAGCGCGCGAAGTGGTGCAACTTTCGCTGTGCTGAATACGGGTTGGATTCCGTCCACTCGCCGTTTATGTCAGGACGTGCGTTTCGTGAATTTGCGTTGTGTGTTCAGTGACGTTTGACCCGCGTAGTCACAGGTTTGCGTGGTGGAAACTGTGAAGCCCTAAAGTTTTAAGGCTTTCCTCCGCTTTTGTGCTGCATCGTTGTGCGTTGGTTACGCGCTTGTAAACCGTACTGAGATGTTTGTTTCGCTGCCATATTTGAAGCTAATACGTGACCCGGGCTCGCTAATCGTCACGCCTACTGGCCACAGAAGTCAATTTATTCACTAAAGCGTTTTCATTTGTTATTGCCACTACCGTAATCAAACGCAGAGAGTATTAAGCCCCGTTTGCCTTGCTGCGGGCGCACCGTGAATTCATTAATTGCCGTACTTGCCTGTCGAAACAAGCTGGCAATTGTGCTTGCCCCTTTGGAACATTCCGAGCACGAAACGGCAACCTAAACACAGCCAGCCCTGTTAGCAGAGTGACTTCAGTTGTTGGACTGCTAAGCTGGAGGACGCGGGTTCTATATCCGGCCATGGCGGCCGCATTTCGATCGGAAGCGAAACGCAAGAACACCGTGTACTTACATATAGGTGCGTGTTAAAAAACTCTAATTGGTCATGAGTAATTCAGAGGCCCCACTCATAATTATATCATGGTTCTGGCCCATGAAACCATTAGTTATTATTAAACCGACATGGCTGTAGTAATGCTGTTTTAATGAATCAAGAGAGCTCTGAAGCGTGGCAGTGTTTCTCTTGCGGTTTGGAGGTCCTGCATATTCAAGTAATTTATAATAAAGATGACACTGAAAACTACTGTCGGTCGTTTATTTGGCAAAGAACAGATCAAACTAAAGACTAAAAGGGGATGCGACAAATGCAATTCTAATGTACTTGTCTTCATGCTAGTTGCCTGTGCTATTTTAGCAAAGTTGAAATATCAGTGCACCCAAAGTTCGGTTTTCTTAAAGGAATCCTGAACCACCCCTCGGTCTTGGTCAGAAAACTTGTCCTGCAGGTAGCAGACACTGCTATGGAAATCTCAACAAATTTTTGCAGTCGTATTACAAGTAGACCATAAAGTTGCTGTTTTCAGGTGCTCTCTTGGTGCAGAGGCCCGCCCTCACTGGCTTTGGAACTGCTGGCACCCACTTATCAAATAGGCATCATGCTATTGGCAATAGCCAAGCATAAATCAAGTGTGGTATTTCGATATGATGTGCTTATTGCTGCGGGGTGCTGCCACAGCGCTTTATAGTCTGCTAACTGGGCGCATGGAGCCACCATTGCACATAAAAATGACATTCGGAGAGAGCCATTGCCTTCTATAATGTGCGCTGGCATCAGGGCTGCACCTAGGAATTTTTTTTCAGGGGGTGTTTACGTGTAGAGTGGCTAACTTTGGCAACTAGTTGTCATCTGGTAAATACTTTGGCACCATCCGAAAAGCTAAAGCATAAAAAAATTTCGGGGGGTGGGGGCAATACCTTCTTCAACTCCCCCTAGTTACGGCCCTGACGTAAATTCTTTTCCCTGTGCTATCCTTTCCTGCTTAACTTGCAGCACGCTTGTCAGGTCGAGAGGAAGCGTGTCGCGAACAGCTGAAACTCTGCTTGTTCCCTACTGGTTCGACGACAAATTCTTGTGACAGTCGATTTGTTAGACAATAAACTCCAATTCGTAATGTTCATAGACTGTCGCACCGCCTAGCAGAATTCAGGAGCGTCCTCTCAAGGATGATCAGTAGGCAGACGCTTTCTCGTACGGCGGTTCTAGCCTCAGTATTAACGCGTTAGCAAGAAACAAACACAAACCATTTTGTATGTTGCGTGCAGTGAATATACCGGACCGTTCGTGACACAATAAATCTGATTAGTTCTTGCGAGAGGTGAAATTTTCGTGAATATATGTGGCAACTCGCGCCTTCACTTATAGCCCACAGAGTACACATGTCAGCTTCACGATGTTTTCTGCAGCCACGTTGGATAGTTAAATGTTATTGTCTAATATTTACAGTTGAAACGCCTTGTGTGCGTATAGCATTATAACATTCGTCAGTGCTTTTGTAGTGCATGAATCCCATACATTCATTGCAAGCAGAAAGTAGCACAGGCTCACGATTTGCGCTTCAAAACCTTGGCCTACACTGCACCGCTTGTTTTTTACTTTCATTAATAGGTGGCAGCACACTGCAAACGATTCCTTTCTTGCGGAGTACCTAAACGAAATGTTCTCCGAACCCACAGATAAACGTGGTGATTGACGCCGTGTGGGTGTTGTGCGTGGTGAATGACGCATTGTTGGTGCTATCAAAGTCGTTCGGCGGGAGAGAATTACTCAGATTACTTTAAGCAGTGATGTTCAAGGAAAGCATCTTGACGTCAAGGATTTTTCACTGGACGTAGATGGTTGTCAACGCGATGAGAAAAATAGCGACTATGAACGATCAGCTGCTAGCTCACGAGCAGCGAGTTGCACTTCCCGTCCCGTCTTGCTTTAATGTTTTGTTTTTTCACGCTCGTAAGTCCCTTTGGCTGTATTTATTGTATATCCTTCAGCGAACTCCAAATAAAAAAAAAGTTTTTCTTGTGCATTGCATATAGCCCAATTGCAGTAAATATTACAAAACGCTCGAGCTCGACCAGTGAAGCGAAATGGTTGGAGCAATGAAATATGCAGTTACGACTACAGTCCCCGCTAACTTCTCCTGCACTTCACCGGTGCCGTCCAAATGACATTATTGTTCGACAAATTTTCATAATTTTGACCTTGCAAAAAGCGTACGCGTGTATTCATTTCGATATCCTTGTTTCGATCACGCTGATGGAACCTGCAACATCAGAGTGCAACGAACTGCACACTGTTGGAGTCTGATCATGGCTGTGACACAAGCGCTACTTAATGGGAAGTGAAATGCTTGTGTTCCGTTAAGAAGCAGCTGCACGATGCATACAGCACAAATAACGACGATGGCGTAATATGAAACATTTGGTCTTGTGTAGACACGACGACGCGCTACTTGCTAGTGGCCTAATATTGCGGCAAATTCCCCAGGCAGGCTCGGCACAAGTTATCTCGGAGTGCCATTCGATTGAGACGTGAATTCTAGTTGGCGCAGCTTTTTGTAGCACGCACAGGATTACACAAAGCATCGTTGATACACGCACGATTAGCTGCCACCACCGCCCTTTGCACTGCGACAAGAAATAAGGTAGCGAACATTCAGCAGTTCCTATAGTTTGGGAAAGTACTTTGGTCCGATATACATTCATTTCACGATCAAGAGTTCATTCGGTGAAAGCAGCACGGAGAGTACGTCCGTACGTCCAATCTTTTTCTATGCGAGTTCACGGGTTGATCATCCTTTCGCAGCGATCTTAGATTGCACGGCGCGCTACCTATAGGCCGTGAGCATTGCTAATACTGTGGTCGCACTATGATTACTTCGAAAAGCGGCTTGTGTCCCCTTTATAAGTACTGTATTTCAACATTGTACTGAAATAATTGTGGGTGGCTTGCTTCCAGGGAAGACAAGTCCAAGGTGGATGCGGCCATGCTGCTCCTTTCGGGGAAGAGGGACTTTATCGTCCAGGACTACGCGTCAGCTGCGGCGAGCCTGGAGGAGGCCTGTAAGCTTCTGGCGAACTTGTATGGCGAGACCGCCAAGGAGTGTGGGGAAGCCTACCTCTTCTACGGACGTGCGCTGCTCGAACTTGCCCGACAGGAGTCAGACGTGCTGGGAAACGCCTTGGGTAAGTCTGGCTAGCGTTTCCTTAGCATCACAGTAGAGCCCTGTTTGTTGCCGTTTTGCATAATCTACAGAAATAGACGTGTTTATTTTGATTTTTTATTCACACATTTGATAGTTTTCTTACAGAAAACCAGAGGGGTAAGGGCTAAACTTGCAAGCATGCGCCTGACTGAGACACATGCTTGCGCAGAAACACCAGCTTATGTAGACAATGAACACATAATTGAGTGACATAAGTATAATCAACATGACTAACATTAGTCTCCGCTGCTACATATGTGACAGAAGTAGCATGATGAACAATGTACCATATTATTCAGTCTGCAATTGTTGGAACTGACTACAATAATGTGCAGCTCATTGTGGGTGTCTTGAAATGAGATTGCCACTCTCGGAATCCACGGAGACAGCAGACACGGTCGAACTACACCAAACATCATGTACATTTATTCAATTACTTTTACATTGACGGCATCGTCAGCCGAATCACATACGTCATTAGTGACACGCTAAAACACAACCTTGTACTATATTTCAGTACACTCAACATAACAGACGGTGACCCGAAAGGGGCGGCGCCGATGTTCGACTCGCTACGGGACCCTGTCAGAAGGCGACCATCTGCGCCAGCTGTCACGCACCAAAGAAAGAGAATCCCCAATCTTTCCTGTCCGGCCACCCAGCATTGCCACCAGGTGTGGCTGCTGGCACTAACCATGATGATGATAGTGAAGATCTTGTGCAAAGGCTGCGCCACCTACCGCTCAGCGGCTGTTAGCCCTAAATGCAGCCTATCCGCGACACGCGTGTGTGCCACGAGGTGCAAATGACGTTACAGGGGTTGATAGCACCGCCAAACATTTAAATTTTGCAGATTTGTTTAAAGGACCACGAAGCAGCTACAGAAACACTCAAATCAGTTTAGACGCGCAGTTCATTCTTAGTAAATGCGATGCACTATACAAGTGGTTCTCAAATGGGGGTTCGCGGCCACGAAGCCATATCTGTGATCCGCAAAACCCTCACCCGCATTTTTCATTAAGCGTGTCTGTGCCACGTATTGATGAACTGTCCAAAATAAAGGGATGTGGCACGTTTGTTTGATGTTTTCAGCAGCAATGAAAGGCACCTGTTTCACGCTCCAGTTGTTTACCTACATACCCCTCTATTCCCTCCGCTGCAAGGTGTCCCCCATCACTTCCACCAGTCCACAAGGGGTGCCTGACACATCCATGGCTGAGAACCACTGGACTCTGCTTTTTGGTGGGAAATATTTAATGAGTAGCAGAAGAAATAAAGACTGGGCTATCCTTGATTATTCCTTCTGCATTTGGACTTCTATGTAATGGCAAAGGTTTTCCAATCGTCTGGTGGTGCTTATGTATATGATGTTGCCGAGGGAGTTGAAGGTTGGAAACTGCATCGGCTATGTGCATTTATGGAAGCACAGAAAATAAATGTGCTATCGTTGGGTTCTAAATATGGCTATGTGAATTTATGGAAGCACAGAAAATAAGTGTGCTATCATTGGGTTCTAAATATGAATATCTGGCTAGAAGAAAACGCAGCTGGTAAATGGGGCTGCTAAGGCATGCTTTCAAGGGTGGCATTCGGGGGGCAAATACTCCTTCTGGTTCCTGTGACTGGTGCCTTTGACTCTGGTGGTATTGCTCATGCGATTTGGCAGTTTCGCTTACTGCACAGTGCAAATGTACTTAGGTATGTGTGCCATGCATAGTAGATGTACTGCCAGGTAGACATCTGTAGTATATACAGAAAGCGGCACACTAGGTGTTTGCTCCCTCCCCCCCACCCGACACCCAGCCTGTCTTCAAACTTCTGTCCACCATAGGATACATAGCGTAATGACTCAAGGCAACATTCGAAGTCCAGTTCAGGTTCCTTCCTTTTCAAAAAATTGGGAAAATGCTCGTGACTATGCCACTGATCAATATGTGGAACACCTACAGGACATTTCAAAGAGCAAAGGTCAGAGACAGGGCTTCACCTGGCTGACCTTGCTCATTTTCCTGCAGTAAGTTCTTTCTCTCATGGTATTCATGGAAAGTCTTTTTTAACATCTTATGTGTTTATTTTTAACTTCCTCTTGAGGAACGTAACCCAACTTGACTCGCAGCGTAAAAAAAAAATCTAGCCACCAGAAAATGATTTCAGCTGCATGATTTTGTAGAGAAGTTCACTCGTAAATGCCATTGTCGCATAGGCCATCCATATGTGGGCCTTCATCCTTGTTGGTCGTTCATTCTGAAAACCATCTCCGTTCTTGATGTATGTCTGTAGAGTCCGAAGAGGAGAAGGAAGATGACGACGATGATGAAGAAGATGGAGAAGAGGAAAAGTCTCAAGAAGGGGATTCAGCGGGTGAGTACACTATGCACGTCTAAGAAACATGGCATGCCATGCATAGGTGGCAGCTTTGCTCGTGACAAGTTACTCTTGTGTTTGTATACATATGTGCAATGTACATTTTGTGCTGGCAGCTAAGTTTCAACATTGTGCTGGCTAATGTTTTCTTCACAAGGTCACAATAGTATCAAATTTGAAGGTTGTTATAGATGGTATAGGCAAACACTTTGCTTGCTTGTTTGAGGCATAACATGTGTTTCTTTTACTTGGACTTCTCATGCATAGATATTAGCAAATAGGCTTCTAACAAATATTAGATATAACTATGGTATTGTTCGGTGTTAGGCTATTGTTATAACTAATCACGACTCTACATTCAGAGCATACATACATGTGTCCTTTTATGATGCAACACCTCCGCTGCATTGAGGCACATAAGAGGCTGGCTCCATTATTTGAATGGTTCAGCAGCTAAGCCTTTCATGTCATTGTCCCTATAGAGCTTCTTACGATTGCCTAGAAGGAAAGTTGGAACTATACGCGAACACTGGGATGTTACAACTTTGGCGTAGTTGTTGAAAAGTGAGATAGCCTTAAAAGCTCCAGGTTAGCAGCATCTTATCTACCACAATAGGCTATTTTGTGCTAGAACAGCACGTAATGAATTGATTTTCAATATTGCTTAGTACTGAGGCCTTCTGCTTGCATTTTATATGAAATGTGAAGTGTACTGGCTGCTCATTGAAGTTGTGGGACAGGCGACAGTCGTTGCTTGCTTTCCTGCCTGTTTCTCTTTTTTGCTGCTTTTTTGTGTCGTAAGCAAGTGAACTCTTTTGAAAGGGAAAATATACAGGTTAATGCTGGTTAATGTGGGTAATACTGGGGTGCGCCTATCATGCGAGCAAATGCGGTATACAGCCGCATGCAGTCATTCTAGTCATGGCCCAGCGTCCGTATGGAATCTCGCAAAGATGGTGGCACCCGATTTCCCTCCAGGTGATGTCGTAAGAAACGCTTTGCTTGGCCCAAAATTGCCTCCGCAGGATCTTCTAAGGAAGGTAGTGAAGAAGAAAACGGAAAAAAACAAGACAAAGAAGAGCAGTCTGGTTCTGCTGCAAAGTTGTCGGAAAGCCCAGGCGTAGCGAACGCGCCGGAATCGAAAGACTCGTCTGGTGGTAGTGGTGATGGTGGTGAAGCGGCGGCAGGTGCCGCCACTGAGGTGAAGGCACAGCAGAATGGTGGAGGTGAGAGAGCCTGCACTTCGGGTGGCCCCAACAGCTCTTATACTCTCGTCTGTCTTTTGGCCTTCTCTTGTCATGGTTTACCTCACTTTCTTCTGGTGGTCGTTTTTCTCGGTACCTTCTTCGCATGGACACTTTAAACTATCATTGAGCCAGCATTTTGCTCTATTGACACTGGTTAATCAACGAAATGACCTCATCCTGGTAAACAGCGAGTCATCATGTAATGAAAGTGGTCAGGTTAGGAGCTAGTACATAGCACCAAAACTGCAGGTTCAGATACTCGGGAAACTGAAACAAAAACCAGAATTCATAACGAGTAGGGCACTGAAAACCCGGAAAATTGATGTTAAATTAGAGCAGAATTCCACAGATTCTGGTTCAATTGTTTTGTTATACAATTTTATGAGCTCAGTCACGAGGAATAAGCTAAGTTATGCACTTATCGGTCTTGTCAAGGTTTGTAGCTGATACGGTGTGGTTGGTCTCTTAAGGTCATCATGTAGCTTTCTCGTACAAACATTGTTAATCATCCAATGAATTGCTAGTCCGATGCGGTGTCACTCACTTTCTGTGCAAGTCGAAAAATTCAATTCATTGGTTGAAGTGGGACCATGTAAGGAGGGTATAACATCTGTATAATGGAGGGTATAATGGAGCTGGTCTTGTCGGTCAAGGATGCGGTTTCACGTCGTCACGTCACTTATGTCTCTTCCCTGTCACATTCTGTAACTTTTCATGTCTGCTGAAGCCTGGTGCTTGTTTGGAACTTAATAATTTCTTGCATTTCTGAAACTGCTCTCTTACTAACGGGCATCATTTCTTTTGTTTTAACATTCTTTCATTGTACTGTGGGAGAAATTTGCCTTGCTGATTCAGGCAGCATTACAGACTACTTCCCACGGTTTCCTTTTGCATAATGCCATGTTAACCATGCTTTGTTGCTTGTCTGAAGGTGCATTTCATCTAAGTGCACCCCAATACTAAACATTGCTATGCTTTATTTTTAGCTGATTTGCTTGCTGTTCCAAGTTTTCTCATTGACTGCGAATTTGCCATTGCTAAAAAATTTATTGCTTTCTTTTTTTGTGGTGTACGCAAATGCGTTTGAATCGCATGTTATGGTGTTTCACTAAAAAAAACAAGTGAAGACTTATAATTCCTATTCACTGGTACCTCATTTTGGCACTGGGTTCTATTTGCTATTCAGTTACGATGACATGTTATTACCATGCTTGCAAAATCATGTGAATTTCCAATCAAGTTCGTGAAATTTAATTAGAGTAAATATTGGTCGCCAAAATGTTTCGATGGTTTGATGATATGTCGGGAGTACTCTTAACTCCGTTTTCTACCCTATTGCCGTTGCGAGCCCTTTTCAGGCCGATTATCGGGAACTTGCAGGAACTTAGAAACTTGCAGATTCAGTAGTCTGATATATTTTCTCTTCTTCTGACGTCAAGATCTTCCTAGGCAAATATTGAAGTACCTAGGTGTTTACACTGGGTGATAACATCTCCTATGCATTCAATGCACTCTCATGCCACCAAGAACGGTGCCGCAGCTACTAAAGTGAAGGTTGGGCCATGTGGTCAGGTGTGTTAGTATCAAACAGTTAAAATCTTGAGGACGTTGGCTTAATTCCTGGCCGCGACTGCCTCATTTTGATGCAGGCCAAATAGTAGAGGAGCGTGTACTTAGATTTAAATGCACCTGAAGAACTCGGGGTGGTCTATATTTCCAGACCTCTCCACTCTGGCGTCAGTCATAATCGTAATGTGGTTTTCGAATGTACAACACTACCAGTTGTTAAATTATGAGCTCATGGCCTCTGAAATTCTTAAGTATGGGACTTGTTGTTGCTTCGAATGCATAAGATTGAAGCTCAGAGCTTCGAAAAAACCAGAAGTTCAGCGGAAGAGTGAAGAAAAATTCATGAACACGGGGTGTCATTGGAGCCAATATAACTACAGGTGAACTTGTCTTCTCCAGGGCTGCAACTGCTTAAAGGGGCCATTAATTTTTTTAAGTTTTGTCATTTAGGCTTGAGCTTCATCGAATCATTTGCATCACAAATTAAGCAGTGTATCCTGTACTAAGGCCACTATGGGCAATTATATCTGTACACCCCTCCTTATCACTGCCTTTGCCTCCTGAACAGGAGGCATGCTGGCATCACTGGCAATCACAGTGCTCTTGACAGCTCATGACAGTGCGCTTGACAGCTTGAGCTTCGCGTAGTTATGTTCACGGACAGGCCATGGCCTAGTGTGCCGGGCAGCACGCCAACTCGCAGCAGAAACAGAACTCGCAGAGTTATCTGCTCTGACAGGGTCCACCACACTACCAGTTGATTTTATTTTTACCTGTATGGCAAGAACTTGCCAAGGTATGTGGACAAACGATAATTCAAAAATGATCAGGGATAAGCGTAAACTTGGGCAGTGCGGTTGTGTGCTCCGACCCATAGATCGTGGATAGCAAGATAGCTAGATCCGGATAGATCGGGAGATCTATCCGGATAGATCCGGAAGATAGCATAGATCCGGATAGCAAGAGCGTGACACTCGTGGTGGAGACTCGCGCCGTGGAGGACGCTGCGGTGCCGGGTGCTGCCGATGCATGTGAGAAAACTTTTTACACGAGTGTTCACTTCTCCGCTGTCCCTTCCAACTGCCTCAAAAGCGAGTCGAGTTGCTTGCACGCTGCACGCGTTCTGCACATGTTTTGGGGGGTTTTGCATCACGTGTTACGATGTACATGTTTCCGGATCCACGTTTAAGAAGAATCACCGCAATTTAAGATTTTCTTCGTGGCAGAAATTTGGTGAAAGGCCAGTGTCTGCTCAGCCATGTAGCAGATGCGGTGCTAGTGATAGCAGACTGCACTGTAATCAAACTATAAAAACATGTGCGATGGCGTAAGGTCTCATAGAAAAAATTTGCAATTGTGGCGATCTGATGTGCACAGAAGTATTTCTTTTGAGAACTGCACGGAGATTGCTACGCATGAAAATTTATTTATCAAACATTTTGCGTGCTCCGATGATTGAATCATTATTACTTTCAGTGAAACGTATCCAAAGAGTAATGCGCTTGTTGTACTCGCTGTTGGGCTAGTTGGCGCATGTCTCAATTCAACAGTCAATTTTGCACCAAAATCACAACCACACTGCAAACAAAGAAAACAAATACAGGATGGGCACAACTGTTACATAGACAAATGTGCTTATTACTAACAATGCTCCAATCTTGCCCTTAAAACTAGAGATGGTGGCTTGCTGGGCTAGTTGGCTCATTTCAACATATGTAACAGGGCATCTTTCTAGTTTTTTTTTCTTGCACATCTTTCGTCTTTTCTAGTTTTATGCACTGTTACATATCTTCAAACGTGGTGGTGTGAAAGTGTCACGTTTGATTAATACCCTTCTATTATTGCTTTACTTGATAATTACGCCGGCAAGAAACAAAATTTTTGCTGAGCGTGAATTCAAGAATCCATAAAATAGGTACTGGTGTCAGTCATCTTTGTCGTTTCCTACAAAACGTCTGCTACAAATCGTTGTTGAAGCTTTTGGCAACCACACACTTCCATCGGCGCTGGATATAAAAAATGTATAACCACACATCACAAATACCAGGTGCGTACAAGACTTCCAACTACTATGTCCCCAACAATATCGAATAATAGTAGTACCATAAACATATATCTTCGCAAGTTTTCCACAGTGCTCGAAAGGCGGCAGTTAGAAGTATTATGGTAATTTGTGCTTTTAAGCTGCAGACGTGCGCCTCCCTGTAACTCGACAGATTAGAGGGGTGGAGGCGCAGGAATTGACTGCAGTTAAGTTCAATGCATTATGAACATGCTCACTTTTATGAGAAATTGTACTTTTTTTGGCGCATTGCTTTGATTCATTCCTGTCTGCTTTTTTTCGTACCATCTGTTTGGGAATCGGTAGAATTTCACTGGTGTAGTTGACCCCTTTGTGTTTGCATGGCCATTGTGACAGTTGAAGACGCAGCAGTGATTCCTTCCTCTTTGTGAAGGTGAAATCGCGAAACGAGGGGTGTTTCATGTGCAGCACGAGCTTCACAAACGTATGGCAAGCAAAGGGAGCGGAAGCATCGCAAAGCTCCAGAGTTGTTTGTGCTTTTTGCAGCAAGGGAATGGCAAGCGCTGGCGTCGGCAGGCAAACTTGAGTGGGTCTTCCCTATCGCAGCAACGCGCTGAAGTGATTCTGCTCGCCAGATGCCTCGCAAACATTACACGGTGTTGCAGTTTTACAAGTCTCCAAATGCTAGATATATGGTACACAACACGGACAGGGCAATTCATTGTGTCCAAGAAAAGAAACCTCGAGATAAACACTATCACTGAGCTCTTGTAAACACTGAGCACGTTGTGGCACAGACAGACTACACTCTGCCCACAGGAGGTTCTATGACGTAGACTTGACATATCGAATCGGGTCAGTCACTGGCGTTGCATAAATTGGAACTATTCGACGTGCAAAAAGCGCGAGAAGTTCAAAACTCACTTGGCTGAGCTGCTGTGATCTGTAGCAATTCGTATGTTTCAGGTCTTGTAATAAATTACGCAGTTGAAGCAAAGAGAGCTTAAATCAGATTTGTCTTCACGGGATTCTTAGGACTTGCCTTAGTAGTTCAACGTACTTATAGAAAATTGTTAAAATCATTTCAGGGTCGCCTTAACGCTACAGTGCTAGCAGCCTTGAAAGAGACAAGTCTGCTTGTCTAAAATTCTGGCTCCCTATCGACAAGTCGTGTTCACGAATTTTTCATCTCTGAAAGCGTAGGGCTTGTAGCATTGACACTGCACCTCTGTAAGGCAGCACTGGCTCTGCAGAAAACGAGGAGGATGCTGAAGAAGATCTCGAGAAGCCCGAGCCTGCACTGAAGGAGGACACGGAGCCGCCACCCAGTGAACCTGGCACTTCGACGGCGGGTCCCAGTGGTTCGTCGTCTCCACCAAAAGAGGTGCTCTTCCATTTTACTAAGTGTTCACATTCTGTTTGAGTGGTAGCGCAAGCTTCAGAGACGAGGGACAAGAAAGGTGACTCACAAGCGCTAATTTAGCGCTTGTGTAGGCCTGTGTGCTCAGACTTAAGGTTCACGTTAAAGAACCCCAGGTGGTCGAAATTTCCGGAGCCCTCCACTACGGCGCCTCTCATAATCATATGGCGGTTTTGATACGTTAAACCCCACAAATCAATCAATCAATCATCAATCGCCTTCTTTGTCTCTTGTCCCTGAAGATTGCACTACTTATGAGTTCAATGGAGTACGAACCAGCCCAAACAAGCACCTTGCTAAGTTATATTTCTGTTTGAGTGATTTGTGGCCCTGAACACACACGGATACTTCGGGACGACTACTGTAGCTGTGGCTGTGCAGTCGAAGTTGCAAGAATGTACTCGGTGACAACCTTAAAACAAACAAACAAAAATTACTTTATTTAGTAATTTCTATCTCGTGGAGAACCTGTAAATGTGCTCCATCCAGCAGTACTTGCTCATTTTTCACAAGTCAAGCACTTTTCAAGTGTTTCATATAGCTGATTTACCCATACGAATGAATATTTGTGTGGCTGGTTTTAGACAGGAAACATGAATGTCCTGGTAGAGTTTGTCAGGGACTCTAACATTGCCGCTCAGCCAAAATTAAGCGTTTTAGGTAGTAGCAACGATCCTTTAACTCTTTATATGCATAATGTTCAAATGAGCCGATAAAAAGTGATAACCAGCTAGGACAACAATCTTTCACCGGGGCAGGGCAGGCGCGTCATGGTTCTGTAGGTGGAGCTGCTATTTTTTTTTCCTTGGGTTAATAAGAATAGAGCTATCACACAATTTGGGTACGCATGGATTGTCTGAAATGGCTTGGCATTAATTTTCTATTTGGTTTTCATAGCAAGTGTTAGCCATCTTTTAAAATTCACTGGAAAGGTGAGATTAAAATTTGTGGAATTGCGATATGAAAATGTTACTAAATTCTCTAATAATATTGTAAGCTTATGGTGCAAGACCCATGAAATTAATTTTAATGAATATATTGCAAATAATGTACACTAATATTTTTTGTAGCACTAATCATTCTAGCTGTGGCTACAGAGTTGAAATTCTGCCCTCTCAGTGTGTGTGGAGACAATGGTAAATATTTTAATGCCCTGCAACACCGATTCAACATGGTCCAAACATGTGAGCCAAGTATGATAGTGTAGCATGCAGCTTGGAATTTACAATAGATTCTTGATCAGCTATAAATCGCTCTCTTTCTCTACAACTGATGCCAATAATCAAATTACTGTGCCATATATCCTATGTTTATGGCTGTTGGCTGTTTTGAGCATCGTGAGCTCCACAGTTACTGTGCCCACTGTGAAGTGCCACCATGTGACCTCGTGTGTGCTCGAGATCACACTGAAAGCAAGGCACACACAAAAAAGTCTATAAAAAGTGCTCAAGTTCGTGATGTGAGTCATCTTACTGCCTTGTCATCTCCTCCCTGGTTTGCTTTTAGGGCACTAATTGCACGTAAGGAGGGAAAACGTTCAATGTGTACGCCACGTCTCTCTAACTTCGCTCGTACTTGACGGATTGGAAAACTTTTTACGGCAGTCTATTATTGATGCAATGAGCTCTTTTAATAAAATGATTACTTAGAAAAGCGTTGAAGGGGCCCTTTAAAGGGACACTAATGTCGAACATTAAGTCGACGCTGACTGCTGAAATAGTTGTACAGAAACCTCGTGCTACGTCTGTGCCATGGAAGTGCTTATTTTGAAATAAAATGTTTTAGTAATACGCATTGCATTACGCACTTCGAATCTCCTGCCTCAAAGTGGCCATCTCACGTCACTGTTGCCTTGAACTATGCTGCCCGGCATTACTGCGCGGTCACCGACACCAGTAGCAGCAGAGCGAAAGTAGCAGGAACCACAGCAGAAACAGTGGCCATTGAACAATTCCCTGCCATGGCCTCCAAGATGGCAGGCATGCTTGGTTCAACTGGGCCTCGCTAGATAGCACTAACTGTCCAGTTTTACAAGGTGAGAATTGAATCGCGCCATTCCCCATAGTAACATCTGATGGTTTTTTTCCCATGATCAAACGAACAGAAATCAACAAGCGGCATTTTATTACGTCTTTTGATGCACTGAAGGTTTAGTGCAGCTTTTTCCATTGCATAGTAGCGAATAAGTGTAGGTGGTAACTTTGACGTCATTGGAAATCGTTTTGCAAATGTCTTGCACGTGGTGCATGTGTTCTCATGCATGTACCTTAATTTTTCGGTAACTAGGGCACCGCTGTTGATACCGTATTTTAGCGTGTATAACCCGCACCAAAAACCCAAATATTTCAGTGGCAAAGTCGAGGTGCAGATAATACGCAGGGTTTTTCTTATAGTGCTGCTTCACAGCAATGCGTGTTGTGCTGTGAAGCCCCTTAACAGTGTAGCGAAGGCTACGGAGGCGGTTTCCGCAAATTCGTGTTGCTCCGCAAGTAGCACGGCAGCTTGCGACCGATTTTGGTTTCGCTTGCTTGCATCGTTGAAGTGTTTAGAAAAACACTTGGGGAGAGACAATTTGATTGTTCCGTGTAAAATCTCACTGTCACACCACAAGTATATTTTTTGGACGTTCGCGGCCGCTCAGTGACCCTCCACATGTCCCTACGTCACGGACACCATATTTACTTTTGGGAAGGGCTTGCCGAAAAGGTGGTGATATCTAAGAAAGTTCCATAATAAATAAAGTAAGTTCCATAATAAATAAAGCAGTATTTATTTCAGCAAGGCAAATGAGATATTATAGTGCCTATAGAGATATTATCAGTAAATTAATGTACTACTTTTTGACGCGGTAGCAGGCATGCATTTCGGTTCTGTTGTTTCCAGGGTGCTGTTACAGTGTACTAGAAGGGGTAGTGCTGTCAAGTTGTCGCCGAGTGTGAGTGCTCTTTACCTCGCTGACACTGCTAGTTCTCCACATCTCGACCCGTTCGCCAAGCCTAAGTTGATCTGTTCTGTCACCATGAGTAGCGTACGGCGGCAGGCCTTCACGGCACAGCAAAAGCTTAAGATCACCGCCGTCATTGAGGAATTCGGAAATCGCGAAACGGGAAGACGGCATGATGTGGACGAGTCCTGCGTGCGACTGTGGAGAAAGAAGAAAGAGAGCCTACAAGCTGCGCACCGCGACCGTAGGTCATTTCGTGGCCCCAAGACCGGTGCCTACCCTGAGCTGGAGACGGAGCTAGTAAAGTTCATCGAAGATGTGAGAAGCAGGGGTCACGCCGCATCGACCGAGATGGCCCAAGTTGAAGTGCGGCGACTTTCGAGGGAGCTAGGCCTACCTCACGAGTTTCAAACGAGCCGCGGATGGCTGCTCCGCTTTATGAAGCGGCTAGCGCTCTCAATCAGATGGCGGACTACAATATGTCAACGCTTGCCTGGCTTCTTATGAGGAGAAGCTGCTCAAGTACCGGAGATATGTAATTGGCCTGCGAAAGCAGCACAATTACATTTTCTCGCAAATCGGCAATGCGGATGAAACTCCTGTTTATTTTGAAATGCTGTTGGACACAACGATTGAGAAGACGGGTAGCAGTTGGGTGAGCGTGCTGACTGGCGGGAACACGAAACTGCGCATCACAGTCTTGCTTTGTGTCCTTGCCGACGGCACGCAACTGCGACTATACGTCATCTTGAAAAGGAAAACTCTACCAAAGGTTCATTTGCCTGCCGGTGTGGTGGTGCGCGCACACGAGAACGCGTGGATGAACAGTGACTTGTTCGTAGACTGGATCAAGACGGTATGGGAGAAGAGGCCCGGTGCGATGCTTGCAAAGAGGTCCATGCTCGTTCTTGACTCGTTCCGCGGCCACACAACAATGCGTGAAGGACCGCCTTTCACGCAACGGCACCGACTTAGTTGTTATACCCGGTGGAATGACGTCAAAGGTGCAGCTTCTAGATGTGTCGCTTAACAAGCCCTTCAAAGCGCATGTCAAGCGCTATTACGCCGAGTGGAATGGCTGAAGGCTGCTACGACTTGACGCCGACAGGACGAGTTCGAAGGCCTGATATTGCCCTATTCTGCAAGTAGATTGTCGAGGCATGGAAGGCCATTCCAGGTGAGATGGTGTGAAAAAGTTTCAAGAAATGCTGCATCACAAACAACATAGATGGAACCGAAGATGACCTTGTGCATAATAGTGAGGACTGCGGCTCAAGTGATAGCTCTAGCGAGAGCAGTGACAGTGAGTGAATTGTGACTGGCCTTGCAGACAGGGTATTCTGCTTGCTAAATAAAGCTTTTTCTGTCTACATATGTGCTATGTTGCTTGAGCAGTAGTTTTGTACAGCCTTTCCTGTATATCAAATGTGCGGGCAATACGCGAGGATCTTTTTTTTCTTTCTCGGTGAGCTGAAAGTGGGGGTGCGGATTATATGCAGGGGCGGGTTATATGCGCAAAAATACGGTAATCGCTGTCGTTTTGGACATCATACATTGAGCTTTCACTCTGGCATAGATTTAAGTCTTCAATATTAGGATAATCCTGCTTCACTTGCTATGTTTTTCATATATTGAAGGTCGGCAAGCCTGCTTATTTTGATTAAGTGTAAAAATTTAATACTATTAAAGGGGGAACAAACAGTGACAGTAATAGTACTAATGTTCGCTATTGCATCATGTAAATGAAATTTAAAGCGCTGGTACGTACTGATAGCTTTTTCCTGTGTGTGTGTGTGTGTGTGTGTGTGTGTGTGTGTTACAACTGTTCTTGTTTAATTGCTTCTTTAATAAATTATTCCAGGTAATTTGTTTCTATCAAGTTATGACAAAAATGATCAATATTTGTGCAATGGCTTATTCTTCATTGTGCAGGAAGACGTTCCCAATCTACAGTTGGCGTGGGAGGTGCTTGAAATAGCCAAGAATATATTTAAAAGGTATTTCACATCTGCTGTCATTCCTAATCCTTTTTGTGAACATGGTATTGTAGAACATATTTTTGCTTACCGAGGCATTCTTTACTTCCACTGCAATTGCAATAATTTTAGATTAAAAGGGCCCTGCAACACTTTTTCTTGTAGCCATTCATTAAAGGAGCTTATTGCCTGACGAACCCACCGCCGTAAAAAATTTTCGAATCCATCTTGTATGTGCGGACTTGCAACAATTTGTTGCATGCTACCATTGCATCCTCTCGTCTCGTCAAGAGCCCTGGAAGCTAAGCATGAGGGGATAGTATGGGGAAAAAAAATGGGTCACGCACGCACCTCGTGTCTTCGAGCACTTCTTTTGAATAAGCGGCGATGAGTGCTCGAGCACTCATTGGCATTGGTCTGATCCTCCCTCTGAGCGAGCGTCATCTGCTACTCGCTCTACGCGAGATCATGGCTGTGTGCTCTACTAAGTGACATGTTCGCGCTCGTTCTGTGTGCGTGGCTAAAGATCACTTATAGGATAATTATGCTATAGTTTGGCTCCTACAGGTAGAACCTCGGTGATCACATTCGTCGTGAACATAGACGCATATACTGGTGGTGAGACACTTCGGACCTTGGGAAGACAGTTTTGGGATGATATTAACGATTGGGCTTCATGTAGTTTTAAACATCGAGTACCGCAACCATGCACATCTCAACTGAGCTTACTGCTCGGAGTCATGGCTAGGTCGAACTTTGCACACTATACTATGCTAGCAGACATGCAAAAGCAAAGAAGCAGCAGTGCGCTTTGTCACAAGAACGAATCGCTTGGCCTACTGGCTTTTCGGAACCACAGATCGGCGTTTTACACATTGGCAACTGATCCCCCAGTTAAGCTCGTTGTGCAGCGACTGCTCAGAGCGCAGGCGGAAGCAGTTAGCAGTTTCGCATGTCATTGCCAAAAAACCCAAGGCAAAGCACGCCTGATTTACTCTAGTTAAAGTTAGTTTTCGAAAGTTTGAATAGTACTTCGAATTGTAAAATTCTGGTGTATTGAATAGCAAACAGTACAGTCTAACCCCTTTATAAGAGAGACTGATGTAAGAGACAAATGGGTGTAAGAGACAGCGTGCTTACACTGAAATGAATCACTCTCCTGGTACATTTCTCTTATACAAGGGTTCGACTGTATTGGAAAAATATTAGAAAGTTTGAGTATTTGCAGACGCCTATCCACAAGTGCTGCACATGATTCCAGGGTGCTGGTCATATCAGCAGTGGTGTCCAGATTAACACGGGCTTATCAAGCCTGATATGGCATAAGTTTTCTATTTTCTAAGAGTGGAAAACGCCTTTCTGAGGTTGATTAGAATATTTTTTGAATCTGTAGACACTGTTGCTACACACCAGCTATTGTTTATCTCTCTGGTAATTGTCCAGCTAGCTCTCTCCCGTGGCTTTTCTTTAACATCACTTATTGTCAGGGATGTAATGCCTTGACGCGTGACAGCGCATAGTTACCAGCCATTAGGTGCAAATGTCATGTTGAGGCCATGAGAGGATGCAGACGAGACCGCGTTTTCAGACAGCTTCCTGCAGCTGCTGGCATGAGGACGGCATAAATCCACATGTGCTGTCTTTGCAGCAGATTTTGTCACAAGCATATGCATGTTTGCATTCTTTTTTCTTAACGAGGCCCTGCAACATTTTGATTCACTAAATTTGATTCTCTAAAAGAGCTTATTGCCTCACAAATCGACCACTGCAAAAATTTTAGAATCCATGCAGTATGAGCGGAGTGACAAATTGTTGCACACTGGATTCGCGTTTCTCTTTATTCTCGTCCCAACGAAAGCACTCGAAGCTTAGGGGGGAGGGATGGCACGGAGAAAACAAATAAACCACGAAAGCCTCGTGACCTCGATCACTTTTTTTTTTCTTCTAACGCTTGGCTTTCTCAGTGCGGTCGCGCAATGCATGCGTGGACAAGTCACGGCGATCCCTGTCACGACCGAGCAGGTGACGTTCAAATGAGCCAATGGCTGTTAGAATAGCAGAGACGAGTGATTTTTGAGCATGTTTCGTCATTTTTTTTCGAGGGAAGAGAAAGCTATTTTTGAGAATTTATTGTGAATTGCAGGTTGGGCGTGCTGCGCTGTAAGGTTGGGCGTGCTGCGCTGTAAGGTTGGGCGTGCTGCGCTGGTTGGGCGTGCTGCGCGTGCTGCGCTGGTTCGTGTGTTTTTGGGAGCTTCAACTACTGATCAGCAGCGTTTTCTGACCTATGCTCTAAAATTGTTGCAGGGCCCCTTTAACTGGGCAAGTAGCTTTGTTGAGTATTAGATTGCAAATGCAAGCCTTCGCAAACTTTTGCCCGACGAGAGTGACAGTGAGCATTTTTTTAAGGAAACCTACTTTTTTGAGTAATTGTCAAATGGATTCATTAAAAAAAGCTTACAGCCTTACAAATTGACTGCCAAAAACATTTATAATTTGTCGACTGCGAGCGGAGTTGCAGGTACTCGTCGTACGCTTCAAACGCTTTCTTTCTTCTTCCACCCCAGCAATAGGCCAAGAGGGCAAGCAGCTACACGCATTCGTCGGCAGATGCCATGACCTTTAGCACGTTTCGTTTAATTTTTCAATGCGTGGCTTACTTTCAATGGGATTTCGAGTGCGCTGGTGTACTTGTAACTCTGTAGGATGTAGTGGGGGAGTGTTACATTGCAGCATCTCATGGCGGCTGCGGCGACTATGCAGCGCATGGTACCCAAATCAGCCAATGCCCATGGACTTAGCTTTTGCGACGTGGTTATTTCGGATTTAACATCATTAGTTGAGAGAAGAGTGAGCGATTTCTAGCTAACTTTGAAGAATGTGTAAATTCTAGGCGGTGTGCTGCATTTGGCTTGGTGTTCTCAGGAGCGTGAACTACCAATCAGCAGAATTTTCTAACCATCCTCAAAGGTGTCACGGTCCTGTCAAAATATTGAAATTAGCAAAGTTGTTTGCATTAGGTGCAGATGTCAATACCTTGAGTCGTATGTCAAGTTTCTCGTAAAATTTTGTCGTGCATCTCCCATATTCAGAGTTTGAATGACTGCTTTGGTTCTTGCAGGCAGGCAGAGGAAGAAACGGAGAACCAGAACGAGCACCGCCTCAAGGTGGCCGAAGTGCTGCTGAGGTTGGGCGAGATCAGCCTCGAGTCAGACAACTGCGAGCAGGCCGTGGAGGACTTCAGCGAGTGCTTGAAGATCCAGATGGAGCTGCTCGAGGCCGACAGCCGCAAAATGGCCGAGACGTACTACCAGCGAGGGCTGGCCTACTCGTTTGGTGGGCTGTACCAGGAGGCCGTCAACGATTTCCGCGACGCTGTACGCGTCCTCGAGCTGCGCCTTGATAATTGCAACCGGTAAGCTTTTGTCTGGTCTGGTTAAGTGCCTTTAGCAAGTCCTGACATCAATTTTCAAATGCAAAACATTCTCTTATGAACCAAAAGCACTTTGAGCGTTTCTGTACATCTATCTAGCAGCCTATGCATGGGTGCTGTTATGGTCACCTTCTTAATTTGTTGTATACCAAAACTGGCATAGGAGGGTATAATTCAGATGAGTGTTCGCACTGTCATTGTCATTTGTCAAGTGTCGACAAACGCTGACAACATTTTTAAAAGTTTTCACAACTGCAGTGATACCCCAACGGCAACGGGGTTGCCCGGCTAATATTCAGGACGCACAATCGATTATCAGCCACGGTGGCCATACTAGGAGAAAGTTGAAAGAAACGGTCGCTACTTATTATCTTTAATGCACTGTTTCTATCTATCTCTCTGTATCTGTCCATCTAGCCACATGTCTGGGTGTTCTATTGTCACCTCTTAACTTTTTATATACTAAAATAAGCACAGAAGGGTATGAGTGTGTGACAAACATGATGAATATAAAAGCTGTCACGTACATCTTGACACCCTTTCCCAGTCTCGTGTTGCACATACTAGCCTATAGTATGCAGGTATGCTCCACAGGTGATCTGCAGTCTATTGAAAACTTCATAAAATACTTTGTGGGTGTCAAGTAAGTACACGATTTTAATTTAGCACTCAACGAATTGCATCTACAGTTCTATGACTTGTAAGACTATAATCTAGTGTTGCTCATCCCTGCATGGATACGCCAACGAACACTCCATACAACTGGTTTCAATAACAGCGACATCTGTGGTGCAACGCGAGTGCTGACATTATGGCTACCGTTTTGAGACCGATGTGTTCAGCCTGCCTTTGTAAGTGCACTCAAACCTCATTATAACAAAGTTGCATTTTACAAAAAATTAAGTTCATTATATCCAAAGATGTGTTATAAAGGTTTATTTCTAACACTGTATTCATTGCCAGACTATTTTTCATATGCTTTGTTATAACCGATATTTTTTTATATCCGTGTTTTTTATATGGATGTTTAAGTGTAATGGGCTCGAATCGTGGCATAAGCAGCTGCTGGCTGACTGCTTTGCGTACAATTGATTCCCTCAATGCTTAGGATCTGCCAAAATTTTTCGTGTTTGAGACCTTGTTGTGGTTAGGGTGCTAAGCTTCACGGTTTAGGGAGGAAGTGGTTCTTTTTATTATCTTGTGATTTCCTTTGCCCAATTTCATGACATTGCACAGTCTCATTCAGTTTTTCTTGCCGATTTTAAATATGCACTTAGTTTTTAAATATGTCAATTAGTTCCGCTGGTAATTGTTAATTAATTAGCATAGTCCTGGGAACAATCGTTCAAAAACTACTCATCAATATCTTCGTTCAGATAGACGGCTGGATACCAGGAAACATAAGATTCAGAAGGGTAGGAATACTTTTTTGATATGACAACTATTAGAAATTATACAGCTCATGAAATCTTCGTGCTGAAAATGTGACTAAATAATCGTTTGAATTAATGAATAATAAAGAAACACTGACACAGAAACACAAGAGTGTGCCGCTACCATTGTGGAAACCATTCGTGTGGCTCCGCTTTGCAACAAGAATGATTATTCTAGGTGCTCTGGTTATTGAGAAATTGCTCCCGAATAGTTGCAAAGCGTCAAGAATTCATAAATTGAAAAAATCAAAACAAACAAGGCTCATATTTATTCATATCTAACAAGATGTAATGGCACATTCACCTAGCTAACTGATCAGTAGCCACCAGAGATGTAGCCTCTCTGCCGGGAGCTGCTAGTAGCGTTTTTTTTTTGTTGCAAATTTCCTGCAGATGCACGCTTGTTCACTGATGCTGCTGCACGCCGGTTGTCTTTCTCAGCCATTCTCTGGCTGTTTGGTAGGCCTGAACTCAACTGAAGCTCCTGTAGTATGGCAGATGAAGTTCTTTCATTCCCCGAAATAAATGTCATCACTGTCTCGGCCACAGCAGCTTCAACAGCAAAAAGCGGGGTACGTTGTTCCTTTGGAGCCAATGCCCAAGTTATTGAATTGAATGCAAGCATTCGTTATTCTTGTGGATTACGCTGCACTGGCACCTTTTAAGCAGTTTTTCTTCTGAAAGGTGCTCATATACTGGGTGAAGTGCTTTGTAAAGGGCTCATTCTTTGCATGAGCAGCATCTGACGGCTCCAAGAGCTGGGACCTGATGGGGCAAGACTGTGGTCAGAAACCTCATCATTGGACATTATGTAGTGATATGTCGCCATTGCAGCTTTCCATGTGTCTTTGACGTTCCCCTTGTTTGACTTCAATGCCCATCTCTAGTATGCACTAAGTTTGGTGATCAAGTCACCGGTCAATTTGCCTTTTCCTGCTAAAGCTTCTGAAGCGGAGCCCTTGTGTAATGCATTGAGTGCATGCCGGGCTGTGCCCATTCTTTTAATGGAATTTTTAATGAAACATGATTAATGGAATTTTCTTTTCGAATCGGCACAAAGCCTGCCTGAGCACTAAAAATGACTACCACCATTAGGTTTGTGGTGTACCTCGGTTGGTGCACCTAGTGACCTCTGAAACAGTAGTAGTGCTGCTTCGACTTCCATCTCTCTAGCTTTTTGGTCTGTATTTTTCTGGCACAGATGGTTTGCCTTCCAATTTTCATAATCCGGGTCGCCAGGCTTCGGGCTGCTCGCACAATTTGCACAGTTGCTCAACGCAATGTAGTCGAGCACAAGTCCTGAAAAGTTTATGACTGTGCCGACTCTTATGTGTGACAAATGGCCGGGCGTCAACGTGCCATCGAAGGATGCCGCTATATTGCCGGAATTAGCTATATTAAGGTCACTGTATAGTGATTTCACAGATGCCGCACACTTGCCCATAAGTTTTTAGGGCACTGTCGAGGCCGCCGGCACCAGCTTTTGCTTCAAACAATTCTGCCACGTTTTGGCATGAAGGCCGCGGTGCGATATATTTATTGCAGCGAAAATATTATTGCAGTCTGCCGATTGCCAGTGATCACTTTTGCACGAGTGGACTGAAGGTTCACAACGAAGGGACTTACCGTCGTGCCGTGTTTTGCCGGGTGGGAGCTCCACTCGGAAAAAAAATTGTTGCACTTGTCGCAGAAAGCTATATTCCTCACGGGGAATGTAGCTTTCAGCATTAACCTAGCGCCGTTTTGTGTGAGGTATATAATGTTTTGTAGCTGACGGCAGAAAGTGCGAAGCGTGTGACATAAATTGTTTTAGTAGTTTCGTTCATTTGGTGTGGACGAACCTAAGGGGTGGTGCACTACATGTTACGTAGTTCCAAAGTGCGTTGGCATATGGAACATTCGTGAGATACATAAAAGTATGCATTAAAGTTGCTGTATATATAGTTGCAGAACTGCAGAACCATTTAAAGGCTGCTGGGAAAACTAAAAGCTGGAAAATGAAAACAATTTTTATTTTGTTCGGCAGTTTGATAGTTCAGACATTGAAGGATTAAAGTGTTGTGCCTCTTTCAGGTTTGTCAACGAGAACAAGGACAAGGAACGCAAGGGCAGCTTAGAGGACGACCCTGTTTGGGTGGCCGAACGAGAAGTCGAGGATCTGCAGCTGCTGCTGCCTGAGGTGCGGAACCGTGTGGAGGACACCGAGGACACCATTCGGCAAGACTGCCGCGCTCTCAAGGACGCCACGATCGAGAAGATGCGAGAGCGCTTACCCGTAAGTTGAATTCGTAAGCAGTGGGTATTGAGATTGTGCTGCGAGTGTACGTTGGCCTTGACAAAAAAAGAAAATGCCTTGAAACTCTACAGAGCTGTTCAACAATATCTAGCAGGGTAGCCAAGTTATTATTCTTAGTCATTTTGCTCATTTAGTTTTTAAAGCGGTTAATTGCTATCTATCCCATGCACAGTGTGGGCACTTTTTTTGTGTGTGTCAATGTGCATATCGCGGCAAATTGAAATTGATGGAGACCCAGTGCAGTGGTCTATTGGTTTTGGTGCTCGACAGCTGATCGTATCTCTGCCACGGCGTGCCAGTTTCGATAGAGACGAAATGCCAGAGGCCCGTGTAGATTAATGTGCGCGCTAAAGATCCCGCAGGTGGCTGTTAATTTCTTGGTACCCACCACTATTGCATCTCTCCTTGTCGTGTGCTTTTTGGGACGAAAAAAAAAATCCACCAATTACTTTGTATTTCCGGCGCTTTCTTGCGAATTACACTGGCGTGGCTAATTTGCGTGCATTTATGCCATGTGCAGCTCAAGTTTATCCAGCACGAAATTCGCTCACCAGATTTTTTTTTCTTGCCATCTCATTTTGCAGGCACCATCTCCGGTCAAAAAGAGCTCAGATTCCCAACCCGTAAGTGTTTTCGCTTCGTTAGTGCACATCAATAGCATTCCGAACTAGCACATGCTCTGCAAAGAAGTGTACATACACATCGTTTATCACTGTTTCCTATGCAGGAATCAAGCCGCCCAGTTAATGTCATCACTCATCTCATAAAGCGAAAGGTTTGGTTTTGTTTCTTTCATTATTTATGTTGAATGAGCAATGAAAAATATCTAAAGGAATATTGTACTACTAGTTTAGCTGTTTTGTGGTCAGGTTCAACATGCCAGGGAAGACGAAAACACCGACAATAACTGCCATAAATATTGCCACAAGTGAGTTCGGCAGTGCTGGGTTTCTGGACGTTGTAGCGACATCTTGTGATACTTTTGTCTTATGATTAGGGGGTGTGGGAATATTTGAACTGTGGAATATTTTTTTAATAGTATTTGCTATTTGAATTTATTCGCATAAGCATACAGTCGAACCCTGCTACAATGAATGCCCCTTCAAGGAAATTTTTGCCACAGTCAAACCTTGTTGGTGTATACCCGCCTCAGACGTACTAATGGCTAAAATGTAGCTGCGAACGAATCCCCTGACAAGTCTCGTAGAGAATAATGCATTGGTGGACCACCTAAGCCGTAGTGTAGGCTTATGCCTATCAGCTAACTGCATACCACGATAACTTTGCGCCAGAAAATTTTACTGCTCGAGTGAACTTGCAGATGCCATATTATGCCTCAAACGGTTCTTTGTCGCGTAAAGTGCGGAGATCAATCGATCAGTTATTCCGACTTCTGCTTTATCGCGGCAATGGCCTTGCGGCTTATCGTAAGGAAAATAATGAAGGTGAGGTGGCAACCACCGACAAAGGCGCCGCCGGTATGACTTATCACCGGCGGAAAGACTTGTCGCAGTAAGCATCCCCGGCTACCTGCCCGGGCACGCGTGGGGTGAGGCGCCTCGTTAACCATACTGCTCGCTTTTAGTATGCAACTATCTGAACGCGCTGGGCCAGCAAACGCTGCTGCTTCGTTGTGTGGAACCGTGTTCAGGCATTTATAGAAATGCAAGTAGCTCGCTGTCAGCGGATTTCGGTGTTGCAGGTCACGGGCATCGAGAAACCTTGCTGTATTGCGCCAACACACGCACCCTACAGCAAGCATGGAGCTGTTGTAGCCATACTGCACATTTTTTCTTCAGCAGCATCCGAAACGTGCCTCCGTCCGCTTTCAGGACTTCTATAGCATCGCAAAGAGTGCATCGCTTGCGCAAGATTCGTCGTCGCCGGGTTAACTCAACAGGCTACTCGCCGCATCTGTGCATAGCTTGAAGCGGAGCAGGTGTACTCTACAGCAAGTGGCATTGGCAGTCATGGTGTGCGGAGGATAGGCAAAGCGATGCACGCAACCAGCCATGCAGTAAATGATTTGGCTCTCTGCAACCGTACCATGTTAAAAAAAAAAAATGTGTCAGTTTGTCGCGTAGAAGTAGACCGCGGAATAACTGTATCACGGACCGTCAATTATGTCGTTCTGTCGCTGTTCCATGCTGCGTATCTCGGACCCGCAGTAGGTAGTTTCGAAATGTTCCTTGGCTTTGCCACTGCGTGCTGTCGAACAGTTGTGCTAGAGTGACAGAATCTTTTCTGCACTTCGGCAAAGAGAAAGAAATGGCTTTGCAGTGGGCACTTTAGGCAATATTTTCCCATCACAATGAATGGTGGCCTTTGGCGACGATGGAATGTCAGAAGATGCGAATTTGTAGCTGGTGATTAATGTGTAGTATGTTTAGTGCGTAGTTCTGCCGTTGTCCTCGGCAGGTACATATTAACGGGGTCTCGCTGTACAATGAAAAATTCTCGGTTTCTTTTTAGCACTTCATAGGAGTCAATGCATAAATATTCTCGCCACAACAAACACTTCATCTGACGTTCAAATTCAGCGAAATTTGACGACGCGATTCCAGGCTCGGATATTTCATGCCATGCAATATACACAATATTGAACATTTTGATGCAGTGTCAGCACATAAAGACGTGTCTATGAAGTCTAAAGCGTTTGTTGGCATCGCAGAGCTGATGTGCTGAAATCCCATCTGCGGTTCCAAGGAGAATGCAGGCGATGCAATTCCATGCTCGCGAAGCATGTTGCGGCGTCATCACTTTGTATACCTGCTAGAGCGATGCTCTTGCTCTCTATATTTGAGTGCATCTCGGTAACATCGCCGTTGTATAGCGGAGTTAGGCCTAGTCGCTATGCTTGTTTGTATATTAGAATGGTTCGAATATTCGAACGAATAGTAAAGTATTCGAATTTTAATTATTCAAGATGATTTGAACATGGCACGCACAGTCGGCTTTCATCGTTGTAAACGCTTGTATGAGCTGAGCACGAGGCTTCTTGCAAGGCGTTGCGGTGGGCTGCCGAAAACAAAGACTCTAACTTCTGTATTCAGAAACTCTTCTTGACTCGAACTTGACTTGCCATCAAGTTCAATGCAACGTGCTTGTGCTGCCTTGGCACCATCCTAATGCAGCGCGTTCAAAACACATTAGTGCTGCATTGAACGCGGCGTCAAGTCAAGTTCAAGACAAGGAGTGTTGCTGAATATGGGGGTAAGTAGTCCAAAAGAACTCATTTTAACCTTATAACAGCTTTGTTTCTACGGCACAGCACATTTTCACTTATTACTCAGGCTAAGAACGAAGAAAAATCTCATTAAGGGTAACAAAATCATTGATGTATTTCTTCTTGCTTACACATTTACTGTTAGAAATCTTGCTAGCCTATGTAGCGTTGCGTTTGGTGTATGTAACGGAGAACGGTGTTTCGAAGCTGCATGCGCTGTCCTTACCGAAACCGCTCCTGCATGTCGAATTGAGGAAGTCGTTTTTGTTGAACGAGGCAGCCCGGCACATTGCAGAGAACAAGTGACGGTGCCAGCTCTTCTGGAGGGAGCTCCACTTGCGTGCTCAAGAAGGTCAAGCCCGAGGTCACGGAAACTAACGGCGAGTCCTCTGGCAAGCCCCCGGCATCGGTGAGTCATGTTTGGAGCATGACGTCGCTTCCTTCTTCTTGCGTTTGCGCATTTGCAAGCTTTCCACATGTGTGGTAGGGTCTTGATTGTTGAAGCGGTGCAAGTAGGCCCCTTCATTGAACTCGTGTTGCCGCACCCTTGTACTAGTTCATCGGGCAGGCTCACCAAACAAGCTGCAAAGGGTCAACAGTACTTTGCCACCTTGGTCGTTCCACAAATTTTCTTCTTAGAATGAGAGAAGGGAGGACTTACGTGGAATGTCATAAAAAAACAGCAGAAAATACTTCGCGACGAAACAGTAGTGCCTGCTGACATTCTGCAAGTCAGGCACCACATTTGTTGCTAATGGCAACGACGTGAGCAATACATTGAAAAAGACAAGCAACAATGCGCTGCGAGCTTCCCATACGTAGGAGCTTCCAGCTCGTTTCATTGGGGGCAGCCCTCCGACCTCACAGGGCTAGTCAGAGCGAATGATATGTGGTGAGGTGACCTAATGAAAATCATGTTGTGGGTAGGAATTTTTTCTTTTTTTAATTTTCTAAATCGAACAACTTTAAACTGCGTGCTGTTATCGCTGCCATTCTTGCTGCGTTAATCTGCCTTTACTTCATTCTATGCAACCCACTACTTTAGAATGAAGGATTGAATAGTGTTCGAAGGCTCCTTTAAAGGGACACAAAAGTCAAACAACAATTTACACGAGAGTGAAAGCTCAATGTATGACAACGCTTAAAACAATTTTATCAACCGCAGTGCTCTACTTACCGAGAAATTAAAGTAAATGCACGAGAACAAATGCGTCGTAGGACATTCTCAAAATTATCCCGATGACGTCATAGTTACAGCCTACAATTAATCACTAGTAATCGTACTAGCTGTACTAAATGAAGAACCTTCAGCTCATCCAGAAATGTAATAAAGTGCTGCTTGTTCGCTTCTGCTTGATTCATGGAAAAAAAAAAAAAAAAACCTCCGGACATTGCTTTGGGGAATGGCGCGAAGTGGTTCAAAAGTTCAATTTTGGCCTGGTTAAACTGGACAAGTCGTGCCATTTAGTAGGGCCCTGTTGAATCAAGCTTGTCTGCCATCTCTGAAGCCATAGCAGGAAATGGTTCAATGGCCGTTGTTGCCGCTGTGGCTCCCGCTACTTTCTGCTTCTAGTAGTGTCCGCAGCCACGCAGTAAAGCCGGCCAACGTTGTGTCCGGCAACAGTGACATGAAAAGTTCTACTTAAGCAGGGTTATTCGAAGTGTGCTAACTTGATGCAGACCACTAAAACGTGATTTCATTTTCAATACAAGCACATCTGGAACTGGATTATTGCCTCACGAATTCAACATTGCAAAAATTTTAAGAATCTGTGTGGTACGAGCGGAGTTACAAAGATATGTCACACGCTGCCAACGCATTCTCTCTTCCCTCGTCACGACGAAAGGGCTGGAAGCTAAGCAGGGAGGGCAAAAGGGGCAAAGAAATACATCATGCACGCTTCGCGACCTTGAGCACTTCTTTTTTTTTCTTTGAATGCGTGGCTTTTTCAGTGTGATCGTGCGTGCACACGACCGAGCGCGTCATGTCCAAATCAGTCAATGGCTGATTGATGGGTTTGCTATGTGTGATTTTTTAGCATCTTTGGTCATTTTTCGAGGGAAGAGAAATCGACTGATAATATATTGGGAATTCCAGGCCGCATGCTGTGCTATATTATTTGCCTCGTGTTTTGTCGGGAGCCTCTACTACTGATCGGCAGCCTCTTCTGACCATGCTCAAAAAGTGTTGCAGGGCCCCTTTAATAATTGCCTTTAGTGTCTCTTTAAAGCTTAGTCAGCTGTATTCTGGCCGTGAAGCTGTGTAGCACAAACAATTTCAATAAGCTTGTGTGAATACTTGAATGCTTTGAATGTATGAACGAATATTGCTGTATTCGAATTCGCTTCAATTTGAATTTAAATTACTGAGAATTTGCAGTATTCGAAATGAACGAATAGATGTATATTAGTCCGCGTGTAAGCTTCTGTTAAGGTTGTTTCACTCGAGTAAAGGAGCTGCAAAGTCATGAAAACACTTACACAGGGGAAGTCCACACTGTTGCGAAGCTCCACTTCTGAGTTCGATGAACATTGAATCATCATTTTTCAAAGTTTAAAAGCTTGTTATATCGGTTTATTAGCTCCAAGTATAGTAAATTTTAACACATAACATATTTTACAGGCTGTCGTTTGCGTTCTATTGAAAGTCAAGTCCTGCTACTAGTCAAAGCTGTTCGCACTTTCTTTGCAGCAAAAAGCATGGCATTTGCATAGGCCTTGTTTCGGTTATTCAATATGTTCTGCCGATTTAGTCAACAGATATGCCCATTTTTTTTATAATATGTGATATATACTATTCGAATTTGATTCGAAATTATACGACCAAATCGCTATTCGCTTCGAACCTTAAGTTCACTATTTGCACTAGCCTAGATTTTTGGTGAATGTTTTGGGCAAGGTTGTGTCGTCGACAAGCCAAGCTTGCATGGCTTTGGTGGCGTTCAATGTATTAAGTGGTTTTACTCATTTTCAGGAAGCATCGATTGCGAACGACTGTGAAAAGACTGCCGCGTCTCCTTTAAAGACCGTGGCCTCTTAGTGGATTGTGAATTTGCAACAGCATGTGCACTGCGAGACTGTACGTCTGGTTGCCGCCACAAAGCGGTGCACGTGGAGAAACTGCCCTCCACTACGTATTCACATTACTGCCTTGATCTGTGCGGTTGGGGTAGTTAACGCATGTCACTTTTGTCGAAGTGTTACTTTTTTCTCTTGCTTTTGAATGTACCATTTCACACTGTATAAAAGTACCATTGGATGTGTTGTATTTAATTCTGAAGCATGTGTTTCTTTGTGTGCTGTGATTCCTTGGTTGTAACTAATAAAAACAAAATGTCCCTTTTTATGTAAGAATGGTATGCTACTTGATACATGTATTGGTGGTTTGTTTATAAATTACTATTACCAAACATTTCGGTTTCACATACTTTCCTTCCCTTATTTATAAGCAGTACTCCTTTATATCAGCAGCGGCGAGACAGCTGCGCATTTTGCGCATTTTTGATAAGTTCCGTTTTCTTGCGCCGAGCTGCTCGAAAAGCATAAAGATTGCAAACATTGCGCCAAACTGCTCCAAAACGGCCTCAAAAGCCAGCCTCAGCTTCAGTGTGGGAAATAGGCAGAGTTGTCTACAAGTAATAAGACGTGCCCAAGCATGTTTTTACTTTGCACCCTTCTGGTGATGCAGGCTTCCATGGTGTTGCCATAATCTCCTCTGGACAGTTGTAAACATGCGTGACCCCACAAAAATGTGCTGCTGTACATCGAGTGTGCTGCTTCGATCTAGTACTAGCTATAGGCTGTGTATTCTGGTGCCATTGTTGCTTAGCGAAAATCGGTTAGCCACTCATAACAGAGTGGCATGTGTAGCGGTATTGACTGTCGGGTTTTTAGTTGTGCGTTCCTCTGGTCGCTCCGGTTTTCACGTCGACACTGCTGTGTGCGGTCATTTACGCGCGGGTTCTCGAACTGGGTTCGTTGAGCAACAGAACGTGTGCGACGTGCTCCCAGTTTACCTCCATTAGCAATTATTTATATAGATTAGAGAGTTTAGTTTGCATTTAGAGAGGCCATCGCTCGCCAAATCCACACATCGGTGTCTACAGATAGCCGAGAGACCCATCTAGTAGCAGCATTATATAATTTGCACGGTTTGCGAGCTCGTGGTGATAGAACGTGCTTTAAAACAAGTTTTAACTATATTAACGAGCCCCTGTGCACTTTATTCGCGACTCGTGACGTGTTGGTGATCACGTGGACGAGTTTTCAGAAATGGTGATTTGCAATACTGCTTGGTAAAGGAGCACTTCAGGAGGCGTCGCTGTGTCCCAGCTTTGCTCTTGGCTACACATAGTAAATAGCACGGATAATTGAGCTAGTTGGTATTGGTTCATATGTTAACTAAACAAAGGTGCGCACACAGACACGGACACTACAACAAGAAAATGCACACAACCATAACCATAGCCTCCTTTATTTTCTGTGCCTGCGCTTTGCCGCCGGGATCAAAGGGAGCCGACCGTCAGGCTGAGTTCCCGCAATCACCACCAGGCGGCGCTGCCTTCCCAGAACCGGCAGAGCCTGTTCACTGACTCCGGTGCTACCGCCGGCACTGACGGGTGGGTCCTTCGTTGCGCGTTTTTAAGCGGGGCAAGCTTAAAAAACAAAAGTGTGATACCACTCCCGCGTGCCACTTAAACATTTAGGAGAGAACATATGCAAGAGAGAAAGAATAAGTACGCAAGATAGCACATTGAACAGAACACCATACCTTCAAGGAAACGGTAGAGAAACTTGTTTATTGCGTATTAATTCATTCGCAACCCTCGGAAACGAACAAGAGGGCGTCAATCGAAACGTTCCTCACACGCACACAGTCTGACGAGCTTTAGTACCCTCGTTGACACTGTTCACAAGCAGCAATCACAATTTTAGCAATCACAATTTTTTTTTCTGATCGCCGCGTCACTTCTCGGGGCTTTTGTCGAAGGCTGCAAGTAGCGCGGATATTCTTCGAATACTCTAGGCACCACACCTTTCATAAGCCTTCGTGTTTTACATCCTTGCTTAAAATCAGAAGCTGCGAAATGATGACTGCACACGGTTGAGTAGCAGGAAGTGGTGTTCGGCGTCCAATTGTCTCGTGAAATGACTTTTATCCACTTTTGCCGCAACTCCTCGTCGCTTGGAATTTCGTGGAATGAAATTCCCACTTCCTTCTTTTTGCTTGAAGACTTGCAACCGGGCACGCAACAGTACGCCATCGCACCTGACGCGTGTTATCACAGCCGAATGAACCACGGAGACTTGTGTGCGTAGGCCGCTGCACGAGACAGAAACGAGAGAAACCGTAAACTAACATTCCTGATTACTTAGCGAAATTCGCTGATAGGTGCGCGGAAAAGCCTCACGAGAAAGAAGCGCGAAAAATGATAGCAAAGCATGAAACCGGCCCTGCAAACACGAGGTGCAAACGACGTTGTTTGTTTACACGCACTCACTTATTGCCGCGTGTCATCTGTTCACGCAACACAATGAAGCAACAGTTAAATAACATACTTGCTGAAAGTACTACGCTGCGAAGATAGGTGCGCGGAAAAGTATTGCCAGAAAGAAGCGCGAAAAATGATAGCCGCGCTTGACAACGGCCGTGCAAACGCGGGGTACAAACGACGTTGTTTGTTTATACGCACTCAGTTAATGCCGCGTGTCATCTGCTCACGCAACACAATGAAGCAACAGTTAAATATCATACTTGCTGAAAGTACTACGCTGCGAAGATAGGTGCGCGGAAAAGTATTGCCAGAAAGAAGCGCGAAAAATGATAGCCGCGCTTGACAACGGCCAAACGCGGGGTACAAACGACGTTGTTTGTTTATACGCACTCAGTTAATGCCGCGTGTCATCTGCTCACGCAACACAATGAAGCAACAGTTACAATTATATTTGCTGAAAGTACTACGTACCGTTTTGGTCGTAAATAATTGGTGTTGCAAACGTATGCGACACGAACAAAGGTTTCCTGGAGATGCGTCGCCGCGGCTGAATGCGCCGACTCGATTCTGGGATGCGAGCGCCCCTGGCGGACAGCAGACGCAAAAAGAGAGGAGGATGCGGGAGGCGGCCGAACGGGCCCGGCGGACTGACTGCGCGGGCACAGAAAATAAAGGAGGCTATGACACAACATAAGCTCCTTATAGAGTTAATATATTAACTCTGTAAGGCTACACTATGGGGCTACACAAGCTTTTAGGCTTAGCTGTACGTTCGCCCGTTGTTTTTGAAGGGCAGTTGTTCCGCTTTGTAACTGGCATAACCCCCCCTTCCCCGTCCTTTCTTTTCGCAGCAAATCTGGCCCCTGCACTTTCGGCAGTTTGTTTGCGTGGACACATCGCTAACCTGCACTGCGCGATGCGAGCGCATTATACGCGAGTCACGGTGCGGGCGGCAATTGCAAGTTTATGTATTATTGGAAGTTCTATATCAACGGTGCTGGCCTTTGATATTAAAGGATGTATAGCAGGCCAACGTGGGCCGTATTAATAATGAGTGGTTGCGCGTCGAGTACCATTCAGAGTACCATCGCCAAGTACCATTCGTTTATCACTTAGTGCCATACGCAAGTGCTTTACGAGATAGTCAGTGCGGCGAGGTTTTGTTGGTGCAAGATACATTGGCAGTGCAGTGCGCTTTTGCTGTCTGTTAGAAGCTTGGAGTATACTTGATGGTATGCCGTTCGCGCAGCTGGACAGATAGAAAAGCAGACGTACAAAAAGTCAAAGCCGTACCTGCTAAATCAAGTCATTATTCTTAAAAGGACACTAAAGGCAACTATTAAGTCAACGTTGATTGTTGAAATAGTGGTTCATAAACCTCGTAGTGTTACTTTTGGGCCAAGGAAGTGCTTATTTTGAAATTAAATCACGTTTTAGTGGTCCGCATTGTGTTAGCACGTTTCAAATCGCCCAACTGAAAGTGGCCATCTCGCATCACTCTTGCCTTGCACTACGTTGTCCGGCTTTAGGTGCACAGCCGCCGACACCAGAAGCAGCAGAACGAAAGTTGTGGGAGTCACAGCAGCAACAATGGCCATTGAACAGTCTCCTGCCATGGCCTCCAAGATGACTGACGTGCTTGGTTGAACTGGGCGCCGCAGAGAGCACGACCTCTCCAGTTTAACTTCGCAAAAACAACTTTTTAACCATTCGCATTTTATTAAGTGTCTTAATGCATGGAAGGTTCTTTATTTAGTACAGCTAGTTCAATTACTAGTGACTGATTGTGGGTGGGTAAGCCTGACGTCATCGGGATCATTTTGTGAATGTCCCAATTGTAGTGCGTGCATTCTCGTGCATTTACCTTAATTTCTCATTAATTAGGGCACTGCTGCTGATCTTATAATTGTTTTAGATGTCATACGTTATTAGAGTTTAGTGTCCCTTTAAGAAAAAGTCTACGGTTACGTAACTCCGATTCTTGTGTGATCGCAACTTTTTAAAACTCTTCAAGTGTGTTTTTCGTTGTGAAATGTTTCCGGAGAACGTAGTTTTCAGAACCTTTTTTTTTAATGTTATTTCACATGTTTGTCTCAAGGGCGTTTGGTATGTAAAAAGGCAGTGCAGTTCATAGCTGGCGATAATCTGTTCAAAGACCTTCTTCAAAGTCGGTTTCAGTGTTATGTGCATTATAAGCCAAATACAGTATGCACTTGTGCCCCCATGTTCCGAAAAATTTGTTTTTGAGACTCTTAGGACGACGTATTAAATGCCGACAACTGCTCTAAGACAAAGTTTGTCTGCTGCAAAATAGAAATTTCGCTGCTCCAACTACTGCTCCCATTTCACTCTCGGCCGTCTCACCCCTGTATCAGTCTTAATATAATTTCAGGACTCACTGCCAGCACGCAAACTGGGTATCAGCAACAACGATGCACTCGTCTATAAAGTTAGTGTCTTTTGGCATTATCGCCTGTCTCACCTGCAGTTATTTTGGAAATAGCTTTTGCCACTTTTGTGTAAGAATGCAAATTCCTGTTAGTGAGGCCATTTGTGAGTTGCAGTTCTGGGTGTCCAAGTGTGCAAGTAAGAAAGGAATACATGACACAAAAGCTAGATTCAGCTTGAAAGGCTGTGAATTTTTTATATTGTAAATTAATTTTTCAAGATTGGCAATTGTTTTGAAGCCTGTAATTAGTCCAATTAGAACATACATCATTCTTCCCACTCACATTGAAATGGCCTCAAGGTATCTCTAAAAGTGGCTCCACTCTTTAGGATAAGTGAAGTGTCCGAACATAAACTTGCTGTGTGCACAAAACTCTGTGTAGTTGCCTATGCTCAAATTTCACAGCATCTCAATGGGGCCATTTTCTATTGCCGAGATTAAATTTTTCTATTCTTGCACTAGGACTTGCCATTAGTCTCGTTAGCCGCATGCATACTAAAGCCATTCTTTGTAGCCACTGCAATGTTTTGAACTGAATTACGTATGTTAAAGTACTGACACCGAAATTTTTGCTTGGCTTCCTTATTGTAATTTGTAGTATTGTTTGGTAATGCTGAAATTGAATCGTAAAGGCTTTATACTGGTGTCACTTCAAAAAGCCTATCTAAAATTGTAATAAACTAATGCCCCAGAGCGGGGGAGCACCTAAACCACGTAAACTCAAGCTTTGGCGACTCGTGCGAGTGCAGTTTTCAAATCTGGCCCCTGCGTGGGCATAGAATGAAACAATGTGGGTGCTTCAGCAGGAGTTAACACTGTTCAAGGGACACTAAAGTCAAATAACAATTTGAGTGAAAGCTCAATGTATAACATCTAAAACGACAATATTATCAACAGCAGTGCCCTGTTTACCGAGAAATTAAGGTAAGCGCACGAGAATACATGTACCGCAGTAGGACATACTCAAAATGATCCCGATGATGTCGGATGAACCGCCTGCGATTAATCACTAGTAATAGATCTAGCTGCACTAAATAAAAAACCTAGTCTGCATCAAGAGACGCAATAAATGCTGCTTGTCCGTTTCTGTTAGTTAAGGGAAAAAAGAACCGCGGGATGTTGCCATGGGGAACGGCACGAGTGGTTCAAAAACTCGATCTTTGCTTGGTTCTGGCGGGGCCCAGTTGAACAAATCGTGCCTGCAATTTTGAAGGCCATTGCTGAAAGTTATTCAATGGTTGTTGCTGGCTCCTGCTACTGCAGTAAAAAAAACGAAAGAAAGAAGATAACTCACCATGACACTAATTTTTACATAAGTAGTATCTACAACGTGCAGCAGAATTTGAAAGTCAAGTATGGCTCAAAAAGGTGAACTCGTCAGTTAATGAAATAGATGGGCTGCTTATGCATTTATCAGCACACCTTCTGATACTAAACGCTTCTACTAATTCCCAAGTTAGCTTGTCCTTGTGTTAAAACAAAATAATAGTGTCACACCAAATAGGATAACATTGGCAGCTGCTGCAATGCTCCGCTAAGTGGGAGTGAATGCTATTTTCCAAAAGTTTCAAATGTTTATTAAAGTGACTGTTAATGCATCGGCCAGTCTGACCTTATATATATATATATATACACGGCCGCAAGTTAGGGAAATAACTAAACTACCCCTGTCCTGCATGTGACAGCGTGACTGATAGGTCGTATGTAACTGATGATAAGTGACAATTATGTTCGGTATAGTGCAGTAAGATAGGGTAATGGCACAATACTGTATGTGGAATAGCACAGAGGCCGCCGTCTTATGCACGCTGACGTCACACTATGCACGATTTTTATTTTAAGAGCCTGCTCGTGCTTAAAAAACAAACAAAGGACATTAGCTACAATTAGCAAAGCGGAAACCGGGTAGGACAATTGCCTGCAAATTATGAAAGGCTAGATCCGCCGGTTACCTACATCCTTAACATTAACCTTGCACCTGATGAACTTGTCACATTCTTTTGCAAGACGCGCAATTTTTTTCTTCTCAACTTCGTCAAATAGTTTGTCCACCTCGCAACAGATGTGTTGAACCTTATTAGGTTCACTAAAAGCAATCTCTACACCAGAATGATTGGCTATATGTTTGAGCTCGTGTGCAAACCGATGAACGCAAGATAAAACAGCAAAGCGTTTTCGTTGTGCGTCTTTTATTGCAGAGGCGTGCCCTAGTCCACCCTTTAAAATCTTAATGATCTTTTCGACAGCTCTGCTTGTAACATTTTCTGGGTATGCAGCCATCTTTAGATGGTTGATTTGACGTGAAAATGCCAAATTCATGGTGTGAATGCATGACTTTGGCAAGGCACTCCTTAAACAAGACCCAGCGATTCCATTTTTTACAATTTTGGAATGTCCTGATCTAAATGTTGAGAAGAGGTTTTACTGTCCTAAATTATACAACCAACATATGTGTCCCGATAGTAGGTGCAGTGTTAAGTCAATATAAACTAACTGGTTATTATGGGCAACCTCATGAGTGAACTTACGACCCGTTCCATATTCCCTAAACACCTTCAAGACATTTACAACATTGCAACCTTGCACGTTTCTCTGAGATAACTAAAAAATCAACGAACAAAAAAAAACTTTTTTTGGCCAGACCAAGCAGTCCTTTATGAATATTCCTGTTTATTGGGCCAAGGAAATATAGCTGCGAACAGGGGCTACTTTCGAGCCAACGCAGACCCTTAAATCGTGGACATACATCTCGCTTTGCCATCCAATGGATGGATATTTCAACTAAAAGGCCAAGATTCTTTCGTCGTTTCTTTTGTTTTTTTTTCGTTTTGTTTATTGCACACATGTGCTCTGGAGCTACCCTGGGGTATATATTTCATGCATTTCTTTCAATGAGAGACAGTGGGATTGTGCGTGTTGGTATAACATCATAAAGGGTGCTTACCAGCGCAAACGACAGGGCAGGAGGGGACAGGAGAAGAGACGAGACAGAGTGCTGAACTGCCAACAATTTATTTCTTGTGAAGGTTGTTGGCAGTTCAGCGCTCTGTCTCGTCTCTTCTCCTGTCCCCTCCTGCCCTGTCGTTTGTGCTGGTAAGCACCCTTTATGGTTCTTTTAATAAACTGAGTTGTGAGTTTGCGCTTGTTTGTCTTCTTGCCTTCTGTTTCCCGTCCACTGTGTGTGTGTCGAAATGTTACCAAGAATGTTCTTGCAAACAAATTTTACACAAACCCAGTTATGAAAATCTGTACGATGTGCACATAAATATGGACAGCTTTACGGCACTCTTTAACGTCTCGGAATCAAAGGCACAAAATGGAATGGCTATATCTTTATTTGTTACAATGTGGCACAGGTATGACTGACAGCAACTGATCAAAAAATGAAAGCTGGGAAAATGGAGCTTATAGAAATCTGAGCTGGAAGCTAAGAAAATGGAACTCGGAAGTGAGCTGGCTATATTTTTTATTGAAGAAATGCAGCTTTGTGCCTATCATGAGCTTCGATCTATCTTCTTTACAATGATGCTGATATGGCAGCAGTTTGCCAAGCGAAAGATGCAGATTTGCATTTTCTAAAGCCCAGTTTTCACATTGCTTTTAATGGATGGATGCAGAAAAAATAAATTAAACATTGAATATTTTCACCAAATTCATTATTCCCATCGCCACATCCCCCCTTAGCTATACGAAATCGGGCAGTTGCGTAATTATGATCCGACACATCAGCTTCTTCGGTGACTTTGTGCCTATTTGGATGCCTTACTTTCAAGACTTCAAGACTCTAAACCAATCACCTTGGGTACAATGTTCCATCCACACAGAACTGAATTCAAGTGGTTTAAATGCATTGCCTACTTTTTGAAAAAAATGTAACATTGAACTGGCCTGGGGCAACCTGTCCACACAGGACGACAAAGTGCGTCCCAAAAAGGTGTCCTATTGAATACCGAGTGGGCATCATCCAAGATTGTTCAGAACTGTGTAAGCATAGAATCTAAGTAGTAGCAATCTACAAAGAGATGCTGTTATCAGTATCTAATAGGGACATTTGAGCAATCAGGTGTTTTCATGTTAATTATTTCTGTAATCATAACATATTTAAATACCAATTATGATCTTTTACAATCTATCTCTGAGGTGGTTGAAGTGAGGCTCTGTTCTTTGGCCGTCTTCACTTCTGGTCACCTGTCTCATCATGTGCTTTATGTCCTAGATAAAAGCTATTTGCAAGTGGACAACTAAAGAGAGTTTAGGTAAAGGCTAGCCGTGAAATCCTGGCTCGGGAATTTTGTTTTTCAAGCCTATTATAGCAGGATTCCTGATAAAGTGTGTGTGCAGTTGGATTTTTCAAGCTGGTGTTAATCACTACCTTATTAATGCAACAGACTGCATGAAAAAATTAAGAGTTACACCACAGACAACTTTATTTACAAAATGTGGCATAATGGAAGTGCTGTTAAGCAAATTAACAAAAAACATCTATTCTGTCGACAGTAAACTCTGCGAATAAGATAACTAAACAAGCTTTCAATGAGCAACACACTTGGCAAAAGATGACAGTACGAATATCGATATCGAACCTTTGACATGCACTTGTAAACAGTTCACAATTCCGATGAACAGTCGAATGACAAACATCGAAATCGTTATATTTTGGCGTTCCTAACTGCATCATTCGCAATGTCACTTTTTTTTTTTTCGTGAGGGTAATCATTTACAGGAGAAAAAAAATCATGAATGCGCAACTAGCTACTTATCGCCAAAGAGAGCCTTAAACTTTTCAATGTGCTTAGCACTGCGTTTAGCAAAGTTCGACTCTCTAACAAGCAAGGGTGCCGTCTTGCCGCTGAGACACAGTTTGTTGACTAGCTCATCGAGGCCCAACTCCTGCGCATCGAGAACGCCTGTGGGACGACGCTTCGCGTACGACAGCACAAACGTTGCGAACGCGTACCCTGTCATGAATGCATCGAAGCCTGCCCTGTGCAACCCCGTCGTGAATTTGCGGTCCCTGTTTGAAACATCTTCAGGAAGGGCGGAGTCCGCCTCGTCCTCTTCTATGGCCGTCAGGTCGATGGTTGAGTGCTCAGAGTCTGAGACGTTGGTAGCCTCTCCGTTCAACGACTGCTTGTTTCGGTTGCGGCGGCGGCGCTTGCACGCTTGGGCATCGAGGATGTCGTCGACGTTGTGCGAGGCACAGCATTGGTCGCCCTTACTGCACCAGCCGTACCTCTGCAGGGCATGGAAAAAAAAAAAAATGCAGTGAGTGGTTAAATTGTTTACAGGAAAGCAAATGCAAAAAAAAAAAAAAAGCCAAACATTCTCATTAGGCTGTGATAAGTGGGCTCTGCAACACTTTTTAAACATAAACAGAAACTGCTATCGATAAGTAGTCGACGATCCTGCAAACACATGAACCAAACAGCACAGCACACAGCATGGAATGTAAAATTAAATGTTAAAGTCGACTGAAAAGCGCTTACTTTTCCAATGACAAATGACGTCACAAGCAAAAATGAATATGCCATAAGCACAAAGATCACGACCATTGGCCGATTTGAGCATCATTAACTGCATTATAATCACGGCTGCTACGACGTGCCTGCACAGCACTCAACAACATAAGCGCTAGCGACCACACTGAGGTAAGTTGCACGTTCAAAGAAAAAAAAGTGTTCAAGGTCACGACACAGATTGGCCAACGGAATTCTTGCTCTCTTGTCACCCCTACCCCCTCCCAAACCTATGTAGCTTTCAGCATGCTTGCAAGTACTAAAATCCTGACAAATCCCTGTAGTTCCACTCGTGCTTGACAGACTCTTAAAAGTGTTTGTGGCAGTTGACTCGTGAGTCAGTAAGTTTCTTCAATGATGTCAACCAATGATTACCTAGGTGTTGCAGGGCCCTTTTTAAGTTTGCTGCTGGTCGAACTTTTTGGCATCCCCAAATTACTCGACAAGCTTTACACGTGCAGGTTTTCTCGCCTCTCAGCCTACTGAAGACTTCAATAATTCTGTAACTTTATCCTGTCGGGAGTGGAGTAATTTTATATTCAAAACTCAATTCGTACATAGTTTTTTTTTATGCTCAGCATGATTAAACAAAGTTAAATCTGCTACTCTCAGTATGATGTAGTTAGAAAACACAAGTTTTAAAATACGATTGTTGCAAACAATAGAACAAAAACCTGCTATGTGACAAAGTACTACTGGCAGATCTCTAAGTTATCTTCAGCACACCGTTCAAATAGACACTGATTACACAGCACTAGTCCTGTTTAATATGTTCGAAAGTAATATGCATTGACAAGCAGTAACATGTGCTGCTGCAAGAACTATTGATGCAATAGCACATTTATGCAAAAAGTGCATCACGCCATTGTATATAAATCCTGAATAAGTATTAAGTATGTATAATAAGTATGAAGTAGAATAAGAATAAGTATGTATTCATTTTTTTTCTGTTGCAAATGTTGTTACTTTTGTACTGCCCTGTACCTTTCTTCTTCATATCACTAGGCTACCATTTGTACTTTGAGCATTTGCTTCAACACCATTCCCCATTCATCTGCAGGCGTCTTTCGTATGGTACGGTTTCACTGTGACCATCACTGTGACCAATGGACCTGGATAGTAAGCATACTTCTTCACATATTTTATTGCCGTAAATGATTGGGAAACTTATCCATAGGCAGAGGCACAAGTTACATGCAGCAGCACAGCCAAAACTCTAGTTTTTTGGAGAGAGGAGGAAGGGTATTAACGATACCTTGTGTATATTTGTGTGTGCGTTCATGTGCACACTTATAGATGCACACGCAAAACTAAAGAATTCCTGTCAAGGAAGGGGTAACCAGTGGCGTAGCCTATCGTAAGGGGTGGGGGGAATTCAACTCCCTCCCCACGAAAGGCTACACCACAGGTAACAATGTAGGATGACAGCACACCTTTCCCCATCCTCCCAACTTTTCCACAAAAACTGGCTTCCCTCGAGGGCCACATTTCTTAGTGGCCCTCATCAGTAATTCCGTTTTATTCTAAACAAGCTGTACGCTGGTGGAATGAACCTTGCATGAGCAATGTCCGAAATTTTGATCACAAGAATTGAAATTTGTTTTTTTTCTTTGTACGTCACTTGAAATACAAGCAGTTTGTATTCAACTCTTCCTTCAAGTGAAGAGTCCACTCCTCACAGACATTAAATGGTCATGCAAACAATACTACAATCATGGGCTACTGTGTTACGTCAGTAGTTTATGCAACACACGAACCAGTATGGATAAGCCATAAAGACCACTTTAGGAAGCGCACATCTACTGATTCCTTGTGTAACCAAGTTCTCAAGACCGGCTTACCTTTTTTTTTTTTGTATTCATTTTACATTCTTTTGTGTACCCAGCAATTTGGGTACCTTAACTTTGAGTGTGTGAAACCTGAAATTTCCCATTTCTCCCCAAATAATCCCCCATTTCTAGGGGCACGATCCCTAATCTCACAACTCACAGCGAAATTCTTGCAGATATCTGGGGACATCTTGATTGGCTCCTGCCTCAGTGCGCAATTTCCATGGTCGATTGAGTATTCCTGGTTGTACTGGAGGAAATTGACGCTGACAAACTGTCGGCCCTTTGCCTCCTTCAAAGCATTATCTCTTTGCCTGCACAGAAGTGACAAATGATGGCTGAAAGTGACATCACTCAAACAAGAGAGTCTAAATGTGAGGCAACTCATTAACTGCGAGCTAAAAAAAAATATTAAGGACAACTTGGCATTACTGCCTGGTAGTTGTCATTAATATTATTTCTAACAAAGAAAAACAAGCCCCTAAAAATTTCCACTTCTTTTATTTTATGATTAAAAAAAAAAGCCACACAAATTATTGACATTTTAACCCACAGAGCTCTAGTGCCATCCCGCACCCAAGAAAATTAATGCGAGCTGTTCGCCTTCAATTGGGGCCACAGAGAGTGTACGTATTCATATAGAGAGCAAGCATATATTAGTTGTGATACAATTTAAATTTAATAATTAATTACCATTACGTTTGCCGAGCTGTCCACAACTGAAAGCATGTGCCTTAGCATGCCAGAAAATGCTCTAAATTTCGTACTTAATTCTCTGCCCCCAAAATCAGCCTTTTTGTGCATCGAACTCGCGGCATCGAAAATATGCTAAATGTTGTAGTACAGTTAAATTGATGCTGCTGAAACGAAAGGGTTGAGTAACAAGTAGTCATCATAGTATTGGCAGGCACTCGCTCATGTTAATTCCAGCCAAGGTGCTGAACGCAACGGCTTTTCTATTTTAACTGATTAGGGAAACCATTCTTTGTTTATCACGTTGTGTAGATAACATCATGCAGTCAATGAAGCTGGGAATCAAGATGTAGGATTCAGTTTGGCAGATGAGAATGCAATACTAGTATGTAATCAAATCGATATACCAGTTAAGTTTCCAAAGACAAGAGTAGTGGTACGTGAATTAATGAGTGCTTCGTTTACACTCAACATGGCCCTTGCATTTACAAGTCCTTACAGGGACACTAATGAGTCAAAGATTTTTCTCAGTATTGGTAAATAATTCCTTTACAATATTAGAATCACCATGCTTGCTGCGAAAGACGCTCGATAAATGATAAAACTTGCAAGGAAATGTAGGTGGCAATGTCACCTCGAAGTTCTCGCACCAATGCTGTAGCATCATAGACTTCGACGGCATCCACTAGTGCCTAAGTTCCTAATCAGTAAAATTAAGTACACCGTCCACTGAACGGGCCAAAGGCAGCACACACCACCCTTTAGGAAATTTCATTGAGCGAATGTCGCCAAAATACGAAAAAAACATTGAAATCCGTGAGATCATGCTCGGAGAGTTGGATGCAAAATTAAATAAAACTCTGACCTTGGTTTCCTCTTTAAATAATAAACTTATGGTGAAGTTGACGAGTTTTCAGTGTGCAACTTATCAACATAAACAGATTAATTACTTCACTTTAGTGTCACTCTATGCTGCTTCGCAGATTGTGCAAGAGCTGCACACAACTGTGACCACCTATCACAAACAGATCAATTATTTAATGACTTAAACGATTGCAATGCTGTGAGTGGCCGTATGATCGTTAAAAATGCACCTTAAGATATTTTTGGTTCTTTGAAAAGGATGAAGTACCTATTGCGGAAGACATACTCCAGGTACGACGCTGGTAGGGATGCTTTGGCTTCTGCTATATACTTGGTGTCATAGATCCGACCAGGGAACAAGTCATTCAAGTCGGCTAAGAATGTCTGCAGAGATGGAGGCAATGCCGAATACAAACTGTGGTAAAGGAACACTGCGTCCATGAAACCATTGTGGACGACAATGGGCTTTCGATGCACGATGAGCACAGAGAAGAGCTTGCGAAGGGAATGCGCCCTGTCCTCAGGATTGTTGGGCTGCAAGGGAAACAAGTATCGACACCATTATGTTGTCCATCAAGCAGGAGAAAAATTTACTATTTTGCAGTAATTATGAGGGCTACTTAGAGACGTGTAGGTGGATGTACAAGTGAGTTCTATCATATAGTGGGAAATGGATAACACTGAGCCTGCACAGCTATGATAGCCCGCAACACCGATAAACCGTGGCACAAGTCGAGGCTACATGATGTGTTATTTCATTGCTAATTGCACTACCCAGTTGTTTTGTACTTGAAAATTTCATTTGGAGCCTTTTCTAATGAAGGTAATTGTGCGAAATTGGGCTCTTGAGTTACTACCTTGCAGTAGTGGTACCAGTGCTGTTTTTTTTTTTTTTAATTTGTAAGCTTCCTTTGTTTTTTTTCTTGTTTTCGTGTATGAAGGTTACATTTTGGGCTTTACAGGTCAATTTCTTGATATGGTTACGAGACGTGCCGCCACATAGTGGGTCTATGGATCGACTTTGACCACCAGAGTTACCTCATTGTCTGCGGAACTAAAGTACACAAATGTTTTGTTTCTTCATTCCACTGCCATTGAAGTGCAGCTTAGATCAAACCTGTGACTTCAACCTCAGCAGCGTAACACCACATCAATATGATACGTCGGCTTTTCCAGATTTATTCGTGCCAAGGATGCGAGATACTTACACGATCATTGCCTCGGTAGTAGGAAACGCCAAGGGAGTACTGCCGGTTGAAGTCGAAGCCATGACTGATAAGGAACTGCAGTGATGCAGGCTCGACGATGTAATTATCCTGGCACAGTGCAAGTATGTTGAACGTCTGAACGGTGAACCTGCGATGAGTTGGGCGGTGAGAAACGGCTTATCAGTGCGTGGCCGACGAGAACGCATTTGTGAGCAACGCATGGTTCTTACGTGAGCGGGCCGGTTTCCGCCGATCTGGAATCCTGGCGAAAACACGAAAGACCTATAGATATGATCGCTCTCGTGTCGGCTACCCGAGACATTGCAGCGTATCGATCATCGACGGACCTACGCGACAAAAACAAGGCAGTCTCAGCGCTAAGTGTTTGCGAATGGCACTGCAAGCAGTATTCGGCAGTGAACATACTTGGCATTGATATCTTTCCTTTTTCCGATGCCACTTAGTTCCTGCGGAGAACAGCGTCGTTAAAGCCGCAGGTTGGTAAACATAATTCAAACACACACGCACTGACAGCGTCTTACCAGATCTATAGCCACAAAGAAAGACGTCCTCACGGCGAGCACTAAAGAGGGCCATATATCGGCGATGTTGTCCTTCGTAACGTCAACGACGGGAACGCTCTTCAACTCGCTCATCGTAAGTCCCGCACCAAACGCCCTGACTGCCGTAAATCTTTCGTTACGGCGACCAGCCGAAGCAATCGCTCACGGACGTTCAGCAATGAAGCGTTCATTCTTGGATTCCCGTTTTCAAAACAAATGTAGGCGTCTCGAATTTCAGCAAAATCGTGAAACGAAAAGCGCACGTTTTTTACCGCGCGTTAGTTCAACTATCCGGTGCTGCAGCGCGCTGGAAGTGCGCTTCTCTGCATGTCGTGCACCAGAAAGTGTCGTATTCTGTCGCCATTCGTTTGACACTTGCGTGATGAATGCCGTTTCTTCAGAAATAGCGGCTTCGTTATTTTGTATTTTTTTTTTGCAAAGGAACCGACACAATTTGACCCGGATGCTCTACTTTCCGGCGGTGACCCGCTTGGTTTTCTTGATACGCATCTCTCTCTCTCCCTAATGCTCTTCAGCTCACTTCCGCTTCGTGCCTTGTACAGCCGCTTGGGTGTTGTGTGTTGCTGCGGGGCCAGCGGGGCTGCGAGAGGCGTGCGGGGAAGTGAGCTCCCTGCATCGCAGGCGAAGCGTCAAGTCGTGCGATGTGCCGCAGACAGATGGGCGACGACGTCGCTCCAGCTCCGACCCAGGACTTGTCCTCACATCAGCTGTAAAACTGCCGACAGCGCGAACGCGACGGGCCGCGATGGTGGCTGAGAAGCCAGTCGAAGAGTGGACCGTAGGTGACGTCGGCGAATGGCTGCACGAAGTCGGCTTGGCAAGTACCAAGCGACTTTCGGCGAGCACCTGATTGACGGGCGCGCTCTGCTGACCATCTCGGAGTCAGACCTGCGGAAGCCGCCTCTCGAGATTCGGCTTCTGGGGGACATCAAGAACCTGATGATCTGCATCCGAGAGCTGCAGTGGCAGAACGTGGCCGCTGTCAGGCAGCTGATGGGACCGGGCGAGCTGGTGCCCGCGTCGGCCGCAGTGCAGACCATGAGCCGTCGAAATTCGACACGCAAGAGGCGCGGCTCCTCGGACGGCACAGCGCCGTCGACCGACGTTTCGTTCGAGTACGAAGACGATGAGAACTCCGACGACGGTAGCTACTCCGCCGCAACGGCCGGCGCAAACAGTGGCGCTTGCAAGCAGCGCCGTTTCAAACCCGAGATCTGGAAGACGGTGGTTGGCATGCTCTACTTCCTCGCGGTCACCTGGATCACCGCCATCGTGATGGTCATTGTGCACGACCGCGTTCCGGACATGCAGACGTACCCGCCGCTACCCGACATATTCCTGGACAACGTGCCGCACATTCCCTGGGCCTTCGCCATGTGCGAGTTCACGGGCCTCGTCCTCTTCATCGTGTGGGTGAGCATACTGGTCTGCCACCGACACCGCTTCATCCTGCTCCGGCGCATGTTTTCTCTGTTCGGCTCCGTTTTCCTGCTCCGCTGCATCACGATGCTAATCACTTCTCTCTCGGTTCCCGGCAAGCACCTCCAGTGCAAGGCTCGGCACGTCGGCGACTTTTCGGAGAAGATAGCCCAGGCCTTCGTCATATGGCAGGGCGGCGGCATGCTGATTCAAGGGGTGCGCACCTGCGGCGACTACATGTTCAGCGGACACACGACCGTGCTGACGCTTCTCAATTTCTTCATCACCGAGTACACGCCGCGCTCCTATTACTTCCTTCACACCACCTCCTGGGTTCTCAATCCTCTTCGGCATCTTCTTCATCCTGTCGGCTCACGAACACTACTTCCATTGACGTGTTCATCGCCTTCTACATTTCGACCAGGCTCTTCCTCTATTACCACACACTGGCGAACAATAGGGCGCTCATGCAGATGGACAGCAAGCGGACGAGAATCTGGTTTCCGCTCTTTTATTTCTTCGAGTCCGGAGTGGACGGTATTGTTCCCAACGAGTACGACTCGCCCCTCAGTTTGCTAAAGTGGTTCAAACGCAAGGCCGCAAACATCGCCGTCAAGTTCAAATTCACGAAGACCTTATAGTGCCCACAACGCGAGCACAAGCTGCGCCGAGATGTAACTAACCCCTTCAGGTCTGGTATATTTTCTTTAAAATTTGTCGCCACAGATTTTTGTACGCGGCACTTGCGAATATTGTCTAATAAGACTGGGGTACTACTGCTTTACAAGACGAGCATGTCTTGCATTCGAGCTTCATACGTGATACATGTGCACTAACGTTCACTGCTCTCGGCATCACTTGTGTGCCAACACCCTTTCGCCACACGTTACGAGGATTTGCGAATTTCCACACCACAAAATAGGTCTCAATCTGCAATGGAACCAGTGAATGCTCGTTCAAACTGTATTGTTTGTATTTGGGTAGCACAATACCTCCGTAATGTTGCATGTTCTGTGCTATGCTGTTTCATTGTTACCTTTGTGCCCTCGTATGTCTAATTTGAGTGCATTCGGTATGATGAGTGGTCAGTGATGTATTCGAACTTTCAGCCATGCAACATCGTTTCCAAGTTTTCCGCATGCTTTGTCAGCACGTCAACTTACCAGTGCTGTTAGTCCCCTTTACTTTTTTTTTTTTTTCTTTCGTTCCTCTCAGGCAATTCCCAGATACCCTCTACGGGCACCTCTACAGGCATCCGAGACATTGTCCACAAAGAATGATTTTGCTGGCGCATTTAAATGTTCTCGTGAATTTTAGTGGACGCTTAGCTTTTTATCTGCACGTGACATTGAATTCATGGTCGCGTCGATGGCAGGATTGGTCGTCGGGATTGCCGGTAAACGCTCCAGCCTGAGCCATTATCATAACGGCTAGATAACTCCCAAAAATGAGGCATCATTTTTTAAATGCTCTCTGCAGTTTCCCGACATGCTGAAGTTCTAAGCAGACTTCATGTGTGTTTGCAGATTTTTGTACCACATCAATGTGCCTATGTCCTTGAAGAGCGTTCATAGAATGACTGCACATTTACCATGCCAGATGACTGGTGACAGTTTTACACTTTGGCAGTATCGTTAACAAAAGCATTTGCATAAGCAAAACAAAAAAACTTGCCCACGTGAATTTTCATAACTGCCAAGCTTAAAGAAGCTATGGCACCTGTGCTGTTAAGACTATTCAATAACTTTATTGTTAATGCCACGAGAAATACTTCTGATGCCTGTTTGATGAATCAAGATTTCCTTGTGCTTAAGTGGCATCAAAGCTGGTTCGGGCTAATCATTTGCCACATTGGCATCACAGTTACAGTGATTCATATTTTTCTATGCCTTGCGCTCCGAATTCACAAGCACAATGTTTCCACAATTAGATTGATAGATTCCAAAGCTTGGCTGCGATTCATTATTTTTCAGTGCTGTTGTTCAACTCACCGAGAGAACGTTCGTTTTAGTAGGCACAATTTATTTATTAATCTTTGGTTAGCAGTGAGCTTACTTTAGTTAGCATCGATTGGCATTGCGTGCAGTGTATTATTGCAAACACTTTGTCTTCCACAACATCTAATTCAAATGTGGATGGTCATGTGCGCTGTGCCTTCGCTTGTTCCAGTGCATTTACTTTTTCACTCGTCATTGCTGGTTGTGACATGTATCTTCTCAAAAAAAGAACAGAAGGGCCTAGCCACTTAATGACTCATTAGGCTGTTCTTTGTTCTGTCATGAGCTGTCTTCTCTTGCGCGTATTCGCTTGGAGGTTGATTTCAATTTTTCCATCTAAAGACATGTGAAACGTAGAAATGCTCTCGTTAAACCGAGTCTCAACTAAGTTGAATGAACTATTGTATTCGAAACATCAAGCCAGGTTCTACTGATGTTGGAGGCAGACTATTTATTTGTACCCTCAGCTTGTTAAAATATACCCACTTATTGGTGAATTAACATATATACCTATAATTAACGAGCTTACCACTTTGTAACAGTACCAAGAACTAATACTGTAAGTTATGCCTCTTAATTAAGAAGTATGATACCTTAAGATTACTCTTAACTGGTTACTTGGGTGAATTTATCTTCAGAGATTATGAATCGTGTTGTCCTTATAATAGAAACTTAAGACTGATACTTCAGGGATGGGTTAAGAATATGCTTCCCATTGCTAACACTTCAGCTTATATATCATTGTGTGAGAGCATTTTCGTTTTTCACATGTATTTTTGCACGAGGGGCTTGAGGTGAACGACTCCTCTAAACAAACACCACCACCACATGTGCATTATTGTGTTATCATTCCTCATCTTTAAAACTGCAAGCTTAACTAGCCCCCAAGCATAATGTTCAATGCAGTGTGTTATTCCAAGGTATAAGTGCTACTCAGTACAGGTCACTGTGTTTCCTTTCATGCATGTTGAGTGTAGTTGATGTTGTTTGGTGACATTTTTGCATGATACACAGCCAAACGATTGTCAGGGTTCTTAGTGGTCAGTGAAACTTTGCAAGAGCCCTCGAGTCTCATGAAGTTGTTGAAAAAAAAAAAAAAGAAAAGCTAATTGTTTTCCGCTGAGCAGCACAGATTTTTGCATGGGCATCTGGCCTCAAGGCTAATGCCCTCCAGAAGTCACGGTTGATGGTCCCTACATACAGTTCTCCTAAGTTTGTTTGTTAGTAGCCGAATTCTTCAATCACTGTGTTGTGAAACCCCCCACTGATTCCATATACCTGACATCGAAACAAAGCATTAATAAAAAATGCTAAGGTTGGCTGATTGCGATGCCACCTGTAGATGCAGAAACAAACTAAGAAATAGCATTTTATTTTAATTTTGCATGGCACGTGCCCACATGCTAAATGAAGTTGGCAGTGTGCTTACATTTGCGGTTTGCTCATTGCTGGTGATGTTAAGGCCATAGAACTCTCCTACTTTAATTCTTGCTACGGTAACTCATATGGTGGCAGTGAGGACTACAGCAATGCGCTGTGCTCTGGAATGGGCTTTTTCCAACTTGTTTGAACAACTCTGAGTCGGTAGAAATCAATTTTTGATGCTTTTGTTTCAAGCCTTTTTCATGGCCATACGAGGAAAGATAAGTTGGAATCCTATTGAACACAGAAGTTAATTTTGGTTCAGCGTTGAGCTGGTGCTTTATCATGCTTTTTCAGAACCCTGAAAATTCTAAAAAATTGTTGCGCTGTTTTTTTCCCTGCAAGGACTGTGACAGGTACTGATGCGGAGTTGTCACAGTTACGTGTTGCGCGTGTATGCATCGTAGTGATTACATCGCACGCATCGCAGTGATCAGTTTTGTTAGTTGGGCAAAGCACTGGCTTGTTTGTGCCTGCTATAATGAGATGCGTGCATCACTCAACAACTGATGCTGTCAAAGACTCGCTTGGCTGTGTTTCACGCCACCACAACAGCCTACCTCTAGAAACTCAGTATATGTATGTATATATATATATATAGTTTATTTAGTTCCTCAGAGAGCGATATGTTATGTTCATCGCTGTGATATCTGTTAACGCGATTAATATGTTTACAGTATATGTATATTTCTTCCTGTATTACGGTTATTGTCACTCACTCATTAATCTCAAAAAGTGGTGTACTTTGAGGAGGTGCTTGCACACACACACACACAAAAAGCCCAAAGTCGAATGCCCCTGGCTATAAATTCCAAAAGCAGCAAGTCGTGTTTCTTCAACTTGCACGGCCTATGCAACATTTGTCATTTTATTTGTTGTGCAACAATTTGCAATAACTCATGTTAAGCTTTTCCTATTTATGTAAAAAGTGGTAGATAAGTTACTCAATAAACTATGTTGACATCATAGTTGTTTAAAACTTATCTATTCATTTCTGTGCATATGCTGATTTATGCTACTTTGCATTGCTGTAATTGTAAAATTTCTTAGGTCGCAGCAATCACTACTGCTATCGCCTGCACTGTATCTTTTTTCTCTAAATGGCATTTATGCTCAAACTAGCTATCTTTCCGCATTCAAAATGTCATCTGCATCCATTGCATTTTGCATTTTTTTAATATACAAATTAATTCATCAATCCTGAATACATAGAACTGGCCGCATTTTCCTGTGGATGTGGGATTCAGGTGGGAAAGTTTAAAATTAGGATAATTTTTCTGAAGGGAAAACATTGCACAGACTGTCACCACCGGAAGTGGCATGAGATTATTTAGTGCTGTCTTATTGTTCAGGATTTCACTTTCGTGTGATAGATGGTAGCATCGATTGTATGACGGAAAAAAAAAAGGAACTTTTGCTTTAGGGCATCGCTAGACAGGGCATGCACATGTTTGTTCAATGTTGAGCAGGTATTCATGTTTAATGAAGTCCGCTGGGCTAACTTGTGCGTATTGAAGATTTTGTTCCAAATTTAATGACCGTGGACACTCGTGCAGTACTTAAAGGTATAGACTAGGGAATAAGGAGCTTTTAGTTCATTACGATGGCCTTTTACTGACACTTGGGACAGGATGTGGACAAATACGTAAATCTCGTTTGTCTGATCACTTGTGGCCACAATGCAAGTGCTGCGGTTTTATAAGCCAGCACGCCACATATGATTGGGCCATTGAATTCTAAACATATGATTGGGCCATTGAATAGCTGGAAAAGTTGGCATGCGACGACATTGTCCCAATGCACGAACTCACTAGAGATCCTGTAAGCGTGGGGAATAAACTAAATTCACTGTGAGACATTGGAGACATCACACATTGTGAGATTAATTGATGAAGACTACATGAAGATATGTGAGGATATAATGTAGAGTGCTTTGCAGTGTTCACTTTTAAAAAGTGTAGTTGTAAAATATTGAAAGTTTTAGCAGTTAAAGAATGCTAGAGACAACATATATGAGGAAAATTGTTATAAATTTAGTTTCCAAAGTTTAGTGAAAGTGGTTTGTTTTGTGAAAGCTGTGCCAACAATCTGTGTGGTTCTCGTTTAATTAAGCTACAAGCCGTTTCGAAGTCATGGTAAATGAATGATTGTGCATTTGCAAATGATTAAAATCAGGCTGTGTATATTAAAGCATAGTACAATATGCAGTAGACATGCTCCCCCTTTTCATAATATGTTGCAGAAAATGGAAGTTGGTGCGAACCACTGGCCCACACATTTTTGTTTGGACAGGACCTCTGCAATTCACAGAGTGAATTGCTTTCGGTTACACCTTACAAAGAGGAACAATGTATGGCACCGGGAATGTTAACGTGGCTTCGAATCATTGTAACAAAGCTTGTAGCTGTGTCGTAGCTTGATTACGGTAGGTAATGTGGCACCATGATGCGATGCATTCTTGAAATACACTTCAAGACCAGCGGATAAGAAGGCGGCGCTTAGCCAAATGCGCAGCCACGCACGCAGCTAGGGTTCCCGTCGCCGGCTCTTGCGCGGCGAAAAACAAAAGAACAATCTCGCCTTTTCTCTTCTTTTTGATTTATTTCAGCCCGGGGTTCTCCCGGACACCTCTCTCGCGTTGCCCGAGAAACAAACGGCCTTGCACTTGTGAAAGACATTTTTCTTGGCGAACGTTCAAAGGGCGGGTCGGGTAACCGACGGGCGCGGTCAGGAGCCGGACTCGTGTTAGAAGCATTGCGCAGGACTTAACCGAGGATCTAATCTAGCGCACAATATCGTCCGAGCTACCTTACTGACTGCGCGCTTTTTCTCTTTCTTTGTAGTAACGCCAAGCCCGCGTCGCCTGTGTAGCAGACGACATGTTAGCAGACGACGCGCATCCTGTCGTAACAAGTGCCGCCCTCGCTGCCGCTCGTTTCCTTTCCCGTCGGCCCGGCGAAAAAATTGGTCGATAATCGCCTTCGATTCAGGCCCTTGCTTGCTTGATTCGTCCCGTTCACCGACCATGTACGCGTCATGCGCTTCGTGAGTGCCGTACTCCTTTGTATCGTGGCCGCCGCTGCAGTGTGCGCGGAGTTGGTCGGCGGTGTCGCGGACTACGAGAGTCTCTACCATTCGGCCGTCGAGTCGTACCTGGGCGCGCAGTGGGCGCAATGCGTCGTCAGCGCGAAGGACGCCCTCGCGTCGTACAGGAAGCTCGTCGACGTCGTGGTGAACTGTCGCATCAAGTGCGACGACCAGAGAGTCGGTACCGGGCCCGAGCGCGCGACGGTGAACGCTTTCTACGCAGCTCGCGCGGCCCAAGCCCGCTGCCTACGCAACTGCGCAGGTGTTCGGCAGGACGGGGCGTCGGACGCGACCCTCCGTGATTTCAGGGATCGAGTGCCGTACTACTACCTCCAGCGATGCTACTTCGAGGTAGGCTCACGTTCGTCCATGCAACCTGTACCCCAATGTGGGGTATAAGTTTGTGGTGTTTTACAAAGTGCTTGGTTTCCAAATGTCATTTGTCAGATGTCGGTTCAAACAACAGCCACATGTCCATTTTGCTGCTGTTTATTTCTCAGTGAAAGAACAATATGCTACATTCTGGTCGAAAATCAAGAAAATTGGTGGGGAGGTTTCTTTTGAAGTAACTGTTGATAAAATGGCAATAATAACGATGCCCTTGATCGAGGTGCAGGTGTACCAGGACTCTGGACAAATACTGGCTCTACGAATTCTTTTATTATATACGACTGTACCCATGCCAAATATGGAATTTTTGCTGTTGAAGTTTACTATATTTTACCAAACTGTTTAGCTTCCAAATCTTGTTTCTCAGATGAAAATTCTAAACACCAGCCACATTCAGAATATTACTCAGCGAAAGAAGAAAATGACTTAATCTGGTTGAAGATCATAAAAATTGCTGTGAAACTCTCTCGTGAAATAATGATCAAGATTAGTAATAATAGTTCCAATAATAACACGCTTGATCGAGGTACAGATATGCCGCAGTGGAGGACCTCAGAACAATCTTGATTTTATGAATTTCTTTATATGTGCAGCTAAATACAATTCGAACAGTATTGTGACCAACTATAGCTAGTAGAAATACACAACGGACATGACGAATGCAAATCAACACGTTAAGTTTGTTGGTAAGATTACTGGTGTATAATTGACAATTTAATGTATTTTTTAGGTGAAAATAGGCTATGTGTACCGGTTTTATCTTTCTACCTGGTTCCCCATCTGCCATGCTGTGTTCATTTAGCACATAAAAAAAGATGTTATGCTACAACTCTCAATATGACAGTGTCGTAGGACATTGTTGTATGACTCAACTAAATAAATTCAAGGACACTTAGGCCAAATAAAACATAATGTCCATAAGTTGTTGCCTTTATTTGTTGTGTGTCACTAAAGATGCAAATTGAAAATAAATAAAGTGGATGAAAAATCAACCATTCCGTTGGCGAGATTTGAACCCACAGCTGTGTCATATGGCTCGTTGGTGCACACATTGCTGCAATCAATGTGATAAGCTTTGAGAACATCAAGCCTAGTCACTTCCTGTATGGTCGAGCTGATTATAGCCACTTCATGAAAGAATGCCTCGTCACACTAATGTTGCTGGTGTTCTTGGTGGATTCATGGATTGATAAGGACAAGTCAATAAGGAATTTGTGAACAACTGTTCTGGGTTGAAAACCTATTAAATGACTCACACGTTTCACTGACACCTGGGTAATGTTGTTTACTAAAGTAATTGAGACGGTGCTGGCAGGTGCTAGAGATATGTAGTGAATGCCGTGTTTACTGTGTGAAGCCAACATATAAAGCCAAAAGATCACCTATTGTTTTTTTCTTTCTATACTACGTGCTTTGCCCTCAGCTTGGTAAAACAAAGGAAGCTGCATCTGCTGCCTACACTTTCTTGGAACGCAATCCAGGTCACAGCCTTGTAAGCTTCCATCTAAGCCAGTACTTGGAAGTCTCTGGCCTCAATAAAAAAGATATCGCCTCTCTGGAAGTCAAAGAATATCAGGTAGACTGTTTCCTTGCCTCCTGTCTAGTACTTAATTCTGCATGTCTTATTGCCTGCGTGTATTTGACAGCACTTGAGTGCTGAAATCTCACTTTTCGCTACCTTGTAAAATATACTTTTAAAGTTGTAAAGTAGATTTTAGTGTAAATGCATTTTTGATTTAAGTTGTCAGTTTATTTCCTGTCTGTATGCAATCCTCTAGCCTCCTGGTTAGCACGGGATAGAGCAAGCGCCCTGAAAAGGTGTTGACCATGGGTCAAGTCTTTGAACGACGAATTTTACTTTGTAGAGCAATCTTTGTAAGATACCTTCATTAATTTCATTTCCAAGCGATAGTTTACACTTTTCGTGTCTCTTGTAAAACGTTTTTCCACCATGTTAATTTTTTTAGAACTAATTTTGCCACGTGTAGTAAGACAAAGAAAGTAAATAAAGAGGTACGATATGAACGAGATGTACCTTGTCCTTTCTTTCCAGAAAGTTGCTGTGAAGTTATGGCGAACTAAGAATGTTTATGGTTGAATGTGAGTGGTGTAGAACTGGGGATGTTGACCAGATTCACAACTTAGATGGCAGAAGTGGCGGGGACGAGGAAAAAGGAGGGGCAGCTCAGCTGCTGAGTTGTTAAATGAAGGTTCATTGAATATGCGCACCATTTCAATAGGGCCATTAAGAAAAGGAAAAGATGAAAATTTTAGAAGAAAAAATGGGATGGCAGTATAATTAACCACATGTACACCTCTCCCTATGCGATATCAGATTTTTTTGTCCCACTTTTGTCACTGATAATCTTATTTCCTAGTTCTCTTGGGACCCTCTCGGCACCTCTATACTTAATCCGTGCATATATCCAAGAAAATTTCAGTTGAAATAATTGTTCCTTGTGTCCCAACTTCTACATTGGCTTTGTAACATTTCTTAATAAGCCATATGCACTCAGTATGAGTTGCAACACAGTAGCCATGGTTGAAAGGTTCCAAGCCTACACAGTGACCCTGTCATTCATTAAATTGGTTTTTAAACTGCCATAGTTAGAACCATTACTTCACTGATTGGCACCACCGTGCAGTGTAAGTGCCACTTTGATCACGGGCAGCATGTTGCAGTTTATATTGGGCGCAGCTGTACATTTAAATTGCAGAAACGAAAGAGCCTGAATGCATTCCCGAAACACGACCAATTACGCAGCAGCTGTGCTTTTGAATAGAATGCGGTGCGGCCTCACTGTCACGTATTGCATACATAAAAACGTCACGAGCATTTGTTATGCTGCATCCTCAGACCTTCTGTTGCTTAGCAAGATGAAATGTTTATCTCGGATGCACATTTCATATTCAGCAAAAATAGAACAAAAAGAAACGTGACCCATCACCATGCAGCATATTTGCGTAAATCTTGGCATACATAAGGATCAGGCAGCTGTCCACAATAGGTTATATTTATTTGCTGCTAGCTCGATTCCACCCTTGCCATGACAGGTGAACATTAATCTTGGTTTAATGTGCAGATTTAGATGGCATTGATCTATTTTGTAGTGCTAAACTGTGAAGGAAATCTATGATGGATTTCTCTTAGCTGATGAATAATTCGTCCTGGTATGAAATTCGGAACTGGTTCCAATGCCTTTCTGCAGTGGTCACTCTACCGACTAAGCTAACCAGGAAGCTGTCAGATTAATAGACATCTGGAAGCACAAGGCCATTGAACATGGCCCTGTTTTTTTAGTTGTTTTCCCATATTGGGCACACATTTTTTTTTTTTGCTCTATATGAGCAGAAAGAATATTGGGATGTACTGTAGCACTCTGAATTCTATGCAGTGTTTCCCCTGTGTCAAATGTCTTTTGGTGAAAATAACCAGGAAGCCACAGGAGACAATGGCTGACACTTTCTTTATATATTAAAGACTGTCTTACAGTCGCCTCATTCTTCTTTCATGTGGTTGGATTCTTCCAGAACCTCTTTCACAGTGCCGCGAAATTGTACACGGAGAAGAAATATGCCGAATCACTGTCGGTTATGGAGGAGGCGATACCCAGCTATCTCAAAGCTGTACAAGAGTGCCGCGCACTCTGTGATGACTTTCTGCCAACTGCATCCACGACGAGGGAGTTCTCCGAAGTTGCTGCAGGTATTCACCAGCCCTGGGGCTGTGTGTTTCATTTCACTTATTGATAGTGTCAGCCCTTTTTGTAGGGCTATTACAAGCCTGGAAAGAAATAATATTAAAACAGGAATGTGCTTAAAAGAAATGTGCTTAATATTTGGTGTAAACAAACTTTTGAACAACTAGACTAGACTTAATTTGCTTTGTTAATGTTTTTGGAATTACGTACTTAGGCTCAAACTTGAATCATTTGCACTGTTGTTTAAGTAAAGCACCTTGTACCAAAAGAGTGAAGAGCATATAGAGTGAAACTTAGCGCACTAGGAAGTACATCAAGAAAGAAAGTGAAAACAGGACAATCCATTTCATACATGTCCCTATGTCTTTACTTTCTTTAACTGTGTCCTTTATTGTGTACAATCAGTTTTGTTACATGTATTACCACTAACAAGCTTGTTCTTGCATCTTCTCAAGCACTTGGAACGTAACATCCTTCCAAGCAACATTTTGCATCTTCAGTTTCTTTGCTGAGCAGTGAAGGTAAACCTGCACTTTTCACGGTCCTCTGCCTGGTGTGCAGTAAATCGTGGAGGCCACACTTTTTCTTTTTGTCTGGTTAACCTCTTTACCACCAGGAACCTTATAGTGAATTGCAAGATTTGTGCAGAGTGCTCAGGTCAGGCTGTTAATGATATCGAAAACCTTTGCGACTAGCTGAATGATGTTTGCAAAAAATTTTCATGACCACTTTGGGGACCCTGTAATAACTAACACACTGAAATTTGGAGTTGATGATATTACTAAAGAGATTAATTTAGGTTTATAGCTAAAAATTTATTTCTATCTTTCTTGCAAAAAAAAAAAAATGGATCATCCTTTATAAAGCAGTGTAAACTTGAACTAAAGGGTGGGATTTCGTCGTGTCAGTCATGAAGTACAAGGTTACAAAAGATTACTACCTCTTTCCATATTGTAATATACCATGTGCCATTCAATAAGCCATATAATTTTCATGTAATTTTATAGAGGACATGCAGATTTTATACACATTTAATTAAGTGTCCATTACCATCTTATGGACAATAAGTGGAATTTTTTGAATGGATATGGAATAGTTGCAAGAAGGTTGCCTGTCATAAAGCTCGCTGCCATAAAACAAGAAACAAAATAACCATGCTCAAATTGGCGTATTCGTAGGAAGTACTGCAAGTTATTAGTAGGGTGCATTTTGTCTATTGAGGGTTAGAGTATAACATACTGAGTGCTCCGTTCTTCACTTCTTTCTATTGTTACAGTTTGCCCTTGTGCAGCTTAGGTGGTAATAAAATATGCTACCCGTCAAGTCTCACAATGCGTTTTTTGCTTGCGCAAACAGATAAGAGGTGGTCACGCATGTTGTAACAAATAGCTGAAACAATTGCACATATTCTTCTGTTGATGCAAGCCATTGTCAATGTTGGACTCTTTGGTCTTGCTTGCTTAATCTGGTACTTGATAAGATGTATGAAGAATGTGTGGCATAGCCAGTGCCAAGCTGATTTCATGAGCAAATGAGCCTTCAAGCCAGAACATCAGGCTGATGAAGACATAATTTTGTCCCACCTTTTGCGATGGTAGGGCTTATTAAATTGTTTTAGAACTATCATTGTACTGTTTTTCAGCATGTGTTTTCTTATTTTTCTTATTTAATGTTATACACTGCATGCATTGCACACATCTGCCTGTTGGGATGCTGATGTTACTTGGACAATGCATGTCTGATTGGATACTTAAATTTTCTGTGCTGAAGCCATTGCATTGGGTCATAAAACTCGATGTCGAACTTACAATACGCCAAATGATACAGAGCAAACTAATTAACAAAGCTTAATTATTATGGATGGGACTCACTGTTGGCTTAAAAATTATGGCATTGCTGCACAGACAGCTGTCAAACACAAATGTTTTTTCAGCTCTGGCATTGCTTGTTTTGCACTGGCCTAGAAGATGTCACTCACGGTATGCACATTGTGAAATGCATTGACAATGAGGGCCTCACCACATGTGTTAAAGGCAGTGTGGAGTTTTCAGGTCGGGCCTGCGTCACTGTACGTCAAGCTTTATCGCCTGACTTGTTTTTGTTTCATCAGGTCACCACTTGGCTTCATTGAAGTGCAAAGAACAATGCCCCGATCAGCTTTCATACTTGGATGGGCATCGTCGACCGAACTTCTTCGCCAGCTTCTACCACTACCTCCAATTCTCTTACTATCAACGTAAGTCTTGCTTTCGTGTGTTGTTTTAGGGTGACACCACCTGTCAAAAGCCAGGTTGTGTCTGTTATTCTGCCTTATTCAGTGGTCCACACCACAGATCCCTATCTATTACAGTTTTATTGCGATAGCAATTTTGCTGCCGGCGTCGATGTCATGCACCATATATGTGTACATATCTATATATATATAAACGCAAGAGAGAAAAGGATCCAGAAAAACGCACTCTGGCGTGCAGAATCGAATGTGGGACCTCTGAGTCGTGAAAGCGAGGCGTTAACCACTGAGCCACCCTGGAGAACTGTTCTTCACCTGTTCAAACGTCAAGCTATTTATATCTACCACTTACTGCTGCTGTGTTTTCGGCATTACCAAGAAGATGGTGCAATGAGCGCACGTCGCCACATCGCGCAGCGGCACCCGTTCTAATCTCCTACGCGTACTTTTGCCCGGCTTAGAGAAGGGGAGCTACGCTTCCCTCGGGTGCCATTATCTTGCGGTGGCGATGGAGAGGAGGATCATACGCCTCGGTTGGCCTCGGGCTTTACATGGTATGATTCTGCTGTAGTTACTGGGCGCACAAAGGTCACTGCAATAATTGCAGCCTCCGTTCGCGAAAACCGCGCGCTTTTAAGACTCAGCGAAGTAACAAATGAGATGCTTATTCGCGTGCATCCCTACCTTGTAAGTAGGTTTCGTGTGTAATTTGTTCGCGAGAAACGCGGGACATGTTTTGATCTGCTTTTTATTCTGCACATGACCTTTCAAATTGTTGCTATCATGTTCATTGCTTCGCCTTTGCGGCAAAGCTGTGACTTTTTTCATAACTCCACCGTTCCTCTTACGATAATATTGAAAAACGATTGGTCAATTAGTCAGCCAGTCAGCCTAGTTTCTCCATAGCTGTATTTTCTAAACTATCTGTCTATTACGTGTGCTTTTTTTTCTTTTTAAGTCCTATGCATGTTCTTGGGTGCTACATTACCTTTAAGCACTAAGTAGCAAGGACGTGTACGGGAATGTGATCAAAGTCGCATTTTCATAATCGCAGCCTTCTAAAAACGAGCGCTCTTTGCGGTGTGAAATGCTTCAGAGCCAGTAGATGTTTGAAAAAAAAGAAATGCTATCTTAGTTTCATATAGCTCGGAAAACCACGTAGATTGATGGACGGGTAGTGTTTTTGACACTTCAGGGCCTTCCAGGACGATGCATTCTATTCTTGGGGGTCTCTCTGCCAGCAAAGGCTGCCAAGTGCATCCTGCTGCTCCCACCTCCTCTGTACATTCTTTCCTCGCAGACAAACACACGCATGCTATTGGTGAGAAAGCACATTCTGTGGGCTGTAAACACATCAGACATTTTTCGTGTTTGTTTGCTGTCTTTTTCTTACGGATCCCATTGGGAATCAACATGTGGAACAAAAAAGTTCTCGTCACTCTTTCTATAACTGTCTCAGCTTGCAACCAGCTAATGTGCGATGGAAGCACATAGACACCATTGATTGGTTCATGCCTTTTTTGTGCAGTGTGTATCATCGGAAGAACCTGAAAAATCTAACTATTCAAGAAACCTTTCAGTTCGAGGACAAAAACATAAGAGGAGTTTCACTGCCGTCACTTCAAATTGGGAAAAACATACCTGTAGGCAAGCTTTTTACAAAATTTACCAAGTCAACAAATAATGATGCCCGTCACAGGATTTGGGAGTATGAGTGCATCCAATTGCTCAGAATAACACAAAACACATTATTTTACCTGAACCTTACTGTGCACTCCAACTTACTTGCAGTTAATTGTTCGCAGCTGGATATTATGACCTAGCATAGTAACTTGTCGTGCAGACATTTACACAATTTTGTAACGAGCACTTTTCTCATACTTCAAGTCTACACACTTTTTGTTGGCTCATTTTGGCTTGGCCTAAGTCTTTTCTTTCTTTAACTGTTATTTTAAATTTACCCAGAAGGGGAAAGTTGGGTTAAACACTGGGCTGTATAGAAAAGCTAGCCTCCAACTAGTATTGGGAGCTGCCACCAGTCACCCAAGTTTTAAAAAAAAAAGCCTTACAGGCACTGTGATCGTACATTACCTGAACATACTAGTGGAAATACGTGCAGCAACAGTGCATACTGCACTGTTCTTCACTGCTGTATATTCATCACGAAAGCATAAGTTGATAGGAATGTGTGCTGCAGTTCATGATCAGCTGACTAAGGTTTTCTCATTTTTTATATTCTAAAATATGACTCAGCCTAAGTTTTCTCATGAAATCGATTTGGACATAAGAAGTCAAACCTGTATATATTGAATTCACAGAAAAAATATAATTAGTTATATATATCATATAATTTGGTATGAAGCTTTTAAGTATTCCTTCTTAGCTTCAGTGAATGTTTTTAAAAATGTTGGTTTCAGTGTGCTAGTTGGCTTCACGGCATTGCTTTAAGATAATGCAAGGAAGGGGACCTCGGAGCAGTTTAGGGGCGGGTTACAAGTGAGAAAATATGGTAGACACGTCAATAGCGCCTCGGCATCTTGCGGTGCTGAGCGAAGTCATTCAGCACCTAAATTCTAGGCTCTAACGTCATCCTTGTCGTCTTTCTATTTTTCTTTTCTCCTCTCCTCAATATTGTACTTGACATGCTTTTTTGGGATGCTGTACGCAACGGCAATGTCAGACATTTTCCTACACTTCAACTGCTTTGACTATCTCCATCTTTGCGGAGAACGGCAGGTCTTTTGGTGTTACAGCAGTCATCATATTAACCAAGAAAGCGCAGATGTGACCGGCGACCTCGCACATCGGGCGGGCAGGTGCAATGACGAGGAATTCTGCGAGAAAGCACGCGATGGCAATTAGCACTAGATGCTACTCGCTCCGCATGATGCCTTCTTAATTATACCGTTTGCTCTCCTGGTGGGTACAGGAAAGTCTCTACTCGTGATGAAAAAAAACAACTTATTGTGAAGGAAAGTCAAGCCTGGCCAAAAAAGCTTCACTTCCAGCTGAAAGCACTTGCGTTTCGATAATTTGACATGAAATGTGCGAATGTCAAGCTGAAACATTGTCGGTTCCCTGCTATGGATTGATCATATTCCTATTGGATACCCATCAAATTCAAGCTGAATTATTGTGCTATATAGCATAATTATCTGCCTGCCAGAATCTTTCCATTTGGAAAATTTTCCACCTGGTAAAGTTCAATAATCCAGCTGGAAATTGAACTTTTTTCATCTTAACTTTTTAACGTTGGAACAGTTAACTTCTTTGGGTGTTTCGCATTCCCCGATGTTCTATGTATGAGGGTTCCACTTACTTTTGTTTGATGTTGGCAGAGATCTTATGCATGGACGTCAAAACATTGCCAAGTTGGAGAACAGTTCAACAGTAAAGGATTATTCAATTTATCCAAGTTTGATGTTGTCGGGTTTGAATGTACTGTGAAAAATTACTGGGGATAATAGTCATCATAATTAGCAATCCCACATATAATAATGGGTGCAATCATCGAGTGAAAAAAAAAATATTTTTGCCTTTTCTTATTCATACCAACAGTCTTTGGAACTACCCCATTGAGGTATCTTTTGTCTATGAGAAGAATCTCCCCCCAGCAGCTAAAATTTTCTATTAGTATATTACTTCTTACTAAGCAGCCAACCGACATAAACGCGAAGAAAAGAGTGGAGAGAATTAGCCATGTTTCTTAACTGAAATATAGAACCAGTAAAGTACCAAAAAACGTTCAGATGAAATACAACTTGTCTGCGGACTGGGAGCTCAGCTTACAACCTCTTCATGACATGTCTAATGTTGCACTAAGTGCGCTAAAGCAACTTCTCTCAGGCTACTTTTTTTTATGTCCATGTACTAGAGTGTTTTCGAGTGTGATTCATGGCTTATTTTCAATGTGCGGGAATGTCTTTAATCATTTGCCAATATGCAAACATTTCAGTGGGAAAGTTAGAAAAGGCATGTGAGGCGACCCAGTCTTACCTGTTGCTCGTGCCGGATGACAGTGATATGTGGTACAACCAGGCCTTCTACGCACAGCTACCTGCCACTCAAGATGCCTGGTTCAAGGCGAGGCAGGTAAAGATGGCAAAATTTTATTGCGCTCACATTGTTGCGCTTCCAAAATGTTAAGCTTGGGGATAAATGATTCAGCATATTTCTGTCACTGTTTGTGTGGCTAGACTTACCAGTATGTTGATTACAGATTTAAGTTTTTCAAATTTTAGTCTCTGTAAAAATGTATGTGAGCCTAGTTTTGCTCAACAGTCAATGAAAGATTAAACCAGTGCACAAAATTTACTGTAAAAAGTGGTACCTTAGATATGGCCAGAAAACAAAATGAAGGCAATGTTAAACAAGCTAAAGCTATGCATGTTGATATTGCAAGTGCAGCAGAATATTGCTTGCAAATGGTGCGCTTTATTGAATCCATAAACAATGGGAAGTGGCTAGCAGATAGTCTGCATTAGAAGCTATCAGTTATAATTGTTCTGGATGTAGTTCCTTCACAGAAATACCATAATACTTACGTCGATTCTATAACACCCTCGATGTAATGCATGTCCCCAATTTCATACCTGAAGATGCTGAAAATTCAAAAATCACAGTCCGCAATTGTTTGCTGGCAAGTTTTTTTTCAGAGGAATGTGAGAGAAAAAAGGCTGTTTTTATTTGGTCAAAGAAACTTTGTTGCATGCTCTCGACAGCGAAATTGAGACTGCAGACAAGGAAAAACAAACTCCGTTGATATTCACTTGCACATAAAGGGCCAGTAAACAGTGCCGCAGTCCAAATTGCGTGATTAAGTGATAACTGTGCACTTGAACAATGTGAACATGCTGCACTCGAAACGAATATGGCCAAAAAACAAACTGTGCATGCATTTCAAGCCTAACGGTTAATTCTTTTTATGCAAGTACTGAAGCTAGTATGTAGCAGAATAATTAGATAATTAATTGCTCACTCATTACTTTTAATTTGTGAAACTTGCACACAACAACACATTCATTCATTTTCTTTCTTGGAGTGTGATACCAAGTGCCATGGAATTATGCCACGCGAATTTCACACGTTTTTGACAGTGGCATCAAAATGCGTCTCTGAAAGGGATAAGGAAGCTGCAGGTTAAGAAACAACCTGTATTGGCAGGTTTCGGTTTCTTGCTAAGACTTCCTACTATTCTCGGCTTCGGAGAGGGTTAGGGATAGTTAGTTTAGACATATCGCTCTCTTGTTTATGCCCACTTTGCCAAAGTAACAAGACGTCAGCTATTTCGTCATCGGCATACAGCCATTGAACAAGCGAGGCTTTCTCCACATGTCACTCGTTTAAAAGCAAGCTAGGCCCACACTAGTGGCCTGATGAGAAAGTGTAGTAAATGCAAGACCAAACCGCATCACCACAGGGCCACGACACGATTTCGCAGTGCAGAGGACCAATCGAAGAAGTAGATTTTACATAAAGTAGCCCATGGGCAAGCTTAGATGGAAGGAAAGAAGCAACAATAGGGAGAAAGGCAGGGAGGTCAACCAGAAAGACATCCGGTTGGCTACCCTTAACTGGGGGATTAGGGAAGGGGGCACGCATTGAAGGGGAGCGCGGAAATTTCCGAAACGAAGTGTCTGCGTGGCACCCAGCGCTGTGGTTTATCTAAAATGTGTTCGCAGCGATCACATCTTACATGTATGAATGGTGAACACTATTTCATTTGTGAATTGGTGAACTTGTTTTAAAAGTGTACAGAAAAAAATTGAACCTATTTACTCGCCCTTCGAGCTTCAATGTGTAGAGTTGGTTAACTGGACATTCAAGTGCGCACTAGAGGATGGGACACAAACCTTTAGAAACGTAAAGGGGTCAGCACAGTTCATCTCTTGCTGGTGTTGCTGACTCTTGCAATTCGTGAAACCATTGTTTCTGATTTTGATGTTTGCTATTCTGAGGGAGAAGTTGCTGTTTGGTGTGATTTGGAATCCATTCATACTGGTCTCAGAAGACATTCAAAGAACAAGAGCTAGGATGTTCCATTGTACATAGTGACAGCTACATGGCCGCAGCATTAAAGTGCTCTAGTTGAGCATTCTGTTGGCCAGCTGTGCTCAGCAGCTGAGTGGGAGTGTAAATCCGTATGCGCCCTCTGCTTAGTGAGCAGGCCTATGGATTGAGAAAGCTGCTATACTTTAAATGTTGCCTCAACGGAGCACAGAATGTTGCCGCTGTCTTCCACTAATGCTGTCAATTCAGCATAACTGGCTGCAGTGAACCACACCTTCTGACAGTGAATTACGGCTTCTGTAGCCAGGGGTTGGCACACTGGGCGTGTGCACCTGCAAATGTTTCTGTTTGCCATAGAGTTCTTAGCACAAAAAACTTTCGACACCAAACACTGGCCTAGGCCCCAGTTCATAGCCAAAGTTAAGGCCTCATGAAAAAACCCATAGCAAGTTTCATAAATCTGCATACGGATCACTGGGGGGTTTAAAGGACACATCTAGATATTTTTCACCAAAAGGCTGTTTTAATTTTTTGTGTGCGTGTTTTACTACACTGAGTTCTGTCAGCGGGGACTACATGCGGAAAAGATTCGTTCTGGTATGCTAGGTACATGAAAGTTGCTGTGCCTAAACTGAGGCTAAGAGGGACAATGCAGAAAGTTGTGAAGGGGCCTAACGTGCCGTAATAAAACGCTCTATTGCAAAGAGGTTGCAGGCTGCAGTTAAACACCTGAATATTCTAGACGACTAAACTGGTGTGCTAACTGACAGTTCACTATTAAAACAGATTCATATATATTCCTGGTATAAATTGCTAGCCTGAAACTGAAACAAAAATTTTATGTTACAACTGCATTAGCTGTGGTTCATTAATTTATAAAAGTGCCATCTTTTAATCTTTTGGAAGATGAGTTGGTTTAATGGAAGTGTCTGATGTTACATAGTATTTGTGCATTTGCCAGTTTAAATCAAAATTTAGTCTCTGATGCCACCTACTGTGTTCTTACTGGTCGCAGGAGGTGGAAGAATATGTTAGGCGTCGGGAAGAGGAGCAGGAGACAATAAAAGCCATTGAACTGCAGCTCGGCACGGTGTGTATGCCTTCTTCATTTTATTCCAAGTTCACGAGTGCTAAAGAGATTTAACCTTACAACAAGAGTTGAAAATGCTAAAACCACTGCAGTTTACCACTGGCTTTCATGCGTTTTCACCCATTTTCATTACCTACTTTCCATAAAATATCCCCTTCATCAGAATTTCGAGAGGAAGAGGGGGACTAAAGTACCTCTCCTTGCTTTTGAACGCAAGACGACATGTGACACCACAAAGCAGCACAGGCCATTGCAAGCTCCTCGGGCACATATCGCACACAAAAGACAAGAATCTAGATGAGCCACTGAAAAAATAGCGTAGATTTGCTGCGCAAGCTTGCTTACACCCTGTAGCTTTGGCAGTGCTGAACAGTAGTGGGGAGATTAGACCTGTCTGCCGGTACCAAATCTACCAGCAGCAGCTCGCTGGTATTTTTCCCTTCGGCAGCGATGAGTCATCGGTGCAGGATTCATCTGATCGATGGTGATGCGTTGGGGGAGGGGGTATGGGTGGGGGGGGGCAGTAAATTTAAAATTAAGAGTCAGTGGGGTTTAAAATTGGTCCCTTCAAATTTGAAAAAAAAACCCTCCTTCTCCGAAAAAATAAAGCAGTTCATATATAGCTAGATGTCGTAATGTTATTTATTTGAAAATACTGGTGTTTCGGTTTTTTAGACATATCAGGTATAAATACAGATGTTGAGCACCTTGAAAAAAATGACAATTTAAAAAAATACATGTTGACGCGATTCTTTTCCAAATTGCTCAGCACTGAGTTTTCCCAGAAACCCATCAAGCTTTTTTCATAAATCGACGATCTTCAGGAAAAAAGAACCAAAAACAATTCAGAGTACATCTAACAGGTACAATATTTAATGTGATGAAATGGCCTGGTGCACTGGGCAGAAGGTACAAGGAAGTATATCAGTGCTAGAACACTCAAACTGGTGTGAACTATTTTATGCAGGAGGACGACACGATTGAAAGTGCACCAGTGTTCGGGAGGGGCTGCAACAATATAAAAAACGCACATGAGAAGTAGGCGAGAAATGCTGGTCATAGTGACGAAATATAAACCTTATCGGTTTTCTTTAACAGATTCTAACATAGCGATGTCATGTCTGTGGTGGGGTGACCAAACTATCAACACATATTCGAGTCTGACCAAAGTTTTATGCCCTGTCAGTCCACATTTTTTTTGTCGAGTTCCTTAACGTCTATCAAAGATTGCAAAGTTTTTGAAGATGTTGTTGCAGATTTTTTCAATGTGCGTATGCTATTTTAAGCATGTTGTGAGAGTTGCATCAATGTATTTAAACCCTGTAACACGTACTAGACTTACACCATCATTCGTATATCTAAAATTATGAGGCTGTTCTTTATTTGAAAAGGTCATGACTACAGTCCTTTTGAAGTTAATAGACATTTGCCATGTTTTACTTTAGTTACAAAATGTTTTGGCATATTTGTAAGCATTCTGGATGTTGCTTAGAAGTGCAAAAAAGCATCCGGCACACAAGATGGAAACGCTCACCTTGTCTGCTCCTTATTTCTTGCTAACCTTGTATTTTATTGGGTTTTTTTCGTGCAAATAATACCATCATAAAATTCACTTATTGTTTATTGCAGGTTGTGGCAAAACCTCAAGTCAGAGAAAGTAGCGCAAAAGATTCATCTTTCAACACAAGCAGAGTCACAGTCATTCAAGATGAGAAGGCTCTCAATGGAACTCGAGTTGTGGCCGAAGGGTTCTTGACTGAGGATGAATGTACGGGCTTGCTTTCACTAGCCGATGTAAGTTAAGAAGCACATATTTCAAGTAATGTTTGAATCTGAACTTCATCATTTTTGTCACGTTATTGAAATTATTCAATTAAATACCTTTTATGCTACTTTCTAACATTTGAAGATTATTGTGTGCATTTGCTTGCACCATTCTAGGCTGCCCTTTTTTTTTTAATGACTGTAGGTAAAAATGCAGATACTTCGTAGGACAGATTATGTGGGCAAAAGCAGCACATGCAATGTTTCTTGTTTGGCGAGAAATGTGCAGTTGGCTGTCTATGATACCGTCTCTTGCTTGGATACATTGCCACTTTCTGCAGACTGCTGCTCTCACCGGTGACGGCTACGATGGCAAACAGTCTCCCCACAGCAAGTTTGAAACATTCGAAGGGATCACCGCTGGCCGAATCGCACTCGTAAGTTTGTCACTGAAATCTGAGCTTAATCGCTATAACAATAGTTTGGCTCCATTGTATCGATTCTGTGCAATATTCCCGTAATTTCAACCGTGTTCCAGTATTTTGTGTTTGGATTAAAACATACACTGCTCTGCTTCACCTTACTGCTCAGTGTAGCAGTTGTATCCTAACAGTGAAGAGAATGAAGTTTGCTTATATTTGGCAATGATTTACTAACTGCAACGTTAAGCTGCTTTCAAGTCTTTCTTGACTAAGTGCTCTCTGGTTCCTTCTTTTCCACTAGTCCCACTGACGCCAACATTATTTGTATTGAACCCACTGGCATAACCATAAACGGTTACCCTAGGTATTGAGCTGAACCCCTTCACTAGAGACATGCACTGGGGTTTTCGCCCCTGTATGAGGTGTCTCCCATAAGCAGGCTGCCATGTTCTCATTTTCTGATCAACTCCTATTTCGATGTAGGCACACTGGGGTCCCTTATACCAAATTATATCTTACATCAGTGCCTCGTACAGTGGGGTTTAACTGTAGAAGCACTTCTTAAGGCACACTTTTTCTTTTGTGTGCAGCTCACAAGAAATGGCCAGATAGACAAGCATCAGGCCGAACTTTTCATCGAGGCAAGTGAGCGTGTGAGGATGTATGTTGAGTCTTACTTCAACTTGAACGCGCACCTGTACTTCTCTTACACACACCTCGTCTGCAGAAAAGCAATGTCTGGTAAGTCACTGTCATTGTGCTGCGACCATTTATGATAGCTTGTGGCACCCTTCTACTCTGCTTCATGCATAGCAGGCAGTGCTGAATAGGCTTTTGGATAGTTTTCTGATCATTTGCATTCACAAGTAAATGAACAGTGGGATGTACCATTAGCGCCTCCTCTATTTTATCAATGCCAGCCAGGTGCGCCCGATGTAGCCATTCGCCACTCTCTCGCTAAACCCTTTTCTGCTCTCTCCCATCACCTAGTCTTCATGTGCGCTTTGCGGTCATGGGGAATAGAACTTTTCATGTAGTGCCTCATTACGGAAATTGAATGAAGTAATTATTTGTTCAGTTGTGTACAAATCTGCGGAGCGGCGTTGGCGGTCGTGCTGGCTCTGTGAGAGACACGGTGTTTTGAGATAAGCATGTCTTCGTATGCGGTGCTATCCGTGTAATGAATGGAGATGTGTCACTGCGACGCTGCTGCATCACGAGCGCTGTGAGGGGGCGGCGGCATTGCTTCGAGCCACAGAGAAGCACGAAGGAAGGAATCTGACAGACGTATGATTCTGGAGAGGGAAACATATCTATCGCATCTCTGTGGGAAAGCGCCTGGAAGTGCATGTGATGCGAGCAGCCCTACCCATCATGTAGCGTCACATCACAATCACTTCCTGAACTAAGGCGGACCGGCCGCTCCTGTTGAGGAGCGCACATTTGCACTGGCACTGAATAGAATAAAGGATGCATCAGTACCATGGAGTCCCTGATGGTTGCCAGTGGCACCACGATTGTGCTCTGTGCACAGATATCTATTTTGGTCTTTTAGCTTATGTAGATTTTGCCCTGTGGCCTGATGAACACTCTGTAACTATCTTGTGAATGGGCAACTCCTTTTCTTTGACCTCCCACTTTAGCTAGCTTTGGCTTTCACTTCATTGAACCAGCAACACCTTTGTCTTGACCAAAGTAAGAAAATTTCGCAAGGTCCATGACTCATGCAATATTATTACATACAGTGCGTCTTGTATCAAAAAGGTATAGGTATGCATTGTGTAATTCGTTCTGACATGATTAAATTAAGAATGTGATGGAGAAGCTGAAGAGAGTATAAAAGAAATTAAATCTCATTATATTTGACATGTAGAGATAATGTAATGTACATGTACATGAAGTCAGGAAAGAGCTTGGTAAATGGGATCGGCTGAATTCATACACAAACTCTATCAGCTGCCAGTGTATGTTGCTCGTTCTTGTGCCCATGACCTCACGTAGTGCTGCATTTCATCCCACTTCGATAAGGCCCGTCACCAACAAAGCACTGCCTCACCCATCGGGCAAGAAGTCAGAGCTTCTCGCTTTATCATGGATTGCTAAAACTTCAGCATTGCTGACGTTGTAACACTATGCTATAAGGCTCTAATTGTCTGTCTTCAAATAAACGACAATGGTTTCTTTCTCCTCTGTCTAACGACTAAGGAGATAACACTGACATTGGTCGGGAGGGGCAACAAGTTTATAATCGCATTATGATTTCAAAAAGAACTGGATAATGTGTTTCAGTGATACAGACTTTCATGATGTCGCCTACATTATGTGCCTGCAGGTGCCTCCAGGAGACCTGAAAGCGACATGAGCCACTCAATCCATGCCGACAACTGCATCCTTCAGAAAAGTGGGAATTGCCTTAAGCAACTACCAGCATACATCTGGAGAGACTTCAGGTATGCATTTCAAGGTGCGCTGAAATCATTCTACGCTGACACTCACCTGCCCATGCCATTCTGATGAAAGGCGAATAGGCCACAGAGTGGACTTATTGACTAAGAGATACCAAGCAAAATTTTTGTACCAAAATTATATCATTCCATGGGAAACAAACCACGGTATTGCAAATAGACGTATGTTAGCACGTTCGACCAAATCTCCAGTATACTCTTGGCAAGCTGGAAAATATGGGTGTTTGGTATGGTGGTTCTATTCTTACAGGGGTGGTCATGTGCTTCAGTGTAATTGCATTACAGCTGAACCAAAAAATATTGAATCAATCGCTATATTGAGCTGCTGTAACATATTTCTGAAGATCTGAAACAAAATGTATACGAATGTACAATGCCTACATCGAACACTGGTTCAATGCCAGTTTTAGTATTGTGTTGAAAGCTGTGCTGTACCCCATTAAATGCCACTGCTGACTGTATAGCACAACAAATCGACGTGTCAGACTCGATATATGCTTCACGACCCACACGTTCACTACACACTCTGCGCATCTTTTATTCTCGGCGCCACATATCCAACATATTTGACTTCTCTTTCGTACCCTCGTCTCTCTTCTCCTGTAATCCCGCGCGCCCCCTTCTGTTCACTCGAAACTCGCGCCACCTTGTTCCTCCACCGTCAACCACACACAACCTCTGAGACTCTCCTTCAATAGACACTCACGCCATCTCATTTTTCCACCCGTCAACCACAGCCTTTGAGACCTTGTAAGAGATGGTGAAAGGAAGGACGGTCGCTGATGGCATAAGGAAGGACGTTGGAGGATACCGAAAACAGAACATGGGATTTATGACATTATTTACACTTATTTACAGAAAAGAAGGGATAGTGGTTTAACAAACCACGAGCGTGGTGGTTGAACACTACATAGTTCAGAGCCAGGTTCAGAGAGCGCAATGTCCAGCACTCTCCGCGTCGTTTTATGCCCTGTCGGGCTCCTCCTCTCAGAGTCGAACACCAATCACGCACACACAGGTGAGGGAGGCGAGCATACAAGGTCCACGTGAACACTGCACGGTGGTGGCGCCAGCAGGGCTGGTCCTCGTCGTGGGTGTGCCGTTAGACGAGCGTTCCCACGATCCTGGCCGCATACTTCAAAGGGCCCACTGCACAGCTCGCCCAATTAGCGGGGCGATCTGCGTGCGCTGTCCGTCGCGGTCTCTTTCAGAAAGACGCCGTCTTTGTTGGCCTCTCTCGAACGGCTAATGGCGTCTTGGCGACACGACGTCTTGGTCCTCCGGCTAGCACGTACAGTGCCTGACGAGCATAGGCAGTCGGCCGGTCGGCTTGGTGATTGGGGATCAAAAGGGAGCACCGCTCCTCTGTGAGCTCCGGCGCCGGCCACGACAGCTTTGCCGTCGCCCGATGAGTCGCCGAGTCCATTAGTCACCGCTTCTGCTTGAAGCGACGACAAAAGGTCCACTTTTTGAAGGACGTGAACTCGCCTCTGCCCGCCGCCTGGTCTGGAATAATCACTCAAATACTTGACAGCGTCGGTAAGACTGGGCGCCGAAGGGATTGAGAGATGAATCCCCAGGCCAAACCTAACAGCTCCTCCGCCGCCCGGAAAATCTCGGCTGGCCAGCGTTCCCAACCGCTGGGCACGAAGAGAAAGGGTGGTGACGAGGACGAAGGCCTGGCTTTTCTCTCCAGCTGCGTACTCGAAACCAACTCCCCATCCAGCTCACAATGACCGACTACAGCAAGGCGAACAACACAACACAATACCATGCTGCAGTCAAGCACATTGGACCTGCTTAAAACCCTCCAGGCTTCTCAAAACACAAACAAAAGAGAAACCTGTACGCTAAAATTTTGAAACAATTTTGTGCCGCCAAAGTTACAACAATCATGGCTGTGGAGATGCTTACTAAAGATGGAACAAATTGCCGTGTGAGAAAAGCACACAAAGGCAAATACAATTTGGCCCCATAAACGAGAATCACTCTTTCACAACTAGCTTTCTCCAACCACCCGCACTACTAAGTTGTAACTGACATTTAATTTCATGACTAACATCATGAAATACCACTACCTAAATTACACGCAAATGCAGCCCGAACCCACGAAAGATAATTGTGCACATCCTTCATTCTCTAATACTTAACGTAGTCGTGAGTGCCTACTTTTCTGACACCCTGATGCCAACAAAACTCTCTCACATCAAATCAAACTGCGTCTTATCAATCTTAGAAAGGTATCTAGCCTCAAATTTTGGCGAACGCCACGCTCTCACCTCAAGTGATCATTTGATCCCTATAAGTCATCACTAAAACAAAAATGAAGTAAACCTGGTGTACTAACACGCTCATTTGCTGGATGTAGTTTCATGTCAGCCCATGTTTTTAAAGAACGCACATGACTTTGCTGTGCGCTCTCGCACGACATCATACTATCATCCAAAGAACGCTAGCACACCAACACGCACCTAACCATAGGCGATATCTCTCTCACCTAGGTATCCTTAAACCCGCATCTGAACGTGAATTTCTCAAGATATCGAACTGTGTAAATCCTTAAAACGCATCTCTAATCTCAACGTTCGATATAACATAACGCTCAGCTAAAGAATTTCACTTGATTCCTGAGCACATACTAAAATAACAAAGGTAAATGCAACTCGTGCACTAACACGCTCATTTGCTGGATGTAGTTTCATGTCAGCCCATGTTTTTAAAGAACGCACATTGCTGTGCGCCCTAGCACGACATCATACTCTCATCCAAAGAGCGTCAGCACACCAATCGCCCACCTAACCATAGGCCATTTCCCTGTAACACAACTAAAACACTTACAATGCTTTTAAAAAAACTAGAAGGGAAGACCTGCTGCTACACGAACTAGCTGGGGAGATGACAAAGGAACCCTAAAACCAAAATTAAGCACACAAACATGCTTCCAAGAAAATTCCTTTGTCACTCTCTCCAGCTTACAGCTGGCGCTCATCTCAATCGCACACGCGGCGGTCGAGGACTTGGCGGATGTGGAGGGTGCGCGAGGCAATGTTGCGCAAGTGCTACAAGCTGAACAGCGCAGTCATGCATCATTCGCGATTTCTGCGGGCTTTTGTCAATCTGGCGGAGGGAACCCGAGCAATGCCAGGGAAAGAGCGACGGTGTCCCCTTTGGTCTAGCCGAGCGGTCTTTAGCTATTGTGGTCTTTCTTCTAGGACCACGTCGCCACTCCTTTCCGCGAAAAGCTCTAAATCTCCCCCGCGCATACCGCCGCGAAGATGCACGCTGTAGACTACCATTATTTCGCCGCTTGTGCCTCACTGTACGACACAAAGGCCTCTCCGGCGAACTGGCCGATAACGCACTCTTTTTCCTTTTACCCCAATGCTTGCTTCCTCCTTCGTGTCTTCGCTTTGTCGCGCGCGTACCCTTCACCCGTCTACGGCGACGCTTGCGACCCGTTTTCTCACAACTAGGAAGTTCGCCTCGGGTTGCGCCATCGGCTGCTCTACAGCTCGAAGGCTCTTCTGTACCACCCGTGACACCATTTTGCCAGTTCGATTTCCTAGCACTGGTGCCATGTCGGGCCGATTCATTTGTCTTAACCTTGTACTCACGCACCCAACTAACCTGGCGCCTCCCATTTGATTTCATTTGCGATGGACCCGCTGATCCCTTTTCTTTCGTCCGGCAGTTCAGACGTATACAAATGAACCTTGTCACTGACGCAAAATGCCTAGTTCTGCTTGCTGCGCTAATAGGCCTCAAACTTTTCTGAACATGCGTAGAGCTGCTTGTCTCACTCGCGACTTTGCGACGTCTCTTGCGTCTGCGCCGCTTCCTGCAACTCGTCTCTGAGCCTACTGCTCGCAGCTCAAGGTGGCTAACTCTCTCACTACACTCGTCAGCTGTCGACGCCGCTCCGTCTAGATGATTTTCGAAAAAACCACCTATTTCACACTCTAGATCGGCGGACAGCTTGACGCTCTTAGGAACAGTGCAGCTGCTTTCCTGCAAACACTCTAGCTCGCATTGCTTAGAGCTGTCTGCGACTGCACTGATATCCCCGCTACCTACTTTCGCTGCTTCTGAGCTTTCTTCGGTGTCCTTGCGTACTTCCACACTGTTTGCAAGATCCACCGTTGCGACAAACACAGTTGAGGTCTGTGCCAGATTGTCTACAGCTATCCTTGCTGTTTCGCTAACAGCTAACTGGCACAGCACCTCGTCGCACTTGCTCTGGCCTTCGTCGGCCTCTCTACTTGGCGCAGCATCATTCGCAGCACTCAAACTAGATTCGCCTTTGAATCTGCTGCTATGTTCACGTGTGCTAGCCTTCTCTTTGGCTCTAAACTGCACCTCACTCATTTGATTATCGCACTTCTCGTGCGCTACAGTTTCGAATGGCTGACTCTTTCGCCTCATTGCCTCGATTTTCTGTTCCAATTGATCGAGCCGATCTTTTCTATCCCTTATTTTCTTTTCTTGTTTCTCAATTTCCTGCTTTTCAAAAATCTCTACTGCGCTTTTAATATCCTCCTCACTGGCTTTTTGCGAGATCAGCATCCAAATCGCTGTCCTGCCCATTCTTTCCTCTATTTCAATGCCTAGATGCTTAGTCACACACAAAAGTTCATCTCTTAGCATTGCCTTCCACGACATGATTGCCGTTGTACTTTGGTCCTGCATCTCACACAAATGTAGGGGATCCCTCTAGCACACAAATAGGTGATCTCCCTAACTCACACACAATCCAGCTTCTAATCAACGCACACTCAAGAAATGAAGCCTGGAAAGTTATAGCAAAGATTAAGCACTCACCACAGCACAGCACCACGTCGTGAAGTCCATCTCACCGCTGCCAACCAGTTGTAAGAGATGGTGAAAGGAAGGACGGTCGCTGATGGCATAAGGAAGGACGTTGGAGGATACCGAAAACAGAACATGGGATTTATGACATTATTTACACTTATTTACAGAAAAGAAGGGATAGTGGTTTAACAAACCACGAGCGTGGTGGTTGAACACTACATAGTTCAGAGCCAGGTTCAGAGAGCGCAATGTCCAGCACTCTCCGCGTCGTTTTATGCCTGTCGGGCTCCTCCTCTCAGAGTCGAACACCAATCACGCACACACAGGTGAGGGAGGCGAGCATACAAGGTCCACGTGAACACTGCATGGTGGTGGCGCCAGCAGGGCTGGTCCTCGTCGTGGGTGTGCCGTTAGACGAGCGTTCCCACGATCCTGGCCGCATACTTCAAAGGGCCCACTGCACAGCTCGCCCAATTAGCGGGGCGATCTGCGTGCGCTGTCCGTCGCGGTCTCTTTCAGAAAGGACGCCGTCTTTGTTGGCCTCTCTCGAACGGCTAATGGCGTCTTGGCGACACGACGTCTTGGTCCTCCGGCTAGCACGTACAGTGCCTGACGAGCATAGGCAGTCGGCCGGTCGGCTTGGTGATTGGGGATCAAAAGGGAGCACCGCTCCTCTGTGAGCTCCGGCGCCGGCCACGACAGCTTTGCCGTCGCCCGATGAGTCCCGATCCTAGTCACCTTGAGCGACGACAAAGGTCCGCTTTTGAAGGACGTGAACTCGCCTCTGCCCGCCGCCTGGTCTGGAATAATCACTCAAATACTTGACAGCGTCGGTAAGACTGGGCGCCGAAGGGATTGAGAGATGAATCCCCAGGCCAAACCTAACAACCTGCGCCCAACACACGTGTGCTCCCTACTCTATCTCACCTCTCACAAATGATACATAAGATACCCACACAACAGACGCTAGCTTTCAAAAATGAGTTTTATTCTCTTTTCTGTAGAATAAATGCAGAAAGAGGAGTGGGGGAGAGTGAGCAACAGGAATTAACACACAAAATTGCACAAAGCAATCTTCCAGCATTGCCAAGCCACCTAGTCACAACCATTTTACTGAGGTGAAGTGAAAGGATGAACAATGGTGCACATTTTTTCTAGTTATGGCATGAGAAAATCGATTTATTTTCTTACCACAAGCAACTGATATTACGCTTACACACAGGTCGCCCAGATGTGCAATTTCAGCTGCTTCAATTATTTCGCGTGTCAGTTTCTGGCCATTTTTTTTTTTAAATGCAGCAGTTTTTTTAAAGACTGGTTAGCAACCGCAATCTATACGCGGGGGGACCAGTGTCAGTTGATGCATGGTGTCGGTTTTCCTCAGTAAAATAGAAATGGATTTTCCCGACTAAAAAACGCACAGGGTCCCTTATGCATTCACTAAAGACGACTTGAAGGTGCAAGTCTTCTTCTTCTTCTTCTCAGTAGATGTATGAGGGAGCAGGGAACACAAGCCGTCGGGGTCTCACATGCCAATGCCAAGTGCAGTCTTCATTTTCCTTTTGTTGAGGTTGGGCTCTCTGCAATTTTGTTCGGTGCCCAGAGGGAGCTACAACAGCATGGTGTGGTCTTATGCCACATGACATCCCCCCAGAGTTTGCCACGTCACAAATTGTTCCCGATCTGCGGCGTCATGCTTACATCATATGGTGACATCATGACGCGATGACATTTCGCATTGCTTGTCACCAACGCCACGGAACGGTAGCCGCCGACGGTCAAATTTCTCGTTTCGTGAAGCATCTAAGGCCTTAAGGGGAGATGCTATTCGAAGACACTTTTTCTTTAATATTCACCCTAGAGCAATGAAACTTGAGCTGTTTATGAAAATTTTTATGCTGATTTCAAGTATATGTTTAGTTTTATTGCAAGTTACACACTTTTAGCTCTGCAACATGACAAAGTGAAAACCCTAACCCTTTTGCCCCCCTCTTTTCATCCCTAAAATTCTGTAATTTTTTACCATTCATAGTTCATAATGCTTCAAAATAAAGTGTGGAGTGCAAATAACTAATTAGGAAGCACATACAAAACATCTAATACGTGTGAAAAATAATAGATGTAAAAAGTCCATATTTCACCTATCCTAGTAAAGGTATACACACAATTTTTTCATAATACAATAAAATATTGAAAATTACACTAGATAATTGCATTTGTCATACCTTGGAAAACATTTGGGCAAAATTTCATGCAGATCCGAGCACTAGAAGTACCCAAAAAAGGAGGGGCACATTGGAAAAAATGGCAAAACTTGTGTTTTGAGAAAAACGAGTGTTAAAGTTAAAATTGAGTTTTTATTTATGAAAAATATTGTTAAATCAGATGAAATTTGCACACCAAAAAGAACAATCCTTCTTGTAGTGGCCACTGCGACTAAAATACGCCAGCACCATGAGTTTGTTCCTCTCGGCGTTTTCGAGCCGACTCCTCACAGACATTTCGCTCACAGACAGGAATATGAAATGCTTGCCAAACTTCCGCTACATCTGGCAGAGCCTTGTGCCAACTGCAAGCTAGGAAGAAGTTCAACAGGACTGGGAAATCCGAACTAAGTCTAGTGTTATGCCATTTTGCAGCCATGTTTGTGCCACATGCCGTCGTACATAATGGCAATGTCGTCCCTGCTAAGTTCTCTCACTGCGAGCTCTTTCGACCTCTGAAGATTGGCGCTGACGTCATTCATTGCCGCATCACGAACTTTCCGGCTGACGGGTGTGAATGATTTCGATGCATTGACTTTTGCAAGCCAACAACTGCCGCAAATCAGACCAGCTGCTCGTAGCCTATTCCTACAGAGCGTGCCGCAAAACGGCTTTCACTTGCGAGCAATGCCTTTTTTTCATTCATAACAGAGATAATTATATAAAAAAAGCATTGTTCAGCCACGCTGCTCGACAAGACATGGACTCCACAAATAGGTTTCACAGCACATACAGGCGCGCAGCGGCCAATGGTGGTCCCCGATTCGTGCCATGTGATAAGCCAGTCGCGGCGCTCGAAAAACGCGCAGAAGAGTGATTCTTTTTATTATTCTTGCGCTGCATCAGCGAGAGACACTGTTGTTATTTGAAGAGTGAGGCTCGACTCTTCGACTGATGCGATAAACAATGGCGAGCGGCGGCGCATTATCGGCGGCAAGGTGCTCGAAGACTGCACACTTTCGACCTTTTAACAGGCACCTTGTGCTCTTTAGATGAAATTTTAAAGCATTTCCAGTTAAGTCTCGACCTGTATTATTTTTTTCATAACAGTAGAGGTACTAATCTTATCAAAACAGGCAAAAATAAAAAATCGGTATTTTTGAAAAAAACTCGCGTTTTTCGACCTGCATCTCCCCTTAATTCCTCGCATACTACATGAAGGCATGCAGTCTGCCGGAACAAATGCCTCGTAAAGTGGACGGCAGGATGACCGCCTCTGTAGCTCAGTTGGTACAGCATCGGACGCGTTATCCAAAGGTCCCAGATTTGGTCCCTGCCGGCGGCAAGTAATCTTTTTGTTCACTATACTTTTTTCATAGTTACACCACAGTTACTAAAACTAGCATCCCTTATACTTTCCTGGGCTTTCTTTTCTGTTAGTTCCAATAAATGTTGGGCCCAACAAAAATTAACAAACCAGAAATTGTGACGTCATGATGAATTCACGAACTTTTGGGATCTGTGACGTATATGATTTACGTATTCTTCGTTTCCCCAATAAAAATTTCAGTTGGCAGTTAACACCTGTGCTCGTGCCACCTTCCTTCGTCCTGTCTTTGCACTGTTTTTCTTCCAGTCTGAACTTACGTACCAACCAGCTTGCCTTTTGCCGCTTCTCTAGTTTGTTTCTGGCATACCGGAAAATTCTAACTATTCATCTTCTATTTCGTATTTCAGTTCTGTGTTGTACCTGAACGATGACTTTGTGGGTGGAGAATTCGTCTTTGCCAGGCAGAAAGACAGCATAGAGGTAAGCATTCTTTGTGGCTTCCACATTATATGTGTAGCTTTGTGTTGCTTTGTGAGAAAATTCCACAAAGTTATAGCCAAACTGCAGTGTCATTCACATTCAAATGTGCATCATGTTCATCCATTGTCAGTGCTTATAGTACATTTTTGTACGTTGACTAACGCAGTACTGGCATAGGCAAAATATGGATAGGACATCAGGTGTCACCAGGAGTTGGTTCCTGCTTTCACTTTTTCAGAGGAGTGTTTTCTATTCTGTTATTATGGTCTTATGGTACAATATTCTTGCATACAAAGTCTGTGTTGTCTGAGAAGCTCTAGGCACTTCGGATGTGCTAATGTTCCGCAGTTGACATAGGGTACAATTTTTCTTAATTAACAGAAAAGTGCCATCTAATACTTCCAAAGCTAGGAAACCCATACTATTTGTTGATAATTAAACATCTGAGGAAGACAATAAGTCCTCTCTTTCCCTTTCATTTCTTTCGCTCTTATTATGAATATGAAAAATTACTTGGACAGTCGAGTTAAAAAAATTACTAGATTTTTCTTGGTTGTATATTTATATTTATTTTGTATTTATTTACATATACTGCCATCTTATGCAGCAAGATATCGCAGGAGTACAAACGCACGATAAAAATACATTATGAAAAAAGGAGTCATCAGTAAAAGAAGTTTGGCAATCGCTCAACAAATTTATCATTTGACAGCTCATGCAGGGAGGCCGGAAGACCATTCCAAATATCAATAGTGTGAGGAAAAAAGGAAAACTTACAGCAATCAATGTATGTCTTCGAAGGAGCTATGTTAAGGTGATGACTTCTCCTGGTGATTAAGGGAAGATGGGTTAGTAAACGCAATGGGTGCATCTATAAATGTTTCCCCTTGAGCGATCTTATGCAACAGGACAAGACGGTCACAAGTGTATCGGAGAGCCAAATGATTTAGCTGTAATTAATTAGCATATAATGTTGGTGAAAAATGACGATCATAACGCTTCCATGTGAATCTCATGGCTTTTTGCTCAATAGAATCAAGCATATTAATTTCTTCGGCATGATGCGGTGCTCACACTACAAGTGTGTACTCTAGAAGAGGCCTTATTAGTAAATCTGTATGCTACTAGTTTGCACTCCATAGTTGCATCTCGAAGGTTTCTCTTTAGATAACCCAGCTTTCAACATTGTGTAGTGATATTATTAGTGTAACACCAGACCATGGTTTCTCTGGTACATTCCACTTATGTCTCTATGTGTACACAGGCCTCGGTGAAACCAAAGTGTGGTCGTGCTGTAGCCTTCTCGGCGGGTGCGGAAAATCTCCACGGTGTGCTACCCGTGGAACACGGGAGGCGTTGCGCTCTTGCCACGTGGTACACATTGGACGCGAAATATCGGGAGAGGGAGCGAGAGTTTGCACACAACATCATCAACCAGGGTCCCTCTTCGGGACGCCAAGAAAAGCGGCCGTCAAAAGTGCCCAAGGAAGAGGAGCGCTTGGTGTTAGGTCCGCCACGTAGTCATTCAATTCAAGGCACAGCAAAGCGTCATATTAATGAACTGTGATGCAAAATTGGGCACAATCTTAGAAACTTATGCAAAAACTTATACTTACTCAGCCAGGCCTGTCAAAGCTTTTGCTTAATTGAATTCCATTGGTGATTCCAGTGGTTTAAGTGTGTATATTTTTATGCTTTTTTTATGCTTTAAAGGAGCCCCGCAACACTTTTTGAGCATGGTCAGAAAATGCTGCCGATCGGTAGTAGAGGCTCCCGACAACACGCGAGCCAAATAATATAGCGCAGCACGCGGCCTGGAATTCACAATAAATTATCGAAGTCATCTAAAAATAGCTTTCTCTTCTCTCGACAAATCACGAAGTTAAGCCCAGTAAGCCCATCTATCAGCCATTGGCTGATTTGAACATGGCGCGCTCGGTTGTTACAGAGGTCGCCGCAAGAAGCCGTCACTTGCCCACGCGTGTGCACGCGATCACACTAAAGAATCAGCATATTCAAAGAAAAATAAAAACTCAAGGTCACGAGGCGTGAGTTACATTTGTTTGCCCCTCCCATCTCGCCCTGCTCAGCTTCCAGCACTTTCGTCGGGACAAGAGAAGAGAGAATGGCATTGCAGCGTGTGACAAATCTTTGTAACTCCGCTCGTACTGGACGGATTCTTAAAATTTTTGCGGCATTTAATTTGTGAGGTAATACGCTTCTTCAGTGAATTAATTCTATTGTTACTCAGGAAAGTGTTTCAGGGCTCTTTTAAAGTTCCTTGAAAGTGTATTTGAGGCAGTGGTTTGTTGTTAAGTTTTTTACTGATGGCTGACACCACATTTTCGAGCCATGTGGAAATGAAAATTTCTCATCCTACGCACAGTCCAGCATTTTGAATTTGGTTGTATTCATAGGATATTTATTGAAATAGTAAGTATTTCTAGCCAGAATTTTTGTTTATGCTGTAATAGTACGATAATTCTTAATATTTGTGTTTATCAAGCTGAGGTTGGATTTACCGATACAGCAGGTATCGTGGATTTTTGTAACGTTGCGAAAGTCTCGCAAAAGAAACAAACGCTAATCTGCCCAAGTTTAGCAGAGCAGAACACAGTGATTTTCGTACATCTGAAACACAAAATGTTACAACTCAGAAAGTTTTTGCCCCTATCTGAAGGCATAACCTAAAACTAAAGATACTGCCAGTCTGGTTCAGTATATTTGCCATTGAGCTAACAGAATGCTGGCAGATGTAGGATACCGAAAATGTTGTTATCTTCTCCTCTCATTTGCATTTTCTTAATACTGATTTTAATTTGGTTTCGAATCTTAGCATGCTTCAGTCGAGCACAGTGTGATGACAAATTTTAAGAGCCTAAGTAAATTCAAATTAGTCTAAATTTATTGGATATGTCTCCAGATAATGATAAGACAATGCTTGTAGTCGAGAGCTGGAACTTTGAACTGTTAACGTTGATACTGTGTGAAATACCTGGCTGTCGTACCTGCAGCTCTGAATGCACAGCGGCTATTTTTGGTGGAAAAAACAAGTTGCATATTTGTATATAAGGGGTTTTTGAAGAGTAATATAAAATGTAAAAAGAGTGACCATTTTTCAGCATGTATACTGTAGAAATGATGCAATTCTTCAATGAAACACTATGAAAACTGAAGTTTTTATGTAAAAGTTATAGCCACGGTAATTACACTTGCCACTGACAAGTGGCACTTTAATCGTGTCAGCTAACTCAAGATTCCACCTCCTCCTAACAAATGAAAGGATGAAACAACTGTAGCTATCGAATGTTTCATCCTTGTAGAATAAGACAATCTTTTTTTGTTTGTTTTTGTGCACTTTGTGAACCACATTTTGTAAGGTCTATAATTATTACATAATTAAGTTATTAAAATGAGGAAAATAACCACTGCAAAGAAATGCAGACGGCATAGAGTGTCAGGTGTATTGTTGTGGCTGTTACTTTACGCACAATTTTCTAGTCACTTCTTATTTACACGGTAAGTTGCCATATGAAAACAAGATTGTAACTTTTTCATTTATGTTTATGTTGCGGGCAAGCATTTATTGAGCTAAGATACAGTGGCCTTTTCGACTAAAATTTCAGGCTTACTTCAGTATGCCTGCATATCCAAAGCGCGATGTGTAAATAAAACTGCGCTGATAAGGGTTGCCAAAGAGAAGTGCTAGCGTGTTGGGACCATAACGTTCAGTTTGACCAATTAACGCTTTTATTTTTATGAATGCATGGGCTCTCATGTATGGCTTTGAAGTTTCTTTTGTACCAACAGAATGTTAACATATGCATTCCTGTTATGACAGACCAGCAATGCGCGGCCAAGCACTCTGTAAGAGATTTCGATGCAACTGAACGCACAAGTACAAATTTAATTTTGTTTGAGTTATCTCTGAAAATTATTTGCTTGCAGCATCCGACTGCCGCAAACATTTGGTGGCAGCTTGTCTCTTGCTAACTTACAACAGGCGAAACTATATTAGGTCAGGCATTACAGTTGGTATAGCCACTTATACCCAAAATTCTTCTCACGTCTAGTATTTAGGCGTTTTTGTACTCAAAGTGACCTTGCAGTTGTGTGAAGAGAACAGCATAACAGGAAATGGACTAGTGTTAGACCTTTTCTTCTTTACAATTATCACTTGGCATCAAAGAACCACTTGCAAATTTCATCACGTTTTCTCACTGTTATTTTGCTTTGTGACATTACACACATGGTCAGTAACAATACACAAAGAATAGAAAGAAACAAAGCAATACAATGCAGTTATTGGCACAAAGCATGGCTCCAGAACCAATATTGTCTGTTGCAAATTACTTCATTGATTACAATCTCTAACATAGACGTAAAGGATCTCTTTTTGACTTGGCAGGTGAAACGTTTAAGCATTGAACCCACAAATTTGATATCATTTCACAGACTGAATATTTGGCGTGAATGGTTGAAGAGGGAGCATTGCCTTCAAAAACTGCCTTTTGGCAATTTGGCAGAGGGAGCATTGCCTTCAAAAAGCTGTGCAGGCAGGCCAGAATTAAATTGTGCCATAAGCTCTCTTGCATGAACAATGCCTTGCTCTGTTTGTTCTTGTTTTTTTTTATAGGCTTGCATCAATAGTGGATTCGAAAATGAGCAAAGGGAGTCAAACCTACAACCTTGTCGTTTGCTACCCAGTCACTGCAGCCGCTCATGTTATGGAAGTTGCGGTGTGACATGTTTTTACAAATTGTGTACATGTTTGGAATGCCAACTATTCCTTGTGGCCAGTAATTTAGTGTTGTAGGTTTTAGGCAAAGGTATCCCCATGCTTTGATGCTGGGGCTCTTACACAAATATTTACGATGGCCTGATTGCCGAGTTCTACACGGGTATTACACTTATACGCTGACATCTAGCATAACATTTTTGTCCTGCCATGGCTATAATGGAAGTGGGGATACTAATTTTTTTTTCAAGGAATTATTTTTTCAACACATAGGTAAGAAATTGTCCATTTGTATATTTGTAGAACAAAGGGTGCAAGTTTCACTTCTTTGCTTTAGCCCCTAATCTCTGAAGGTAAAAATGTTTTGTTCACTTATTGCAAATGTGAAATATGAGGGCTTGTAAAGAGGCTGGTAAGGGGCGAGACTGGGTAATAATGTTTCTATTTCTGAGCTAAACTAATGTTACACGTTCAACAATGCCTTGTTTATTTATTATTTTTTCTAGCAGAACTTTGATCAGCTGAAAGCTGCCTTGTCCTAACTGCTAGTCAACTTCTCTGAACTGCACGTGTGCCCAACTGTAGTTCTAATGAAATTATGAGAGCCATTCCTGCATTTTAAAACGCATAATATATTAGAGATGTCTCATCATACAATGGAGATTAGACATAAAAGGTTGCTTTATAGTCATGGAAAAGATGTGTTATTTAGCAAACTGTATCTGCAGGAACGAAACGTGATTTGAAATACAACGCCATGGCAAGCCTTATATCGGGTGCAGTGTAGGGAAATGCGATGTGGATTATTGCAAAGCCGTGATGTTATGAACTTATCTTCCTGCAATTGTTGCATCAAGCTGCACGTCATTGCATTTGTCATGTGCTGGAAAAACAACTCAAAGGATATCTATCAACCTTTGTGGCTGGCTTTTTTGCACTAGCCCTGCAATAGGTGGTGAAGCAGACCACTTGGTGGAAGAAAGTAATCAACTACCATTTTATTTGGGTGATGAACTGTGCCTTCATAATGTGTTTACAGTGGGAGGAATGAAATGAGTGTATTTGTTTGATACTCCTAATGGTTTTTTTTAGTAAAACTGGTATAACTACACTTGCCTTTTGGCGGAGGTGGGGGGAGAGGGCTTCACACATATATATATATACTTAAGTTATGTGCTCATATTTTTTTGCTTTAGGTCGCAGCACTGTCAAGTAAAGTGTCATTGTTCATTAATTTCTGGTGCTTCTAAAACATTGTGTTTTTTTAGGGATAATCCGACAATCCGCTCAATCTTTGCTTGTTGAATGCTGTACATTTTGTTTTGTGGTTGTAATCCTACAATGCTGTTTTGTGCATATTTGCTTGTTTGTGTAGTTTATACTATCTTTTGGGCTGGAAGTGTGTGCAATGCATTTAGGCACATTATATGTGTATATAAATATGTATTTATTCTTGGGTAAACACTGCCATGCTTAGTTTTAATAATATGTATAGGGTGCAGTAATAAAGACAGAGCCCAGGCTGTTTCAGATCACACGTTGATTTAGGTTAGTGTGACAGTCGTATTGCATTGGACTTCTATGAGGTTAAGAAACATTGAGGGTAAGGGTACATCCACTATGTGGTTTTACATATCGGCACAATGGGGAAATGTAGATAGCAACATATGGGAAGGCCACTAAAGTTATCTTGAAGGAAAGTGAGAATACTAAAGCCGATATCTACCAAGTGTTATTGTTCGCACTTTAGCTTGTTTACTGTAATAGTTTACTAAATTACCAGTATTAACAGTGGAGTGTTTATGCCAGCTGTTTGTCTAAGTCCATGAAACAGAAAATTATCATAATAATGAAACGGCATGCACTGACTCAAACCTCGATATAACGAACCCAGATATAATGAAATATTGTTCATAAAAAAAGTAAATGAAAAGCAGTCTTACAATAGATAGTAGTCTTAGTAATATACCTTTATAACGAATTTTTGGATAAAACTA